AAGTGGGGAAATTAATGGAACCCAACCCGGTGCAAACAGTAAAAGTAATTAAAATAATGTTTTGAATGTCACGCGACGTTATTTCAGAAGCAGAAAGCTCACGTGTTAGTGGAGCTCAGTGTTACCCAGATTTACGTGTCACCTGGTAGCAGATATATACACAAGCCGAGGCCTATATTGTTCATTGTTAAAGTTGACATTCAAACCGTTTATGGAAAGAATATTGCCTTTTATGCATGGATATGAATGAGTAGCGACTAGTCGCCGCTGTTGCGCTGTTTATTATTCATTAGACGACTATATGTCACGCAAGAGCATAAGCACGCACAAGCTCGATGCTTCTCAAACTTTCCCCGCCTCGTATATTTGTCGTAAAGCTATCTCGCAACCGCTGAACAGTATTTTAAAGTAGCTTCGATGACGCCTACGTTGAAATTGCTTTACGGAATTGCTGAACATTCGAAGCCGAAAGTACACTTAATTTCCTATTTGCAGGAAGCTAGTTTGGTTTGTGAACCGCTGGTCTAAGTAAATGGTTTTGCGTATAGCAGGATCATTTATTAGCATTTATTAATATTCAAAACTGGCTATATGACGTTTGCAATTTGTTCACCAACGCTGAGCAACAAGAGGCTCCGCTTAAATAACTAGACACGCAACAAGCGAATCCTATTTGCATTTGACCCGTAGGTAAACTCTCCTCTTTGTGCTGACTACAATGGGTATCATTCATTCGTAAAAATCGGATATATTTTATGTTTTTGTTTAAATTTTGTATGGGATCTGTACCTATTAAAATCTAGTTCATTTTGAAATGAAGTTGTTGATATACTGCTTATGGAGTTTTATTATACTTTTCTTTTGTTTTATAAGCACAGTTTCCTGACAACATCGAGTGATTGCTTGCGAATGATTAAGAATAGGAATGCATTGTTCACATTTGCACCACGTGCGCATAGCTAAGGTTTACATAATAATTATTGCCTGTGCGTTTTCTGATATAAATCTCTCTTCGGTGCCTTATATCGTTGATCGTGGTGACTCAATGAATATAAATTATGATTGAATAGTCCACTGTGCTGGGTGATTGCATGAACTTTATTAAAAGAATGTGGAAAAAATGATTGTTTTTATAAATATAAAATTGTGTAGGGCAATAAAAACAAACATGTGCCGAGTATTACAGCGTTCACGGCTATAATTTGTGTTGCACGTTACAGCTGCAATTTTTAAACAGTTCCCGTAATAACACAGTTATTGTTTGTATGCCCTCAATATTTGTTTAGCGTCGACATAATTCTCTTGTTTTGTCTGATTGATATGCTGTATTTGTATAGTAGCAGTCTTCCTGTCGAAACGTTAATCACATATTGATAATTAACTCAAACTCTAACTTTATCTTTTACTTGACCCTTTTTCTGTTTCTACTACAGTGTATTTGTCTGTTTCCTTATAAATAAATGCGAATCTTTCTCTGCCTTCGCGATATATAAAAAACACTTTTCAAAAATAATCGTTATAGCTCAGTCAATTTAGATAAAATCATAATAAACTATACACAAAAACCTATCTATTGGTAAAACCGTGTAACAAGAATCGTAGTTTTCGTTCGATTGACAAATGCAGATGGGGGACGTTATTTTATAATTTGTAAGGATATGCATAACTAGAGCATGGGTAAAGGACACTCAAATAGTTGTTTGGTTTCGCTTTTCGCAGACATTTGATAGCCATAAAGTTGGTTGTAAACAATTCCTATCAGAAGAGGTTAGCGGTTCCATCTTTCATTAGGAAGCGTTCAAGTATTACGTAACGAATTTTGGGGGGGGGGGGGGGTCATTTTTTAAAACGTTACGATGCGGGGCGGGGATTGAATTACGCGTTATTTTTAATATTATTTTTGACTTTCCAGTACTTTACACCACATAATGGTAACTTTTAGGTATAAAGAGTCACTTTGGTGGTCACGAAACGTTTTACTATTGGGTACAGAAAAACGTCACGACGCGTTACATGGGGGGCGGGTTAATAATCTCCAAAAATTAATAAACGAAATGGATATGAAGACAATCGATCTAGTTTCGCCTTGATCCTTGGTCTTAATCACTCGGTTACGCAAGCATGTAAATTGTAAAACAAAGATGTCTCAGAGGTAGCTGTTTAATTCTAAGCAGTCTTATATTCCCGTGTAGCCTCTGAGAAGTTCGCACGCTTCCGCCTATGGCTTGTCTAATAAATAGTACATTCCAGTGGCGACAGAGAGTTATCAACGGCACCGCCTGAGGCTAATTAACAATCCCTATATTGTATGTTTAGTATGAATAAATACTTTGTTTGTTTGCGCTTGGCCCTAGCACGCGATATTATATTTTGATAGATTGACTAATGAGCGGGTCGTTTTTGTACCCAGTTAAGGAAACTAGAATTAAAAGGATATATAAAATGCGAAAGTTTGATTTAATTTTAACCATGTGAGATGTCGCAGGCAAAATCATGTTTCAAATATTTCCGTCTAAGTTTTGTTTATGTGCATTTGCGAATTTATTAATTTTGTGTTTTGTTGCTTCTTGCGCGATTTTTGAAGTGTTTTTTTTAATAGGCTATTCTAATCGATTGTCTATTACAGTTTTTAGATAAAAGAGAAACTAATCATGAAGTAAATTGTTTTGCTATTATATTACATTACATAAATACAGCTCTCAGTTATATTGCGAGCTGTCAAAGTACATTACTTATTAAAGTAATTATACCGTTAATAGTTCCAAAACGATTCATCTATTACTGTGTTTATCGCAGTCACGACTTCCCTTGCCTCATTTTCGTACATGACACATCTTAACCGATCTTATCGGACGGTTTAAAAATATAACTGGCGCCGCACAAAACATTTCAATGAATCCTTTTTGAGACCGACAACGACAAAATTCACGAATACGCAGCGCGTGTATTGAATTAAATTTTCTTACACAAGTGTTACAATTCATTGTAATTATCATAGAGCTTTCGTTCGACGGAAGTAGGGAACGGGCATCGTGACAGCGATTGTTTTTGTGTCAATGCTATGATCGGTTTTATTGACTATATCACGACAAAATGCAGCGCAAAACTCAAAGACGTCTGGAACACTTCGAGTATTTTATATAATCCTTGAACTCTGAGAAAGTCGTTTACGGAAGGAAAAATTTAGTTTTGTGTCGGAAAAGCGAAAAGTATATACATGGTAGGATAGCAAAATGTTCCACGTCATGCAATTTGAATCGGTAGAAATCCCTACCCATCGGCAAAGAAGACAGAGGATGTAGTCCGAGAGAAAAAGCCGGCGTAAAAAACTCTCGGTACTCTTTTAAAATAGCAAATCCTCAAACAACACTTATTTTAAAACAAATATCGCAAATGAATTAGAAGTAGCACTAGTTAGTTAGGTTAAGTGGTTCAGGCCCTTTTATGAACTAGTTACTAGATAATCGTTAACTTTATAGTAAGCCTTTTTACACAGCTTTTCTTTAAAACAATTCTTGAATTTATTAAAAGGCAGAGATAAAATTGCCTCTGGGATTTTATTAAAGAAAAAATTGGTGTGTAGCTACTAAAAGCTACTAAAAAGTAGACTTAATAAAAAAATAATATTAAACGGAAACAAAATTCGCGGGGCTAGTTATGTATAAAATGAAGTTTTCATTAGCTTTGATTAATAATTACTTATTAAAACTTTTGTAGCTCTGTCGAAGTTTTTAAACGGTATCGTTAATAAAATATCATTTAAAAAGTATTTAATTCACGGGAACCATTTCAGCCGGTAATGATACTTCTCGGACGCAAATGATGTGATGTCGTTTCGTTATGAAATATTAAATGCAGCGTTGGTTTTCAGGTCGATCGAAATTTATAATTGCCATATAATTGTGGCATTCGGCTTCCAATGCTCCATAATTAAGTTAACTTTAACGTGCCACTTCCGATGTCAATTAATTTATAACGTGTATGGTCATATGTTAAGGTCTTCGTACTTGAATATTAATTCGCCTACTTCGAAGCGGCTGCAATATCTACACTATTAGTGTATGAATACTTTATTCATACACGTAATTTTATAACTGACTTATATTCGCTATGACGTAGTGTCGATTATAAAATGTTAAACGATATTTATGCTATTATCTGACATTATTGTTATGCAGTTTACTGAAGTGTGTGGGTTCATTGAATTGAACATTTTCCCAATTTATATTTTGCTACGTAAACAACCATTAAAGCGGAAATATCGTTGGACGTTCGAATTAATAATTTGCTTTTAATTATTTTAATGGAACTTGTTGAATGTGTACTTCTCTATTATTTTAGATATAAATAATTACAATTAATTGCAAAGTTAATTTTGAAACAAAATATGAAGACCGTTGCGCCTCTAACCCTAGAATTTTATTCGCTAAAACAAAAGATCTTATCGTATATCGACATACGCGCAGACGAATATTAATTATTGCAGTATGTTCCAATTTTGCGTTTAAACACCAGAGGGTTGAGGCATGACGTCACCGCTACAAGTCGCGCTAGACGGAGGCCGCACTGTAATGCTTCCCCGCGAGTAGAATTAAAAACAATATATTTGGAAGGCGGCTTAAAACAAATGAACAAAAACAGTATATATTGTTCGTAAAATACCTAAAGTGTTCTTATTTTTAAATTGATCCCGAGAACATGAATGTTGATTGTCTCAATTTAAATAGAGTTGACAGTATCTGCTTACTGACAATTATACTAAAACGTAGATTTTCTAGATAATTACTCGGCAACTAATTCTGTTTCAATTAACACCATTTAGATATAGATTTCTAATTTGGTGTCTTATCTTGAAGCGTTCAGAGATGAGTTTTAGATTACTTGTGGTCTCTTATTTTAGCCTTATTTCTAGGCTTTGAACCGTCGTACAGAATCGTTGTAATCGCAGTGTGGACGCGGCGCTAATGTCTACATATAAACAGTTGTTGTATTGTTTTCAGCTCAATGTATCGCACCGCTGGGTATGGAGACTGGTCTGATCCCCGACAAAGACATCACTGCAAGCTCCTCGTTCAACAATGATAATGTCGCACCACAGAATGGAAGGTAAATATATCCTTAAATTAATTTAGGAAATCAACAGTATTGATCTCGGGAGAAACTTTGGCTTTGCTGTCCTTGGACCTTTCCAACTAAACATAGTATTTTGTTGAGTTTTATCATAATAGTATTAAGACTTAGTACAAATTTGTTGGTCCAAAGAGATGAATTATTTATGAACGTTGCCGTTGTGCAGTTGTCTTCAAATATATAACAAGTAAAAAAGATAATCTCATAAATGAGCTCAAAGTAGACAATAGGAATTCTTTTTTAGATACAAATAAGAATATTTTGCAATGCCAAAGAATATTTTGTTCATTTAATATTCAACTTGAATTATTAAAAAAGACTTAAGACTTCTTTCTTTTATAGTTTCATTAATAACAACTATGGCCTCACCCGAGAGGCGAACGTAACTAAGTCGAGCCTGTCCCTAGTTTTTATAAATATGTTCAAGCACAAAGCCCCGTCTTTTAATAAAGTGACGGGTATATATTACTTTGTGTCAGTTTTGTTTATCAGTCAAAGGGTATATTCAGTGTTATAGCTTGTGCTTTACAGTCGGATGCGTTTACTATGTTTTCAAGAGGATAATATCTAGGATTTTATCCGCCTTAGAGTGAAATATGAAACTTTATTATATTCATGTACTATGCTGCTCAAAGATATTGCAGATTGCAGGCTTTAAAAAGGTTCGGTTTTTGAAATGAAAATTTAGTGAGGCAATATGTTTTGTCTTAAAGAGCGTATCCTTGAGCTGTTGCGATGTAAAGAGGTTTAATATTACCAGCCAGTGTTTCAAACAAAGCATTCCCTTTAACTATATATGAGAGTAGACGTCTGTGATTTTTAATGTAATAAAAAACTACTTAATAAACTCATGTTTTCTGGTAATTGCGTGTCGCGTGGTTTTGTATGAAAAGCACATCTATATAGAAACTATAGCAACTCTAACACGATGACACGCTAAGTTACTTTATATGTACCAACGTAATTAAATTGTAACTATGCCGAGTTTCTGTTAACATATTTTTCACTCGAATTTTGTTTCGTGACAATACGAATGATTGAATTTCAGTATTACAGTATGGAAATTATTTGAAAATGTTTCATTTGATAGTTAATGTAAGGGGTTGTAATCGAAGATTAATTAAATTAAACTTTAGGAAAACATATGATAGATAGAGACGATTTTCTTTCTTCCATATGTATATCTGGGAACTCAATTAAATGTTTACTGAATTGCTTACCATTGATTGTTAATGAACGGCTCTTAAATATGTATAGGTATAGTTAGTTTCATATGTGTTACATTGTCAAATTTTGATTATTTTTATTTAATAAAATATTCTCGTTTAATTTATTACTATAAAGCTAATCCCTAAAATAATACAATCGCTTATACGTGATTGCTTTTATTCCTTATTGAGATAAGCTTATTGTTAATAACTATAATCGTTTAACTATGACCACGCACAATTTCGATTAGAACGCGCTCCCACTACCGCGTAGTGTTAAGTCAGAATTAGAATAATGCATGAACATTAAGTATAAATACTTAACAATCAATACATGAGGTTTTCCCTACACTCGTATTGGACTTAGATTATATTAAATAAAAAGTATATATTGCTATAAGTCGCCTCAGGCCGTAAAGTTTGTGTAACTATCCGTTTACGAGCAGGCTGTAACGATTACTTGAAACTAAATTGACAATCGATAATGTAAAGTATCGTTGGCTGTAATGTAACAAAATATTCAACAGTTTGCTTATTTAATAAGTTTGACGTTCAAAGTAACAAGCATAACTTTTATCATAGTTGGCAGCTTTGCAGCGAGCTAATACAACAATAAAGCGTTGAATGAAGTTCGCACATACCTGCTCCTTGCAAAGTTTAAGTATACATATACAAATAGATGCATGATTTAGCTGCCGTAATGAGGGTTTAAGATCTCATGTATTGTTACTAATTAAAAGGGAAATTCAGTTCTGTTTATTTCGACGTCATTTCAAAGACATAAAGGATTCATAAATGAGTTTGTGAATGTGATCTTTAATACTATAATTATACAGTTTTAAATCATTTACGTCGCTCAAGACTTTGATATCAATTACGAGAGCCGCTCCTTAACGCATCATTGATGACTCCGACGCTCCAGTACGCGTCAATAAGGCTTAATGATTGCATCTTAGTGGTGCACCGCTGCAAATCACCTAAATATCGTTACCGGTGTAGTTGATTTACATTAGCATATTATCGTAATAGAAATCAATTTGAAAATAGCTATTTGGTAAAAAACATATTTTATGAGCGATATTTCATGAAATTCTTGTATCGGGGATAAAATATTTATGTTGTATTGATAATGGTTTACGAATTTATAGCTTCTCTTTTTATTGATCTGCCTTATAAAGATATCTGTTTATAGCAGGAGGCGGGAAGTAAACTAGACGGCACATCAGACTTGTACACTTCCTTATAATTAAGATTATGGATTGAAATGTTCTAAAGTGAGTAAACTAAGAATGAATACATAAAACGTTGTAACTATTCACTTCTTAATACACTCAAGGGATCAAGACGATTATATAATACGATGCTATAAAGGGAACAATTATTTATTTCTTACTTTGATTTGAATACTTGAAGTTGTATTAAATTAACTGTAGTACGTACTTGTAAATGAGTTGGATGTTTGTGAGGTTTCTCTAGAAATACTGCACTCCAGTTGTGTGTCGTAAGACCAAACCGATCCTTGAATTTGTGGGATTTCATTTAAATGTCTATCAAGCGTGTCAAATACGTAAATATTAACCCTTAACAATAAATGTATGTGAAATGAAAATGGAATAAATTTATAATAAATGTAAATGGGTTTCGCAACCGAAATCAGTTCGAGTTATCTCAATGGTCGATAATGATGAATTCTGAACAACACTATGCATTGTGATGTTCGTTTCATTGGTCAGACGGAGCGCCGGCATGACACATGATAAGTGAATGCACTAATAACCCGACTGAAACCACTATTATTAAACGCGAAGTGAGATTTTATCAATCGTAAGAATATTTTCCAATGAAACTTGTTTGTTAAGCTATAATTACGCTCATATAAATATTATTACGCTCATATAAATTAGCTGCTTGTCGCACGGGTGGAAATTTTTAAAACAATTTGGAAATAATTATAGCCTATGTTAGTGAGGGTTGATGTACATTATTAATAATGACAGAATTTTGAAATCGGTAAATAGTTTTTGTGTTTATACGTAACAAAAATATAAAACTTTCTTCTTTATGTTATTAGTTTAGACTGGTTAGATATTACTATTAAAGTTGACAAATTACGATTTAAACCACTCCGTGGCAGTAAATCAATCGTAGATTACTTTTGAGAACTCACTAATATTCGAAAAAATAGAAAGAATTAATATATTAGAAAAGCATTGTTAATATAAGAATATCATATTTATTTTTGCATTACTAAGAGGAGAATGAAAATTCCCTATTGTCCTTTTGAAAACACTTTTGTATGCAGATTAATTTCTGCTTTTATAGTACGCCTCCAGCAATATAACCTCAATAAATGGTTAAAACCTAGTTCTTACTTTCTGCTATCTACAGATACTAGGAACCGAGATATTTAACTGTCTTAAAAATATATTGTAATATACCACAGACTTTACGATAAATGAAATTAATTTAAAAAGAAGAATTAAATACCCTATCCCAATATAAAACGGTATATTTTAAACTGTCTAGCTTAAAGTACTACAGTTGTTAATGAAGCGTAAAATTATTTAGTACATAGCTTATTTACAAAGCCTTGTAAAGGCTTATAAGGTAATCGTAGAAACGTTTTCGCGAATATTTGGAAACAAACTCAACTGCAACTCAATATGAAAATGAATGATATCACCGTGTGTTTCAAAACCGCGTATGGAATTTTGTACAACCAACTTTAGCAATAAGTGTTCAGTATTAGTATTGCTGTGTAAGCATGCACAAAAGTATGTTACAAACAAACCCGTACCTGGTCATAACATCATATTAAACATATCACAAAGAACTTAGTTGCATATTAGTTGAGTGCTTTACACAAGTTTTTGAAACATCGTAAGCATTAAATTTAAACCTAATGTTGCAGTCCCGGTAAATGGAATATTTCTCTGTATGAAATTTACTTACGCTATCGCGTTTTGAAAAATCACAACCAAATCATCCACTATTTTGCGAGCAACTTGTTTGAAAAATGAGCCCTTAGCGAATATTTTACTGTTGGTTCAGTTTATAATACGGTTATGCAACACGACAACGCTGCGTCCTATTTTCCATTCATCCTAGCTTAATTACTCGTAAAAACGGAGTGACTTATTAAAAATTGGTGCATTTTTTTTATCACTGCTTTGTTCTTATAATGAGGTCAGTAAGGCATTTAAAACATTTTTTAATTCTCGGGCCATATTTAATAATTTTTAAATTTAATTAGATAGTGAACTGCATAATTTATTACAGGTCTTTTCATGGGCTTCCTTTCTGTTCTATTAGAAGGATTTAAAAGTAGTTTTGAAATTTAAATGTTATTATTAATGTAAAATGCTAAAATAGTTATAACTTTTCTATGATAATAAATTTCTAGAGGAATAATAATAGATGTGTCATGTAGATAGGTAATGATCATCTAATATGCGGGCGCAGAGTCCATCGTTACATTTGGTAAAGTGAATATACGCCGACTACGGGATTTAATATGGCGTTAATGTAAATATCATTTCGCGGTATTCGCTCGTTAATTCATTAATTATGTTTTCGTATGGGACAAGTTATCGTGTGCTTAAAATTTTAATGCGACATGTTCTATGAATATATTTTAGTTCATTCCCGTATCAATATACGTGGCTTACAACTTTCATTAAGTACGTAATGTTGCATATAAATTCTAGCATCTCATAAGGAATGCATATATAAGAGCCTACCAATTCAAAATAATGGCCTGAAAAATTTAATTGTGTTAGCCTTTACTTTGGTTTTTTTTAACAAATAAATAGAAGATGAACTTTGCTATTGCTAAAAATATGCATTTAATATAAAAGCCTGTATATATATTAAATAAGCAAATATTACAATAATTTCCTATTTTGTGATACACGAGTGGAAGCTTGGGTAAAACATGTTTATAATAAAATATTAAGGTTTATCTAGCGACAGGAGGCAGCTATCGTATCTAAGGCTTTTTATGACATTCGGTTACCGCACGCTACCAACTTTTGACTTTAGTCATAGATTAACCAATATTATTCCGTGCGTACCTTGTTAAACTAAATGGGAATAAACGATTTACCTGTATGCATTATTTAATAATTATATCAGGCTTACGAAACCTATATACTATACATTAAAACATTCGTCACTTTTGTCAACCGTAATATACTCCGATTGGTTGATAGTAGGTAGTAATTGTTTTGATAGGAATGTTACATGCTTCACGGAACACTACTTATCTTGCATTCGATATTCAAAAGTTAAGAACGAAGCCATGGCAAATTGGCAAGAATGAGACTTAAATTAATGAATGTATGAACCGTGAAAACGTTTATAATATGGTTTCAAAACGCACTCATATCACCTCTATTGTTAAGAGCAAAAGAGTTGAAATTAAAACACATGTGTTCATGTAAGCTGATGTAACCCTTCGAGCTTTACAATGACCGATTAGGGCACCGGCCGATAAGACTTAAGCCGGATTAACGCGTCCTCGGCGAGCTTACTTTTACTTCCAAAGTACATAAATGTTTCACGTAGCTTCACTTCAATCTAGCTTTAGTGAATAGCGCTCAAAATCATTAAGCTAATTAAATAACTACCTTTTACTAGAGTCTATGCTTGCTTTCCCAAAACTTTCTCTTTTGCATAATTCTGTTAGATACGTGCAAAATTAATTAAAGCATTAACTAATTAATAAAATGGTTGAGAATATGTGAGCTGTTTTAAGAGTATTAGCTATAATGATGTAGGAAAGTTGTTTTAAGCTCTAAATGTACCTTGAATTAATGAGTTGCGCATTCTACTTGAGTATAAAAACTCTATATTAGTATGCAACGTTTTTTTTTCTTTTTCTTCTTATGAATCAAAGAAAATTTTAACTCTTCATATATAGGTAACTATGTAAACTTATGAACGTCAATATTTAAAAAATAAGGAAAATCTAAAGCTAGCTACTTCCAGTTCCAAAATCAACGACATAGAGCAACCGACAACTGGCAATCGCTAAGTTTTCGGATTACAAGTAAATTGTAAGGAAGTGCAACGAATACGCACTGCTTTATTGAAACAAAATGTCATAAACGCTGAGCATCAACAGGTAAAATAAAAGTGCGGATTTTCATTATAGTTAAAACACAAACACGTAGTCGATCAAGTTTAAAATGTGTAAAATGACTGTTGGAAATTAGAAATATCACCACATACACGGATTCAAACACGACCAGTCACCTGATAGATACCCATTTTTCATCGCTATCAATGCTATCATTAAAACATAAATTAAATCTATTTTTATTACATATTATATAGTTTACAAATGTAACCATTCGGATAAATCTCGCTGAACTATTTTTATATGAGATATGTCATTCTGGCCAGTATTAGTTATTCATCGCGGTTGGGATGCCACGATAAATCGATATCACCTTTTCCAGTGTCCGGACCCTTGGCATTAGGAATTTTTATATTGAAAATATTCTGTTTGCTGTGCACTATTTTTAAATATATTAAAACTTGCTTGCTTGGCCCTCGTCGTCGAGGCAGTGGAGTGAGTGTGTGAGTGAGTGAGACTTGCTTGCTTGATACGCTTTCGCCAGTATGAAATGAAATTACAAAGTGACATATGTGTTCTATAATATAACCTATGTCTATGAAATTTCATTTATAATGGTATTCATCGTCGCATGAAATGTTTTGAAGGGTTAATAAAATATATAAATATATAATAAAATATAAAATTCAAACTTATTATGTTTGAATTGCTTTCCCAAATTTAACGTTGACAATACTGTACCTAACTATGTCATATCAATATTAAGTTGAAATTGTCGTGGTACAGCCGAATAAATATATCAAATATATTGCACCTAGTTGTTTCATTTCCTCGCATAACTGAAAACCGAGACTTGGTTTTGGCAGCAGATTTTTATGACGTATCTGGTATACTAAAAATGTAACTTTACTTCATGTATGATAATAAGGAAGTAAGGAATTTTTTTCACTTCAGATTAAACCAGGAAATTAAGAGCGGTGCATGGTGTCCTAAGTCCCAAATCACGACGGAGTCAACTGAGTGGTTAGAGATAAATCTTCACTCTGTTCACGTCATAACGGCGACAGGGACACAAGGGCGTTTTGGAAATTCTCAAGGAGTGGAGTACGCTGAAGAATATTCGTTGGAGTATTGGCGACCAAAGCTTGGCAAATGGATGCGCTATCGACCAGCTGATGGACGGGAGGTAATGCCTAACTCTATCCATATCACCATGTATAACCCAGATTCAATGAAATATAATGAAAGCATTAAAGTCATCAGTTGGGTGCAAATGTCATCACCGATTACATATGTTACAACCACTGAAAAGTTCAGTTCGTTCAAAAACATGCTATGTAATTTATCTGAAATTTGATTTACGAATTACTTGGGCACGCCTTAGTTTATTGCTAAAATATTGGGTACAGGCACAAGACACAGTTACATAAAACTTACACGGGCTGTCACGAAAAGGAAGTTATTCTTTGATTGGTATGAGTTGTGGTTGAGATCTCAAATTATTTTAAACAATCTTTTTGATAATGTACTAACTTTTTTTAGTTAGCGTGTTTTATATGAGTATTTAGCAAAAATATTACCATTTGGTTCTTTCAGATTTTACCCGGTAACACGAATACGTATTTAGAAAAGAAAAATCACTTAGAACCGCCTATTTGGGCATCCAAAATTCGATTCATCCCTTCAAGTTCGCATCGACGCACTGTTTGCATGCGAGTGGAGCTTTATGGGTGTTATTGGAACGGTAAGATATCGTCTATATATACAAATTATAGGCAATGTTTTAGATCTTGTCACTATTATAATCTGCTATTTATTCTACCACGGCTATATTTTATATATATTTACTGTGATATCTTAGTCGTTAAGCGTGCAATTTTCCTGAAGCTCGAAATATTACCAAACCACATACCACTGCAAGAAAATAGTACCGATCACAAAATACGGACAACGCACTCGCGAGCTTTTTGCCAATCTGTGCATGGGCGGCAAATTCACTTAACATCAGTTAACCTCATACACGTACTGTTTCATAATATATTGGGCAAAGAAGTCCTACATACTTGAATCAGATGCAAATTTAAGACAAGATACGTAAGGGGTTGTAGCGCCTCTAGATTATTATTGATTACACCACGGTCGCGCCATAACGAAATGTTTTTAATTGGAAGCCATTATACTTTTCTATAAAATGTAACAAAAAGTAATTGTTCGCATGGTAATGGCGGGGCAATACCCAGGAGTTATCGTGGTGCATGCGAGTTGTTATAAGCAAATGTTGCAAATCGTTCTGCTTAATAATACCTCTGATACGTTCCGTCGTTTTTAAAGTCGTTTTCCCTGAATCTTTGACGATTATAAAAGCTAGAATTTCGTTCTTTGAAACCACAGATTATGACAAACGATTATTACGATAAAGTATTAAATTGTGTTGCTGATGTTCCCTGTAATAATAATAATAATAATAAAAGCCTTTATTCAGATAGAAAATTTTACATAATTTTAAACTTAAACTATTATCACTAGTGACTAGTGAGTCGGTGACACCGACAACCCATCTGTTTGCCCAACTTTGGCAAAGGCCTCCTCCATTTCATTCCACTCTGCTCTGTTCTGAGCTTTCCTGGTCCAAATTGTCCCAGTTACGGATTTTATTTCGTCTACCACCTTCGAAACTGTCTACCTCGTTTTCTTATCTTATTTCTTGGGTACCAATATATGATCTTTTTGTTCCACTTATCTATACCTCTTATTATGTGACCAGCCCATTTCATTCAATCTTCGTATCCTCGTTGTGACGTCTTCAATCTTCGTGTGGTTTCTTATGATGTTCCCTGTAATCGTTTCCAATTTTAACATAACACAGGCAGAGACAAATATAGTTGTGACTTGCGTGGTGTTAAAGTAATAATTTGAACGCTTATTACATAAATCGATGCTTAGTTTAGAGACGTCACGCAATCGCCATTATTTATATTTAAGTAAGCTTTACAGTTGAATATAAATGAGCATAAGATTTATATTCCCTAATATAAGGTATTGCAAATATCTTAAACTTCCAATGATAATTTATATCCACAGTGTAACGGATGTTTTGTAGTAGATTAAGATTTACGATTATTTTAAACGATGATATATTCAAAGTGTAAAGTGCATTTCTGTTATTTCCATACAAGTGAAAGTTGAAAAGGTATTCAAATATGACCAGCGTAATAGTTGTTTATATTCCCAGCCAACATTCGGATTCACTATCTAAACCATGGCTGTAATGTTGAATTTATAGAAAGCCGAATTTTTAGTTGGTATTATTATAGAACAAACTATCATTATACTATTTAGTGATTATTTGTGATTTATTGTTCATGTCCAGGGTATTAAAAACATTGAATTAAATATTACGAAAGAAATCCTTAAATCAGACGAGGACATATAACCGACCTACTCTACTTTTATACTGGTCCTTCACTTGTTTGGACTAGGTTTTAGGTCTCATTGACTATTCATAATATGAATGATTTTGTTCGCAGTGGGAATAGTTGCGTATTCGATGCCAAAGGGCGACATACGCAGCAATGATGTAGGCCTCACTGACTCCATATATGACGGCCAGTGGGGCGAAGAGCTAAAAGGGGGTTTAGGAAAGTTGGTTGACGGACAATTTGGTGGGGATGAAATACGAGAAGCTGCCAAGAACTTAGCTTGGGTTGGCTGGAGGAATGATTCAAGACCCACACCACCAGTGATTACGTTCGAGTTTGATAAAGTGAGAGAATTCAGCGCTGTTCATATTTTTTGCAATAACAAATTCATGCGGGATGTACAGGTGAGTCGGAAATAATATTTCATTGCTTTATTGTTATTTTTTCTAATTTTTTTTGTACTAATATGGTTTCAGCTGAATTCTTACAGTTCCATTTAATAAAACACTGATAAATGGTCTCAAATAAATTACTTAAATATATATTTATAAAATTAAGAACTCGTTTATAATTAACCGTTTTTAAAAGAAGACAATGTTTAGTTTTAAACCATAAAATTTCGTTACAATCCTTAAGTAGTAGGTATAACAGGTACACTGTTTCAGGTATTCTCCGAGGCTATTATCTCGTTTTCAATCGGAGGTCGGCACTTTCAAGACGAACCCATTCGGTATGCATCAGTGAGCGACAATATATTTGAGAACTCTCGCAACGTGAGCATCAAATTGCACCACAGAATCGGCAAGTGGGTTCGCATAGAGATGCGGTTCTCGGCTCGGTGGATTCTTATTAGTGAAGTCGTCTTTGATTCGGGTGAGTTTCTTTGTAATGGCTGTGTTGGAAGTGTTGAAAGCTTTAGTGACGCATTGGGAAGACACATTCCTGCGTCTTTTTTTAATCTTTTCTAGGTAATTTGTGCTTTAAAATGATTTTTATTTCGTCAGACATTTTACGCAAGACCTCAAAGTAATGCTTGAACGTTGACGGTTGAACATTGTTTAGCTTATTTAATATATAAATATGATTGTCGTAAAACAGTTTGACTCTTTTTGTGTCATATATATAAGATAGCTGAGCTGAGTGGTGATTCCTTTCTTAGATTATTCTTTTCTAATTTCAATTCTCTTAAATTAAACTTCAGCCTACTCTGCCTGACGTGTGCAGTGTGCCGTCGACTTCTTGGGCCTAAGGCAAAGCGGTTTCCCTTTATCGTAAGAGCGAGTGGTAAATGCGCACATAGACCGAATTTCCATTGGCAGCCGGGGTTCGAACCTACGACCTTAGAGATCGCAAGCTTTAGCTAAATCCAACACCACCATATTTACACCACATTTATACCTTATGACAAAAATATACTTATCGTACATTATACGTAAATATAATTATTTTTACGTAATTAAAATATGTTTATTAAACGCTTCTACCATTCCTTAATATCACAAATAAGTGACCGTGCTTAACAATGCGGGACCTATTACGTATACATCGAAATTAATAATAACAATTACATATTTCAGACGTCGCCCAAGGGAATTACACTCCCGAGAGTTCGAAGCCGACTCAAGTCAAAGACAAAACGAAAGTTATTACAACAAATAATGTACCAATACCCACAGCACATCAAGACGATCCACTCTATATGGCGATTGTCGTTGGTGTCCTTACAGCTCTAGTGATATTACTAATTGTCGCGGTGTTTCTCATAATACACCGACATAGACATAGAAAATGCTTCGCGTCGCCTCTAGCCAAAACAACTATAGCCCAAAAAAGAGCAGCGCCAGAGAATTATAACACTTGTGGATCTTCGATGTTGCCTGACAATAAGATGATAATCGATTGCGGGTTAGATGTGAAGTCTGATGAATATCAGGAGCCCTATCAGGCTTTGAAATGTGCGCCATACTTCAGCTATAGCACAGTGTTGTTAGAGATGAAGGACTTTGTTAAGGATTCTAATACAGCGTTGTCTGGTATGTTGTGGTTATAGAATATTTTCTAGCTCTTAAACAATTACACAGAAACGTTTGTATACCTACAATTAATCTCTTTGCACCGACTATTAACAGGAAAACAGAATAAAAGAATACAAAACATCAATAATTAATAGTAATTCAACAAAAAACACACAAATCTATAATCTATTGTCAGCCATAAAGCAAGCCAAACGTCTCTTAAAGGCGTCAAATGTGTTGGCACCAGTAATTGACGCAATCGGGTTTTTAAATAGTTGCGGTCCCTCTAGTTACAGTTTTTTAAAAGAGTTAAAAAAAAATATTCAATAAAAAATGCAAATATTCTGAATTCTCAGTTATGCAGTTGATTAGCTTCTCTTCAGTCATCTTCATTGTCGTAGAACGTCAGTTAATCATGAAGGCAATCCGCATAAGCATTTGTTTAACGTCAGGAATCACCTGGAACCTGGAACCATCAGGATACCTGCACTGGGAGCATGTCACTAACGCTTTCTAATATCTAAAACAATAACGAGTTGAAATTTTTCTGTAGAAAATTCGACGCCTCGTAACAATTACGATCTGTATTTTTGATATAGAAACCTATTGCCGGCTAGGGTCTGAAACAGCTTGTCTTCGTTTTAAATTAAAATTCAAAATTCTCTCCCAACAGACAGTTCAAATTACGACTACGCGGTACCAGAGCTGTCATCAGCGCCACTATTAACAAAGCGTAGATTGCTCGACGACTCGTCAGCTGCAACTGCGCTCATGAGCGATCACGAAATTGATATGGAGACTAGGCGCTCGTGTGCAGGATCACTGCGCTCCAAGCATAGTACGAGGGTAAGTGTAGAGTTTTGTATAATCTTAAACTAAATTTCATTTTGCCGTCGTTTTTGTACCTGTGTACTTTGATAAACACTCGTACGGTGAAGGATGTAAGGAAACCATGCCTTAGACACAAAAAGTACACGTCGTGTGTCAGCCAGAGAAGGCTGATTATCTACTTGCCTGTTACAAAAAACAAACCCCAAAACAGATACAGAAATATGAGGCCCTGACCTAATGCTAGTAGGCGACTGGATTTTTTGCCTGTACTTTGAGACTGAAGAATTTTTTTACAAATTTCTAACACCGCGTAAATCAGACTAACGCCATCGTTTGAATCAAAGTGTTATTTGTCTCTTTTTATCACAGGGTAAACACAATTTGATAGACAAAGTGCAATAAATGATTTATTTTTATAAACGAGGTAACCTCTTAGGGAGCGTTCAAGTATTACGTAACGAATTTTGTCCGTTACGATGCGGGGCGGGGATTGAATTACGCGTTATTGTTAATATTATTTTCTACTTACACCACATAATAGTAACTAAAGAGTCACTAGGTGGTCACGAAACGCTTTACTAGACTTGGGTACTGAAAAACGTTACGGCGAGTTCATGGGGGGGAGGGTCAATAATCTCCAAATAAGAGATAAATACCCTTATAACATAATGCACTAAAACGTTTTAAAAACAATATTTCTATTGATTAGCTGAGAGAATTGAATGCATAAAGTTTAATTTATTTATATAATATTGGTATAAATGAAAAGGCTATTTTCGTTTTTTTAAGTGGGTTAATTAATTTCGTCTTTACGTTTGCCTGTTAATAGAGGTCCGTTCCCATAGGCCATACATTTTCACGTCATTGCATACATTATTCTCTATAGGCAAGTAGATCAGCTTTTTGTGTTTCTTTTTGGGTAACATGGATTCCTCGCGATGTTTTCCTTCACAGTATAGGCATGTGTAAATAGATGCCTATTTATTTGTACACAACAGAGATAGAGTCGCTTTATTTCTAGGCTTATGTTTCAGAGACGACATTTAGCGCTAAGTGTTAGGACCTATCTGGTCTCCAAACTCCAAAAAAGTACATTGTTTCTTTCCATTTTTCGTCATCGTTTCTTGAAGTAGAGCGAATGGAAAAAATATATGGTGGAGTTGAGTAGTTAAATAAAATAATCCAAACATTGCCAATTTTTGACCCTTTGATGATTTTTTTTTTAATTTTTGACATAGATTTTCGTCATAAAATATTTATTTATGATAATTATAGAACATCATTTTAAAATTTACACGATATATTTTATCGCAAGCCAAGTATCCATTTCAAAAAAAAAATTATAAAATTACATAAGTCAATGTTTTACATAACTAATTGTTATTACGGGCCGGCGCGCCTCAGTGCTCCAGCTCTCCACTGCGCCCCGCAGTCCACCCTGAGACACTGACACAGCAATTCGTACTGGGATAGGGCCTTAAGCCCAAATGCGAAAAATGCGTTGGAATTTGACATAAAGAATTCCTTTGTACTGAGCAAAATAAGTTACGCTTATACGTTTATAATTAATATTGCTTACTATTTACAGTCTCCAAGCCAACAAGAGGTGCTTATAGATTTAAAACGACGTCTTGAGACAACGAATGTTATTGAATTTCCTCGACACCGACTTCGAATGATTTCTAAGCTGGCTGAAGGGGCTTTTGGCACTGTAAGTATTTTAGTATTAGACAATTCCTATTCAATTATTGGTAAAGCAAAATATATGATATAATAATTCATATGCTGTGAAAGTGATTATGGACGAATTACAAAATCTGCTGATAAGCAATCAGAAATGTTAAGAGAATTTGTCATAATATAAATAAACTAAGAACTCGCACTACAGGCATTATGTCTTAAAAATTCTAATCAATGAGTTTTCCATATGCAGAATCAAAAAAGGAAATCTCGGTATAGCATACTATGTAAATCACACTGTTATTGGAATTTAATCGACAGTTTAGTACGAAAAGTTGTCGAGAACTTACAGAGAACCGATCCTGTCCTATGCGTAGGCATATAAACAAATTGACAAAAATTTACATCGCGACGAGAAAAAATTGCTAGCAATATTTTCTCGTCTGCCATTTTGTACCGTAAACATAAGTACTTATTTTAATACAGGAAACCCTTTTGAAAAACGAATTTATTACAAAGTTTCGAGTGTTTTTAGCATTTGTGGACAGCGAGAGAGATATATGTTTACATATCATTTATATATTATTATAGTGCTAATATCGCTATTAAAATTTTAGTGGTAGGACCGTGAATAAATGGTTATATATATTAAGATCAAATCATAGAATAATAAATAAAATTTCGGCCACCCTTATCACGTTGGAGTATAAAAATACGACCTTTGTCAGACATACAAATAAACACAAAAAAAATCATGAAAATCGGTTTCGGAGGACAACACGAGAGTTTTGTATATAAATATGGATATTTAGATAAAGCATGATAAACATCTTATAGGTTTATGTGGCGGAGGCTGACGGCGTTCCCGAATACAATGGAACTATTACCTCGGATCGACGCTTGGTTGCTGTCAAGTTTCTATGCCATGACGCCTCGCTCAAGGAGAGGTATATCATGTATGAAATTACAATCTCATATACAGCACGTATGGGATAACCAACTAGCGATGATAAATCTATATTTAAAAAAACTCACACAGTAAAATTGAGCTTACTTTAAATACTGAATTAGTTTAGTGTTTTTTTTATTTATTGTTTTCTATAAAACTCGCGCGCTTTATTCATCATTCAAAATTGTTTCTTTATCACTCTTATGACAAAGTGAAAGGGCAAAAATCTGTTAAATCGTGGGATAGTTCTGTATTTATTAATTTGGTAAAGATTTTATATGTTTAAAGTATGATAATCTTGTAGCTCATATTTTATTAATAAGTCAATAAGTGCATTACATATTAATTAATGCATTCCTCTATTGCGATACATTTTGCTTTGAGGTATTTCTGCCAGTGACATGTTGGAGCTCGTAAATAAATGTTTCGAATTTTTCATATAACAGTTAAAGAAACATTGTGTTAAACAAATTAATAACTTTTTGTAAATTTAATATATAGAAAATTAGACAATTTGATATGACATTAATTTCATACATATTTTTACACATTTTTAATTACACTATTCATTCTTCTCTTTCGGTCAAATTGTGTTTACATTGTGATGAAAAGAGACATTAAAAGGCTTGAAATGCTTTAATGGGTAATCGCTTCTCGTCGTTGGTTGGTTTTATTTGGATCCTCGCACACCCCAAAGCCTGATTAATTTTTTTATATAATTATACAATTGACCACATTAAATACTACTGAAGCAAGTTGAAATTTCTAAATAAAACAGCGTTCATAATGAAATTTGGTTATTTATATATTCAAGTGTTATTATTATTTTAAGGTTCAGCTAAAGCCAAAACTTTATTATTCCGGAATCGAACCCAGACCATCCACATTTAAACTAATGAGACAAGGTTAAAATAAATGTTATTTCATCACAATTGTTGGAACTATATCAAGGAGTAAGCCCAGAAAAGTAAAATTTATTTAAAACTTTATAAAATAACAAAATAAATGAATGAATATTTGTAATTCACGAAAAAATTTGGCTTTTATTATAATATGTACATTTTTATAAAGATTATTTTATATAACGGTTTTTAGCTATTATAATGATATGGTCAAATTAATTTTAGTTATATTATATTCTAGTTTTCTTGGCTTACTTCTTGGTCTATATTCAATAATTGTGTATAAATAATATATTTATATTTTCAGGGAGGAGTTTGAGCGTGACGTGCGCATCTTGGCGGCTTTGTCGTCGCCACACCTAGCAAGAGTATTGGGCGCCTGCCGATCACCGCCCTTGGCTGTAGTTCTCGAATATCTTGAGCTTGGTGAGTATGTATATAAAGGAATATGATAGGGTATAATATATTTTTATTACGGTTTATTATAATTCAGTAATCAAAATGAATATGAATTACAAATGACGGTATTACCGTGTAAACTTTAGATGTTTGTGACAGTAATTTTATGGAATACTGTAATTTTAAATTAAGCTGTAATGACGTCATAATTTACAGATAATAACTAGTACATATTAATTCGTAACGATAGAACCAAATTTTATAGTGTGTTAACATTTTGTCAAAGTTTTAATTTTTTCGTAAACAAAGAGATTTTTTTATATTTAAATTGTAGGTGATTTGTGCTCGTTCCTACGTACGACAGTGCCGCCATCTCTCGCTACTTTGATGCATGTTGCAACGCAAATCGCCGCCGGAATGCAATATCTGGAGTCATTAAACTTCGTGCACAGGGATTTGGCTGCTCGGTATGTTGATAAATTCCTTCAAGTGTTATATTAACTTTATGTTATGTTAACCGCATTGAAATGTAAATCAAGCCGAAGACTGACCTATAAAAAACAATTGACGAATGATACAGACATATTTTTTTTAATTTATGGCAGTTTAACTGCAGTCCAACGCACGCTTGGAACTAAAAATGTTGAAACAGTAATTTAAAATTAAAAAAACAATTTTTAATTCGATTGAAATCATAAAACATATTTGCATATTTCACAGTAATTGCCTGGTCGGCAAAGGATACCAGGTGAAAATAAGCGATTTTGGTACGGATAATGAAGTGTACGCGTGTGATTATTACAAAGTGGATGGTAGAATACCCCTACCGTTGAGATGGGCTCCCTGGGAATCTGTTTTGAGGGGAAAATATACGACTAAGAGCGATGTATGGGCGTTTGCTGTTACATTACACGAAATATTTACTTTATGCCGCCGGAGGCCCTACGAACATTTGACTGAGGCTGAGGTAACTATCTAATTAAGTTTCAACTCGCTTTGTTTTTTTTAAATTACTTTATTTGTCCTTATCGCTCTCGTACAATTCTGAAACATCTATTTCTGTTTGATGCAGCAAATTTACGTAGATTGGTGTCTGATCAGTGTCCTATGAGATTATAAGCTTTTGGTGCGTCATGGATTTGGCATATTTCATTTAGCATATACATAGGTTACTTTTGACTGAGTATTTTTTTACATTTATTAAGTTTCAGTTGAAAGGTGTACAGATAATAAGAGTTAAGTCTATGTTTTTATTGAATTATTTTGTTTTTAGAAGGTACAATAAACTAACTATAACTAAAAACTGTCTATATTATTTATATAAACACATAATGATCCAAGTCCAGGAATAAAATGTTCATCAACTTGTTTAATATTAATTATACGGAAATTATAAAGTAAAAAAACAATTATAAGGGCCGTGTATAAATTAAATGCACAAAAACGCATCAATGCAGTTTTTATTAAATCTTAATAAATTTTACAGGTGCTAGAAAATCTATCCCATTTACAAGCGGATGACGACCTGTTTGAATGCATCGATCGCGCTCCAGGCGTACCTCGTGATCTCTACGAAGTCATGACAGATTGTTGGAGAAGAGACGAATTGGAAAGACCAACCTTTGCGGAAATGCACCTAATTCTACAGCGTAAGTGCCTAGCACTGACTACGTGATGTTACCACAGATGTCATAGATAACATTAGGTCGAATTCGCTCGTATCCGACTTTTAAGACTGAAACGATCCATAGAGATGTCAAATGTCAATATTATGCACTGACTAAATATTTATGTTTTGTTTATGGTATTATGTTGAGGATGACTGTGCGATCCTTCGTATTGTGTATTCCGATATTCTAACACGTGATAAAAATTTATGTTTTGCAAAAGTAAATATACCCGGGTACCCAATATAACCCGACTGAAGGAACTTAATATATTTAAGATTTTAAGTATGAAAATTGAACGATTTTCATACTTAAAATCTTAAATATACAGGTAGAACAAGAACTTAAATGTACAGGTAGAACAAGAATATGGTACTTTTTATTTTGTGATATTAGTAATTTGAGGTGCAATTTGTTTAAACAATGTGGACATTTCATATCTTATGTGTTTGCATGAGTTTCTCTTAATTATCCCCGCCCACGACATATTATCATTCGTAATTACGAAACAGATTGAAGACGCACCGGTCTCTATAAAAACCAACGGATTTTAAAACCTTAAATGGGTGTCTATGGAAATGGTAGAACCGTAAAGATACAGAACATTCTAGATAATTCAATCGGACGAGAAGTGTATAAGTAGTTCGTTGTCGGCTCATTCGTTTCTTTAAAATGTAGTCAATTAAAAGTTAAGTATTGCGAACCCTACAAATATGAATTGCAGGTTTTAGGTCGTTTGCGACAACGAATTGATATTTCTAGAATTATTAAATTTTCTCTGCGATGCACATTTTATAGGATTAAACTATTACCGAAAAATTTTAATCCCATTAAATGTGTATTATAACAGCTTCTATTTCTTCCTTTTGGAGAGTGTTGTATTTATTAAATTTCGTTTAAGTAATCAAGTAGTTTTCAATTTGGCCTAGAGAAATGGCTGATTGTAGAAATAATGTAGGCACGTTTGAAGCCACGTTTTTTCATCGATTCACCGCCAATGTTCGCGCACATAAACGCATGGTCATATTCAGTTTTGCTATACTTTCAATTATCATGTTAGTATTAGATGATATTCTGTACTTGAAGATAGGGATTGGCATTTTACTGTCACTCTAAGGTTTATGTATTATGGGACTATATACTATTGAATGAAACTGTCGACCGCTGTGAATATGCTGTAGTCGTAGAATAAATTGGTTTCTAAGCATTTCATGAAATGGCTAAGGCTGGTCATGTTACGTTAAAGTCTGTATATTTTGGTAGTGTGTTTATTGCATTATAAATTAACCTATATTTTTAGTTTTTTTACTATTTTTTTATTTCTACTTTGTATACCTAAACCAAACTTGTCGATTCAATTATAAAATTAGTACTGTTTTATTTCATCGCAATGACCGTACCTATTTTTCCTGATCATTTTATGCAATATAACTAATTAATGATAAGCAACACACTCTACGATGAAGGCACGATATAAATTCCAAACAATTTTTACTAGCGGCGCTGATAAAAGTACATTTGGAAAAAAACCTTTTTATCAAGAACTTTTAACATTCAATGCAAAATTGTATCAACTATTTATTGAAATTTGTAACTTATTTATTAAAGCCCTCGTTATTTCTAAACTAAATCAGTCTGATTGATCACTTTTAAAGTACTCTTTTGTCTCTTTCTGTCTTATGTTTTCTACGCTGTGACGAAAAGAGACCGATGAATACTATAGTAAAAACCAATATGCCAATCACTGTCTTACAGTTAAATAAGTAACGTAGACGCTTCTATAACTTAGACTAAGATTCAGAGATGATTTAGCGCAAACTATCACTCTCCCCTGATTATTTTGACAGATTTTATGGTTTAGACATATCTATCTATCTCTGAATCTTCGTCTCTAAGATAATTTACAAGAGCTTATATTTCAGTGTCGTGTGCGTGTTGAAATATGAATTAAATTGTAAATTTAACTGCAAGTCGACTTTCACGAGTGAGCTACGTTTAATAGACATAAGAAATCCGATCTTCCTCCGCCAATAATAGGGTAATAGTCCGCTTTACAAATGTATAATAGTGGTAACCATACTATAAGATTACCTCGAAGTAAAATGTACTTAAAGCAATAGAAAAATTAAGGGTATAAAAATTCTAATAAAACAAACGTATATTGAAATGTTTATTCATTACTGAATTGAATTAATCTATCTGTTTTCGCTACATATCTTTATAAATTCGATATTTTGAAATTTAGGCCCCGTTTTTATGCGATCTTCGTAGTAAACACTTGCTTCAAACGGCTCTTGTTAACTTGCCTGAAACTACTAAATTCGTAAGTTCTATTCGCATCGCCGTCTAGTTACCATGTTATGATAGTAATTTATTTTCATGTAATTTAAACCATATTTTATTATATTAGTCACTAGATATAGATCCAGACTATAAAAGAATAGGTATAAAATATTAGAAAGTATTTATATAGTTGACAGTTGTCTATTTTCCGTAGTTTACCGTGTTAAAGTTAGTGTTGACAATCTTCGACAATATTTTGAGCGATTAGATAGGGTGTAACTTTTTATCGAGATTAGAATAATTACGTTCGCATATGTACTGAATATTATGGTGTAAGACGTAAGTAGATAATCTCATCACTGGCGATTGTATTCGGGCTACGCGAAATTTATAAAGCTTTATTTATTTAGCTCAGCCGGTAAGATAACTTAAATTTTCTAAATTTTTTACGTACGAGACTTGGCGCTAAATTTCGTTTCTTACCCTCAATGTATGGAGACCATATAATTATAAATATTTGTCTTTACCCATTAAATATCCCAGCAATACTTGTTTAACTATCCCGAGTGATCGCTAGAGTGAAGATTATGTATAAATAGGATATCACATAGGTGTTACGACCGTGGACCGAACGGCTTAATTTTAAGAGCCTAATTTAGCATTTGAATGTAATTATCATAGATATAAGTGATGTTTGCGATGTAGAGTTTTCACTATTTGTACACAGACGGAACCAATGTACTAGGCTTAGCGAACACTTAAGAGATCTAATTATATTCTAAGAAAGTAGGAAGACTTAAATTACGCATTTACTCGATCTGGCCTTACTTTCTTGAACTAGCTTATAGTCTTGTGATGAGAAATCTCGTGTCTCATTCCTTAGTGCTATATCGATTATAGTTAATGTTAGGCCCCTAATAATAATAATGTACAATAAACACCCTCTCTGCCTTAGTGATGCTGTTTTTACCCCTATGCTATGAAATATCACATTAGATTGAAATTATTATGTATCATGTAAATACGAATTCTAATGGCTGGTGTATAATAATGAGCACTATGGAAAACTTTAATTCCTAACAATGGTCCAAACTTCACTCGCTTTTTTATTTGTACTATACGATTATACAATTTCTATATAGATAAATAATAATTAGTATAGTGTTAATGTCTTATGCTTTAATATTATTTTATAAATGTAAATCATGTATTTGACAAAATGCTTAATTTTCATAATCGAATTTTATGATGAAAGGTTGATACCAAATGCAGTATTTTTATTTTATATTCTACATCTTTGTACCCAAATAAAAGCAATAATCTTATATGCTCTTTTCTTTATTCATCCTGTTTGATTCGGTACAAAAAAGTCAACTTCTCGATAACATACATTTTTCATCAAACTATTATTTATAAACACCACGCTTATCAGTATTTCTGAAAGAATAACTTCCTTTGCTCTCATAAATATTTTCCTTTATATTTCTCTGTACTTCAAATTAGATTCAGTTAAGATGTGGTACAGTCGGTTGCTCTTAGTATGTTTCATTCAAAGTACTTTAACTGTTAAAGTCAAAGTTATAATGCATTCAGATGAAGATTCTAAAATAGAAGAAGAAGATTCTCTACATACAGAAAGTTGGGATTACAAGAAAAAAATTGATATCACTATGATGCCTTTTTTAAAGAAAGCGGCGCATAGGCACAACGCGGAAAAGCAAGTCGATTACGAGGAAGAAAAACCTACGACGGAAAAGCTACGGCCGATCCACCCCAATGAGATGATATTCCCGTTAATTTACCGCCAAGTTCATATAAATAGTATGTTTAAATTTGCTGAAAACTGGTACACTTGGTCGACTGAAAAGAGAACAGATGGGTCTAAGGCGATTAATTACTACGTATGTTATGACGAGCCAAAGCATTGCGACGAAGTTGGTTGGGTAAATTTTCAATTTTTTTACTTAACTTTCTGTTTAATACTAGGTTAATATTAAACTGTAGGTATCACGAGTTATTATATAAAATATTAGATTATCCAGAAAGGATGGCTTTCAACGCATTCGCGTTACGGGCCTTTTTACTTTTCTAATTGGGTTCAGACAGTCATATTTTCATTCATCGTTGACAATATATCTCTTTAGTTTGGTCTTATTAAAAAAATAGCTATATTAGCGTCCATTTACAAGCTAATACTTTTTTAATGAAATTATTTTTTCTATTACTATTGATTTTAACGTAATATTTAAAATACTTACAAATATTTTACGCTTCTACTCACTGCAGAGGTTGATTTTACCATACCCGGCAAAAACAATTAATTAGCGCCGAAAAGCTGATCAGTACCTACATCACATACATTCCCATGTCCCACTCGATGCATACACTCAAAATTAGTATTGTAGTAGTAGTGATAATGATATTAAAACAAACACTTTTTGATTATTTATCGGCAAATTTAACGTATTTTACATTGTTCATGCTTCTCTGTAAATCTCTATAATACAAGCTCGTCGATATTGAAACTTTCAGGAGCGAACAGACAATCCCCCAAGGTGCGCTTTTCAAATAGATTCTCTAATGCCCGATGATCGCGCTTGTCTTAACACTTTCGGTGTGGAACCACATACGAATGGAGTTTGCGACGGAGGAGAACAAATGAAGGTAAAGCACAAGCTACAGCTCCAGCTGGGTTTAATCAAACATTTGTTAAGTAACCGCGTAGTGAAACCACGTCCATTCAAAAAATTGGTTGTAAAATAATTGACTATAAACAATTTATTATAGACCGAACCCATAACTTTAATGGAGTGCATTTATCCATAAAAACCTTTCTTTATTCGAAATAGGCTTTTAATATATATATTACAAATCGAACAACACATTTTTCGGATTAGCATAGAATGCTGACGTGAAATGTGTATATGTTTCTGCGCCATTAAAAGGTCCTGGGTATTGACATTTATATTTAAACAACCAGAGGCTCTTATTTCTTTATAGGCAAGTAGCTGTATCGTTCTGTGCATATCAGTGTTACCCACACGTATATAATTACCATTTATAGGTCAGCGATATTGTGCGGGCGTGCGGACCAAGGATACGTTCGTTGTGGCGATTCTTCCGTGTAGGACGCAGACCGGCCAACGCAGCTAAACCAGCTGATGTCAATTCATTAATATGCGAAGATGAAGAGGAATGCTTTATTACTATCGAATACAGAGTAAGTCAATTAATATTTAGAATACAGGCAACTGAAGACCCAATATTAAAAACCTTACTTAAAAATATAACTATTCAAGTACAATTTAGCAAATTGTCCTTTATGTAGTATTTTTAATAGTAAATAATGATAAAAGTGTCATTCTTATCCATGTATCGGACGTGCTGTGCATTTTGTATCGGTATAAGTAATACATGGTATAATAGTCATATAATCCTAAAAACATTTTGTTAATTAAAATAGTAAATTATTGTGTAAAACGATTCAGTCATTGAATCGCTTGTTTATTATCTTTTAATTTAAATTAATCTTTATATTCTAATTTTTAGATTCATCACGACAGAATAACATTTTCCCTACATGAACCTTCAAGGGGCCAAACATTTAAAAGTGCGCTGAAACGAGATATTCTGACGGAGGAGGATAATAAAGTTATACTAACCACAGAATCGCATACGAGAACAGTTCATCGATCCAAAAAAAATCGTGATGAAGAACATAGTCGAAAGAAATTTCATAACAAATCTAGAAGCAAAATTGTCGAAGGCAAGGGAGTCGTAAAAGAAAGGAACGATTCTGGCTATACAAATAGTAGAGTACTTAAAAATAAAATTAAAGTGAAAGACGATAATATATCAGAGGATGTATCTGATAAATAAAAAAAAATCTAGTTTTAAGTTATATATTTTGAGCGTTGATCGAATTTAGCATTTTAGTACAACCTAAAATCTTTATAAACGTACTAGTATTGTAAGAGAATAAAACATTATTTTAATACTTTATCATGCATTTTCTTCTGTTGGCATTTTAAACCCCGATAAAGAATTAAATAATAGTATTCTTGGCACGTACTTACATCCTCCAGACTTAAAATAGCTTCTTTTAAAAATAAATATGACAAAAAATAAATATAAAATCTGATTAATTTACAGCGGAGCGGATAGGAAAGTTTCATATATTCAAGATTATTTTATGATTATAAAACCGTTTATTTAAACCTAAACATAACAAATAAATATACAGTATTTACAATTTTCTTAACCTACAAAGTAATAATAAAAATAATTAAATTAAACTTATAAAGTTTGGTCCCTGTGGCAGTGTACATTTAGCGCTGGCTTACTTATTCCTTGAACGAGGTAAGTACCAGCTTTAGAGTCACCCGTACTATATACCAGGTGCCAACCTAAACCTTTAATTAGGGCCTGTGGACTCGAACCCCACGGCCTAAGACTGTCTACTCCAAAGAGAACACAATCGAAGTTGGAGTAGACTCTTATTTTTAAGCCGTCTATTTCCGCCTGCTCTGCGGCCGCCCCATCTTTTTTGCTTGTCCGAGGCAGGTGAGACGGGGCTAACGTGTCTACACAAGTAGCAATCCATACCAAAGCCCGTCCCATCTTCCAAGGGATCAACGACATCCCATCCGGCCGCTTGCCATCGCCTCTAGCGATGCCTGTTGGCTCCAAAATGGCTGGAACATTGACGGAGGCAAGAGAGTGGCATGTGATGTCGTTGAGCGCGGCGTGGAAAAAGAAAAACGACCTGCACTCTTGGCAATGGAGGCCATGGTGTCCAAGGCTACTTACTTCAAAGCCACAAGGGCACTTATGGGGAGTATATATGGGCACTTCTAAGCAAGGCAATACGAAGTGATTTAGGGTCCAAACTCAAGCCTGGATTAGATGCTAACCACGCGTTTCTCGCATCTGTTAAATCCACAATCTCGTAGTTTGTTGAATAAGCTCTAAGGATTTAACCTACCTGACTGCTAGATTTGTGAGCAGAGCTTGATTCCAAGATGTTTCAAAACGAACGTGTAAAATTGATTCGAAAGTTTTTAAAAGATTATTCAAATCACGTAATACAACTGAATGATTCCATAGAGGGCTACAGCGAAATACATAAGATGGTTTTATTCCCAAGATAGAATTTTAAAATGAACAGTGCTGAGTGTGCGGTAATAGCTAGAAGACGGTGAGGAAGATCTTTAAATTTTGTTGTCGAGAAAATGTATTCTTCAAAAGCTTCTTTGAAAATCAGTGCCCCTAAGAGGTACATCGCTTTTGTATTATTTTATATAAGGTGCTAAGGTATTAATTATGTCGTCGGTGTCCAAATTCTCAGCATAATATTTCACATTTATCAAAATTTCAAGTTAGACCTATTGAACTAAAATCGGATATAATCTTAGATAGATCTGACGGTAGAGTATCCTCCTAGATACCAGACGTTAAAATTTGATTAGAAATTTTGTATGCAGAATTTATTGCGAGCCCAAAAATAGCCGGCCCAAGAGGATCACATTAATGACAACCAACTTCTGAAGAGAGTACGTAACTCTTGTATATTAATATTGATGGCTGTGAGTAACACTAAAAGCTAGTTATATATTTCTGGAATGTTTACAGAAGCCTTTGTTAACAAGGTCTCCCTGTGTGACGTAAACTTTCAACAAGATATCAAATTTTTCGTTAGTAAAAAGAGTGCGCAAAGCATGTATAGCGGCTTCACAGCCGCCTTTAGTGCCAAAGCCAAAGTTTTTTTGAACTAACACAAATTGACTAATTATATGTTTTACCGCAACTTTCGAGGTTAATCTACGCAAAGTGCTACCCACAGCAATTAACCTCACCCAGCAATCTTTTTCTTTCTTTCAAGACATCTTTTTTGGTAACAGCCACCAAGTTTTCATAAAATGGGGGCAATAGCTTGCTATTTGCATTTTATAAACCAAGGTTTATCTCCCCGCAAAGCATTTTATTTCTAAGTTTTTTAAGTCTAAAAGACGAGCATCTGTTTCACCAACAATGAAAGATGTCAAATCTTTTAGACGGGGTAACAGCCCATCCAAGCCAGCAGCTGAAACTGGTTTAAATGAATTTATAGCGTGAGTTTCGTTTTAGCGTTTTTAATCATATAATTATATTTACATTTAAAAAAGTTAGCTCAATTTAAAATTATAGAGTTGCCCACATATACTTCCCATATATATAATCGGATTTCAGGGCAACTAAGGGCTTTGCCTGTAACTGCAATGACATTTAACACCTTACAAACGACCGCTCTGCCAAGAACCCAGTGAACTTACAAACGAAAAAATCCCCACGAAGCATAGGGGCTACTTTTATAATCGTAAATTGAATTGTTACATAGCGTTTTAATAGAGCCACTACTTTCTTCTTAGTTGGCATACAATTTACTAATAAAATATTATTAAAGATACGTCACGTGAAATTATAAAATACAAACAAATCAATCGGAAATAAAAATATTACTATTCAACTTCACATATAATATCAGTCTTGAATGAAAACTTATAAAATATTAACAAAATCTATTTAACACTTAATTGCTGACGTGGCGTCGGGGACTCCCAAAAATTTCATGTTCGTCACTTTTAAGAAATTTAATTTAGCGTTGATTAAAGTGAATTAAATATATAATTTTGGTTTTAATAATTTAAAAAAAGTGTTATATAATAGCTTTGAGGGTAACCTTCTTTTAGATTAGCAGAAATATGCCAGATGCACTAATGGAAAGTGATAAGGTATTTGATAGAAAAGAAGAGTCATGTATAACTGAAAATGGGCAGGAAATAAGGCACCTGTACAATACATATTTAACTATCTTCTGTCAGACTAATGGCAAAAGGGATATAACATTATAACGGAAAAAGTAAAAAGATAGTATGGCTTGGTACCATATAATGTCCAAGAACGAGAAACTTGTACTATAATTATTCTAGTGTTAAAATGTTTGCAATGTATGTAACTGTTCTCTACTAACTTTCTAAAAGTGATTTATATTATTTAAAAACAATATTTACATTAAAAAAACCGCGACCTTACTACAACTCTTTAGGGGACCAATTAATGGTTAAAGTTCTTTCTATTGAGTTATTAATGTCCTGTTACATAGGCCTGTTGCTTCCTTATACCACTACAGCTGGGGCCTTCACCATTATCGTTCGAAGCGGAATTGGTTAACTTCAGTTGCAGATAGGGTTCAGAGATCACTTTGCAGGCGGCATCCTCTTTTATACTTTTTGCAGGTTGATCGGTACTCTGGTCACTGCCTTGGATATAATTGAATAGCTTCCCAAAGTATTCTTTCTGTAAACATTCAGTTATCTCTGTTATATTATCAAAACAGGAGGAAATTGGTAACTAAAACTAATAAGGGAAACCATTTCTTTGTGAAAAATGACACAGCACAAATCTGATTTACATATAATATGTATTTTTATATACCTATATCTACTAAACTTGATAATTGAGTGAAATATTTTTAATAAATCTCATTTAATAGTCTATTAATAATTCATTAAGAGCTCATCACTTAGGTCTTAGACTATTTCGTAACGACAAAAATAACTTAATGTAGTCATTAAACTCACTTTATTTTCTCAATCTGTTCCGTTCTTTACATATTATTAATCTACCATTCTGAATTATAATGTATTTTAGGACTAAATTTAAAGTTCACGAATATCAGTAATAATGTTATTTTACAATAACGAATTTTACAAAAAAAAAAAAATCTTTTTCCAAAGTATTATTATATATAAATATATATATATATATATATATATATATATATATATATGAAAATACAGAGAAAAAAAAACATTACTACAGACATATGTAATATTATAATTCTTGACTTCTGTCTCATTATATATAGTACGTTGTTGTGTCAATTTCCACAAATGACAGTAGAAGGTCACTATCAACTTTTGACTAAGTGTTGCATGTATTTTAAGTATGTGTAATGTTTCTTATATTTGTTGTATCAACCGAAATCCATTAAGTCATGTATGAAGACATCTGCGGAATTTATTTGTTAAACTGCTTATTTAGGAGTCGTTTCGGTATTCAAAAAACTATTTCCTTTATACTAATACAATACATCGCTACATTAGTCAAGCGCCTTCCACCATCCCCTTAAAAATTACACAACACAAAATTTATTTTAATTGTATTTGTGATTCTTACCCGAAGCAGATTACGGTAGAATTTGTATCTCTCATAGGGTGGAAGGAATCCTCTTCTGTAAATGTTCTGAGCCAAAGTCTAAAATAAACATTGCTTTTATTAAATGCTTGAATTTTGAAAACGCACATTATTTCAAACAATAAGTTATAACACATCTGGTATGGCATGAATTTTCGCAGATTTTATTGCAAAACTTATCAAACAAAAGCAAAACTATACTATTGACTAAGATTTTATCGCGTAGCAGTCTCTATGCTCAGTAAGTCTCGAGAGTAAGTTTTTGAGATATTCGCAATTTTCTTAAAATCAAAATAAAAGGTTGTATCCCTTTGCCACCCTTTATGGAGCCAAGACTCTTAATAAAGGAATTATTCAATATGTTTTTGGATACAAAAGGAAAAAAGATCTAAACCCAAATTTCATGTTTAGATTTTGCATTTTACACCACAGCCTTTACATACTTCGCTAAACAATAATATGTTATTATTCGCTCTGCAAAAAACCTCTGTAATATCTTAAGCAAGGCGTTTCCGCAGGGTCCGATTTGACGGATAGTCAAACCTGGTCATTACCGCGCATTGTGATTGGTCTCTTTAGTTACAGACTACATTTGGACCAATCACAAACAAAAGATGTCATTCATACACATTGTATAGTTTCTAAAATCCCCAGTTGTATGCTTTCTAGCATCAACTAAGTATTGCACAGCATCCCAAAATGAATTACACTTAAGCGCTAGCAAAAACAAATCTATTCGTATTGTGACATTACGTACATTAAATGTTTAATGATTTGAGATGCTTTATAACAAAACACTTGCCCGCGCTTTTATTTTATAAAATTCGCATCTTAAATTAATTAATTAATCTTAGTTGAGTTAAAACATATTGAAATTGTCATTATATTTTAATTAGTCCCAACTGTATGTTTCGGTACTGAATTTTTCTGTTTACTATTTTAAATGAAATAAAAATGAATATTAAACAATTCGCATCACACGCAAGCTTTTAAACACTTTTGTAATTGATCTCAAAGCAGAAGTTACACAAGTTCGACTTTTAAAAATATAGATTGAAACGCAAGCAAAACCAATACTTACACTAGAAATCGAGGCGAGTATTCCCGTAGTGGGGGCGTATGGCGCCAAAGTTGTTAGTGGCTCTTCTTGCTTGGTCACATCACTGAAACGTTAAGATTAAAACACGAAGGTCAAAAAACTTTAAAAACTGTGAGTTCTATTCGCAAAAACTTAAAAAAGTTAAATATGATTTTTTTAACGCACGTGAAAAACTTATTATATAATTACGGATTCCCTTCTTCAAAATAGTTTTCCATTACCGTAAGTGCTAATTCAGTAGTTTTTTTTTAAATACCAATATATTTACCTTGAAAATGCTTGTAACATTTCACTTTGATTTTCTTGTTCGACGTGTTCCAATGCACTCATAATTGACGCTGGTGTATGGTAGAGAGTAGGTTCCAACGGTAAATCCCGACACTGTACCAATATTAATCGTTTATTAATTCGATCATTTCATATTTTAGGAAACAATTTTAGAAAATTGTATGTAAACCATAATTTTCAATTTAAATATTTTAACATTATGGAATATATTATATGAAACGTGTAATTCTAAATCTAAGTATATGAGACTTTTTTTAAGTATGATTAAATAATATATTATATAGGTACACACCGATATTAATATAGGTAGTATCATGACCAAATGATTCTTCAAAGTTGGAGTGGCACCTTGACAACATCGCAGGGCAGTTTCCGTGTCGCCCGGCAATTCCTCGGACAATTTGAATAATATGGAATTGTTCATTATATATCTGTAAAAATGTCAATAAAAGAAGTTTTAACTTGCCAAAAAGGATATTAGGTTGATTTTATTTTAAATACCCAAACGTTTGCTTGACAAATAGCAAGAGTCCAAAAAAAATATAGTTAACCAACCACAAAAGTTACATATTAATAAATAGAAAAACAAACATACATAAAAATATCAAAAGACAAATTAAAAAAATTAGAATAAAAAACACAACTTTCTTATTAAAGATTTCTAACAAGTTTTATTCTATACCAATTGAATACACCACTTTTGACATCTGACAGTTTTGGTTCCATAGTGATCTGCTTAAAACATCGATTAAAATGAATTAATCGATACGGACTTCAAAATGTTAATCGAATTCAGTTATAAAGTACTACTATATATAATACTAATACCTATAGATATTGTAATTTTAATTCGATAATTTTTTATTATCGCGGCCTTATAAAATTTTGATTAGGTGTCAAAATAATGTGATTTATAAAATTGGCCATACTATAGATTTTATTCCTGGTATTAAATACTTACTCAACACTTCTATCTGCACTTCGAGCTTGGTTATCTCTCCATTTGAATAATAATTTGAATGCAGCCAGCTGGCGGGAGTTGAATGTTTTGTTAGACCGATTATATAACTCCAAATAGCTAGATTGTGTAAATTTTGGTTTCATGTATTTCTGAAATAATAACTCCTAATTATAAAGAGGAAAGATTTGTATTCTATGAATTATCTCAATTTTAATTGGGACTGATTAAAAAATTCTCTCAACAAATTATTATTTATATTCATGATTAGTCTGGTGACGCGTTATGATCCTTTAGAGCAGTTTTTCCCAAACGTTTTTGTGCCATGCCCAACCTTAGCCTTTCTAAAATTCTAATGGGAAATAATAATTTATTCCCAGACATAATTATTAATATAAAAATATTGAATTGTTCACTTGAGAAAGAAACTCTTACTCACTCACTTATTAAATTAATGGTTTATAGGAGACGGTAAGTAATTTTTCAAATCATAATGAAACACTGAAATTCAAATTACAATAACTTTTAACAAACTTTCAAATAACTCAGCTTTAGAGTTTAATAGTTACAATTTATTATAAATTTCGCAGTTAAAAATACTCAGGGTAACTTAAATATAGAGGTTCTTTAATAGTTTTTCAAATTAATTTACTTACATATAAACAAATTCGCTTGCTATTTTCAAAAACTTGTCTTAAGTTCATTCCGTTCGGATCCTTCAATAACAACTTTTTCATTTCGCGCCAAATATATATCAAATAATGGGTATCCCTTCGGGCGTATAAAATCATTTCACTGGGCAAAGGTCTTATTTGCCAATCCGCCGTTTGATATCTATAAAACATTTAAAATATGTATTTATAATTAAAAATCAAATGTTTGTTGGCTGCTTTTTGGTCTTTTAAGTAACATGACTCTCAAAATCACTCTTTCATAGACAAGCTTCTGCAACTGTCTTTGATAATATAATAGGCAATAGAGCGGATGGACGCAAAAAAAAGTATTAGTGATTTCCATATCATTGATTCAAGTGTTCACTGTTGTGAAGTTTGATTACTGGCAAATTAACTATTTTACGGACTAACCTACCCTGCCATAAGGATTAACAAAGCTAAAAATTAAGATTGACCTAACAAAAACGACATGTTCGATCGGGTTTACACCACATAAATCTTTTAGTTTCTCAAATGTTCACCTTAATAAACTTACCTTTTATCCGTTTCAACATTGCAGAATCGCTTTAAGAGGTCTAACAGTTTTTTCCCTTTGAAATTAAGAACCAAAGACGCCTCGTATGTATCAAACATTCCTACTACATACACACCAAAATCACGTTGTAGCCACCTTATGTCATTACACGCACCATGAAACACCTAAAATTATACATGATTTCTACAGTGTTGTCTCAATAAGTTTACACATATATTTAGTAAAAAAAAACATACTTTAATAGGTTTTGATTGAATTAACTATCACTGTAATTACAGTGTAATTTTTGTGTATTTAAAGTTATCATTGTCCCAGATAACAAATTCCAGTTAGAAACACATCACAAAAATATATTAAACTTGTATAATTGTTTAAATTGCAATCATACCATTGGATTTTTTTAAGCTCTCGTTTAGTACTTTGGTTACTATTCTACAAGCTACTAATGATATTAAGGCGAAACGAAGTTCGCGGGGGCAGCTAGTAATTAATAAATGTTAAGCGGTTTTGTATGCATTTTGTCTGCTCTAAGAAATTTTGTATCGGAGGTGATGAGTTCTCTTTAATTTGTAAAACTTGCAAATTTGTATTACCTTTAGTTTCTTAGGGTTTGTAAATGACTCATTCAGAAGATGCAAGTGTTCGCGGAGCTTCAAAGCATCAATCACAAAATCCTGATTTGTAATGGAAATTTGAACCAAACATGTGTAACCTAGAAATAATATAAGAAATTTATCAGTAAATAGTAATCGCTTTCAAAAATACTTATTCACATCCTTCAGGACATTGATAAAACTGTTGCTTTGACCAATTTAGTCTAACATTTATTTGGAAATAGAAACTTGTGTTCTATTTAGAAACTATATAACATATAATTTTATGGTCCAAAAAAACATTGTGTTATGTTCAGAAAATGCTTATTTTCTTTTAAACATTTGAATTCAAATATAATTAAATATATTTAGACAATATTTTCAATTCTTTTTTTTTATAATATTATTTTTAACATAACTTGATTATGTTTTCATATTATATTAATATTTACGTATATATTATAAGCATTTTTAACACAACTCCTGTAAGCCGACCAACAAATAGAAAACAAATTATGGGCTATGGTTATTTGTTAATTTTTAAGTGTTTTTCGGAAAGTAATAGCCATGTCTGTAGGACTAACTAAACTTAATCTTGATTGTATATTATTAACACATAATATGATCAATTAAAACTTAGTACCTTAGTAGTAGTAAGTACCTACCTTGGTAAGAATAATAGCTATGGTGTTCCAAATCCACTGCTATTTCATTAGCAAGATGTAGTTCATTCACAAGATTCTGAAGTTGTTCGATTGTATCAACATATGTGAATACTGTAGATTCAATTGGAGGTGGAAATTCTAAGGGTTGATCATCTTCTTCCAGAAAATGTTTGGGAGGTTCATACAGGTCTAACTCAATTTGGTAAGGGTGTGTGTATCTGTATATGAAAGTATTTAAAGTTTATTATAACAGATTCACAGGGTGACAGATATGTTTTAGCTCAATACCCATTTGAAGCTTTTAAATAGTATTTACAAAAGACAGAGATTATGCTACGTAACAATTATTAAACACTACTATGAAATACAGAATGTGATAGATTTTTTTTTTAAATAATTACACACTGCCCAAACAATTCCAATTATGCCAATATAATATTTAACTTGTTGGTTTTTATGATAACAATCAATTATACAACATAAATTCTATTAGAAAATTGCTATTTTTGGACACAACCAATTGGTAATTAAATCATATAATTTATATTATATTAATTAGTCTTACCCAAGATCATTGCCATCATCATCAACCTCAAGTTGGACCTGAAGAGGTTGTATATTGTTGGGTTTATATGTAATAATAGGCTGCCAAAGTGAGTAAGTGTTATCAATTTTGTCTTTGAAGTTTATTTGAGGCATGACTGTGTTACTATCTGGTAATAAACTCAATGTATTGTTCTGAAACATAAAAAATATGTATTAGGTGTTTAATAACGAATTTTTAATACCATTAAGAAAAATATAATTGTCATTGCAAAAAGTACATATATAAAAATAGTGATAATATTTTTATTTATAGGTTAATAATTTCGAGTAATTTATATGGCATTACCCTTCTAAATGTCATGAAAGGATTGACAATTGGTTTGTTGAAAATCTGCTCATTTGTATGATTGTCTCCATTTTTTACTTTCTCAATCTTCAACTTCACTTTATCTAGTTCATCATTGTTAATATCCATAAGCTTTTCTAAATTATTTTCTATTTCTCCGCTATTGACAAAAATTATTCAATATGATTAGAAATACAGTAATACATATAAACATAAAAAGTTTTACTATACTTTAGAACAAAAAGTAGTTTTAAATAATTATTGCTATATAAAGGTTGCAAACTTTTTTTTTTTTTTCTAGTAAAATATTTACAGAACATTAGTTATTATTATAGCTATAAAATTTTGTTGATCTAACAGTATTTTTGAAATAATAGAAGCTTCTGTGCTTTTAGCTAATGCTATAATAATTAAATATAGTTCAATAATAACATTAAATTAAATGTGTATTAATATGTATTTCAAACAAGAGGTTACTGTAAGGTCAATGACTTACTTTTTAAAATTGGCTTGTTTGGGGTAGTCATGATTTATTAAACAATTAGATAATACTATAGTGTTCTTGCTGAGTTGATCAGTGGCATTTCTAAAATGGCGATGTGATGCATAAAGCTTCCATGACAAATCTCTTGGTAAATTATTAGATTTAACAATAGCTTCCTGCAAAAGTTTATGGGCATTCTGAAACAAAAATGTTAACTGTATTTGAAGATTTTATCTTATAAGTTTGTTTACTTGGTTAATAGCTCTATTTTGGAAACTGCTAGTTAGATTAAGTATTTTATTGTTGGTAGTCCACCTATATCTGATAAATGTCAGATAAACATCACGCTACTATTCATTTGAGTATGAACTCTAAATGATACAGGAAACGATATTTATTAAGGTGAGCTTCCATTGCCTGTTCTGTACGAAAAAAATATTAATTTTGTGATAGAATTATTTCCCTTTTATGTTCTAATGAAAAATCCGCGTAAGCACATATGTATCTTGATAAACGATTTCACAGCACTCACAATATCGAGGTTTCAATTTTCAAAAACTTACTATGGCGGACGTAAAGCATCCACGTGCATAGAGAAAACTTGCAAAACCAAATTTGAACCAATTATCAAAGTTTAATTAATAAAGCATTTTAATTCAAGGATTGATACGGACCTGTGTAATTTCTTCAAGGTCGATATGACCTGGAGGGTCGTGGGCAGTTCCACATGGTTCAGCCATTTCCTTGGATTTTCTCAAATAAAATGTAACGGTTTTTGAAAAAATGTTTCACAACTTAACCACACTTACTGAAATAAGAAAACAATAATATTAAAGGTTATCCTGCAAGTTCCAACTTCTATCTTCAGTTTCCTACTCCAAATATATTCTAATATTTTTTTTTTCGCCCATGGCGCAGGCTATAGTCTTTCGACCATACCGCCTATATATATTCTACTAAAGGAGGCAGAGAGAGTAGAGACAAGAGGCCATAGAGCCGCCAGCCGGCAAACATCGTTTCGCTATATGAAAATTATTATAAAAATATAGTAGTCTATGGAATTAGCAACGGCCGTGTGAGCTGGAGTCGTATTTTATATATATTTATACTGCCTATTAATGGCTGATGCTCACATTCAAAATCTTATTGTTAGCAATTAGCAGGCCATAAAATCTTCAAAAAAGATAATAGTAATATGCATATTTTTCCGGCCTTCTAAAAATTTACAGAAGAACGTGCTGTCAGACTCCCCTAACGTCAAAAATACATTGATGATTATGATGATATTAATGGGATAGGCAATTAGCAAAGGATCAAAAATGCATTGGATTTTGACATACGGGAGTCACATTTCAGTTGTAAGTCCTGGGGGCTTAGTCAAGATGCCTTAACAGTAGTGTTACAATATACACTACTAGAAATCGTAAACTAAATTTGTCGACACGAATTGCCTGTTTCCGAATCTCACACCAAGAGTAGAGTCCTTTTCATGAAAGAAGTCAGACGCAGCGCTGTAGTCGCGTGACAATGTTGCCATTTATGGGTAAAAAATTACCTACTTTACATTTGGCATATGTAATTTATCAAATAATACTATTTCCTGCATACTTCGATGAAACAATATTTCTGTTATGTAAAAAGTATATTTTTATTTACTTATATAAGCGGTTTTCTACCTACTTCCAGGGAAAATATGAGAAAATAGGGTAAAGAAAAGCATTACAATTTTTCATTCAGTTTTATTGAATAATTGTGATCAGCGGCCATAGGAACATTACTGTCTGAAGAGTGGATAGAAACAGAATCAGATTCTGTTTTGGTATCACTAGCCGTAGATATAATTATTCTTTTTTATATTGATACTTTTACAATTTTTATCGAAGTACTCGCCGCTGTATACCTTCTTTTGTAATAGTCTTTTCTGACACACCTGCAGTAAAATAATGAACAATTAAAAATAATAATAACTTTAAGTTTATAATGCTTAAGTACTATATGTTTTAATTTCAGTTACCTAGTTTTTCTCGTATCACGTTATGTATTAGTTCAATTTTGTCGCAAAAATGAATTTATATCATAAAAGTTCCATCAATACAGCAAAAAATTATTATATGGCAACTCTAAAACGTACCTGTTATGGGGGCGACTCTCTTCCGAACATTGTTTTGTGGTATTAAAACACCTTGATTCTTTTGTTCCGCTTCACAGGACTCTTTCACCTTCAATATCATTTGTCGAGCAAAACTTTTTACAACTTTTGGTATTGTAAACAATCTTTAAAATGCACTAAGCTAGTTAAAAACTCACAAAAATCTACCACAACAAACGAACTTGATAACATCGACGAAAGACAACATGCCCGACCTGTCAAATTTAGTTCCAAACATCACCGCGGGACTTCTTTCATGAAAAGGACTCTAATCAGATAAGTCTGTGCAGGGTTGCCAACACCTACAAAATGTTTACCCTAGGACCAACTTCAAATGCCCCTAAATGTCGATCAAAAACCCCAAAAGTTTTAGCTGTACACTTGGTTTGAGAGGTAATTTCAAATATGAATTAAAAATACGTTCAAGTAGTAAAAATAGCTGTTGTATTTATGTGAGTATTGTACATAGTTATATATGTTAATCAATGACCAAATAATATTAATGATAATAACAATGAGACATTTATTAGATATTTTTAAAGCTTTTTGTACTTTTTCTTTTTATCTGTTCTGTTACAGTTAAACGAGACAGAATTAAAATAAAATACGATTTGCTTTAATGTGCTCTTTTCCTTCTAATACAATATTATTAAATGTCATTGGGATAAGCTTCTAATATTTCGTCGAAGGCATCGGCCTGGATATCGCGCTGCGTTTCGCTGTTGCTGATATTTTTGAAATCGTACATATTGACGTTAAATAATTTGATCATACGGTGAGAAGGAACAAATTTGACACATGAAATTATTGTTTATCGATATTCGAGTTTGGAGTTTATATTTGGTTTAATTTGTTGATTGCGTTCGAAGATTAATATAAATTTTATAGAATCGTGTGTTTGTAGAGAAAAAAATCCCCCTAAATAAATGTACCCCCTAAAAGAAACCCCTGGACATCTTGATTACCCTAAATTTGGGGGGAAAACCCCCAAGTTGGCACCACTGAGTCTGTGGTAAAGTACTCACGTCTCACTCAGATTTTATACTTGGTTCGGTTGATAGCTATTTAATCTGTGGTTGCTAGTTGTTACTTTCTTACTTTACTTACTTTCTATTTCTCAGTTCAATGTGTACTGTGTAGAGTGTAGACATTACAGACTTTATTAATAATTATTATTCGGTTGCTCATATTTAGCGTTTGCGCCTTGAAATCTGCCATTGTGCGCATATGCAATTTACTAGTGAGCACAGGATAGAAAATACTTGTATTGAAGACTAGCTACCTAGCTAAAGATAGGTATACTGGTAGGTATTTACGTCGATATTTTATGGGATAGGCAAACATTACAGATTTAAAGGCGTGTTTGTTATATTTGTTGGATAAACCCAATTGCTGTATTAAACATTCAAACTCTCATGTGCCTCTTTATCTATTCTTCTATTGTTTGACATGACTTTGGAAGATCCATTTTATGTTGTGAAAGAGTAAGTGTACCTATATAGTATATCTAATATCTGTTTTAGATTTCTACATGCTATTATTATTATCTCCTTTTATCATCATTAGCCGTTTTTGGAGTTATTAACTTTTAATTTTGCATTGCGCATTGCATGATTTTGCACATCAACAACAGTTATTGCACTGTACTCGAAAAAAAAAATTTGATTATTTATTTAAAAAAAGTCTTCTAAACCGTTCTATTTATATATGTCTTTGGTATTAGATCCGTTAAGTCTATTCCACCACATTGGTTCAATATCCTATGTTACTGTTATATGAGTTTGTTTATAGAAAGTAAATTATGAAATTATTCACCATATCAGACACTATCCTACAATCATTTTCTATTATTCTTAAGAGTATACATACTACACATACTCCCTGTTTTTACTTAAATGTTTTTTGTTCTTTTATGTTACTGTGTAGTTAGTATATTTGACGAATTATACAACATGTTTACAGCTTAAATTATGATTTTTTGCTATTAGAAACATTATCTACATATAAAATATATTTATTTATTCATCAGTGAGGTGTTCCGGGCATTAAATAAAACTCGTGGTTTGTACCTACGCTGGCAAGAGTTGTTAACATCCCCAGTACTTCCGAATTCTGCAGAAGTTGAATGGACCTCAATAGAACTTCGAAGTGCCCTGCGTAGCATAGAATGGGACTTAGAAGATTTAGAAGATACTATCAATATCCTTTTAAAACATGGTCTTATTTGTAAACATTTTAAGAACCTAATTTAGTTCAACAGTGCTTTATCAATTTTATGCTCATATTAATAATTAGTACTTGGTTAAATAAAAATTGTTTTAAATTTAAATTGCAAATTATTTTAAAAAATTGATGTTTTTTTTTCCAAATAAATAAAAGATATTAAAATGGTTATTTTGATTCAATACTAATAAATTATAATAATTTTAAAATTGGTATAACAATTCCAAATAATGAACACAATTTAATACTATTTCATGACAAATATTTCTTTATATGAACATATGCATCGCAGAGAAAAATTCCTCTAAATTTAAAATAGACCATAAAGAGATTTGTGACAGAAGAACTTTTATAGAGGCTACTAAGCAGGAAGTCCAGGTATGTTTTAGTTCGATTAAGGTAACAACAAAAGTTTCTTAAAAGTATTTCCATTTAAATAAAAGTTTCAATTAGGCTTACAAAAAAAGTTGCTTAAAAGTATTCCCGCTTGACTAAAAAGTAGCTGAGTTAAACTGATGATTTTTAATTCTCAGTAGTGTACATTGCACTACGATTATTTAACTCACGGGAGATATGCTGACTAGCGGAAAAAAATTGTTGTAAATAATTAACATTTAACAGGTCATGAAGAATAAAACAAGTATCAACAGAAATATTGATAATGATGGAACAGCGCAAGAACCTCTTTTAGGTGATGGCAGTCCCAGGAGAAGCAGGAACATGTGGACTCCAACACCAAAATGCTCTAAGAAGAAATATTTGAAGCTTAATTCAGAGACTGATAGTCCTAACAGGTACCATTAATTTAATAACAAACTCAATTTTAAATAATATTTCTCCTACATAAAAATTTCAATTTAAAATATTTGTTACCAAGATTGTATGTGATCACCACTTTAAGACTAACTTTTCATATGTAAACTAACTTTAAAACACTGTCTTGCATAATATGTTATAGGGAAGTTTATGACAATTTTAATTTTGTAAATGAAATGAAATTATTTTTATAATTCATATAAAGCTACGATTTAAATTTATAATTAATATGTTTCGTGGGCTGGATTTCACTCTAATAATGGTATTTGTCTATCTTACAATTATTTTAATAAGAAATGTGGTGTGTTTGTATGCCTGCCTCAGTGTTTTTCAAAGCATAAATTTTTAGGTCTAATGAATTTGAAAATGGAATGGGTCCACCAGACCAAGAAGAAATGTTAGAAGCACAAGATGAGCAATTATCTATGATAAACAACTCTGTGAACACACTAAAATCTGTGTCTACTTACATTGGACACGAATTAAATGATCAGACAATGTAAGTTTATGTATAAGAAATTAAAATAAAACATTACTTTGTAATTTTTATAAAAGGGTAACAAACAAGCAGCCATCCACCGGAGCCTTTGGTCATACATTGTGGGTGCATTGTCGGCCTTTGAAGGAGGAGTAGGTTGTTTTTAAATACTTGGTAGTTGTATATCCTTGGAATGATCTTCACTAGGGCTTATTTTATAAACTAAGATCTTACATGAAAAAAGTTTATGGGCTAAATATATTCTTAACAATTGCATTGTTTTGAAGCCTAAAACACTAAACGAAAAACGAAAATAATTCTTTAACTTGTGATTTTTGTTGCTTACTGTTCAGCTATACAATAACTGACCGAAATTGTAATAGATGGGTGAAATTTAATTAGTTATTTTCTTTACAGATTGATAGACGATCTTAACTCGGAGATGGAAATGACTGATTCGCAATTACACATTACGATTATGAGAGTCACCAAGGCGCTACATTTAACTAATGGTATGCACTTAATACAATTCATTATCACAAATACATGTTATGGACATAGTGCTTGAAAAAACTGTCGTAAAATAGGACTATGTTAATGGGACGCCTTATGGTTGGCGATAAACCCTAAGTTCCTGGTTTCAATAAATGTGCCCATGTCCCATTACTGGATACGTAATGACAGGTACAGTTTTATAAAGGGTTACGTTTCTGTGTTCTTAGGCGTAATTTTAGGGAGTAATGAACCGATTTTGTACTTTTATCACCTATAGAAAACTTCATTATTCATAACTGGAATAGGCAATAGACTTATTTTTTATATACTTACTATGACATTTTTGTTATTGCTCTGCTTCCACGAAGCCGCTGGCATTAACATGTAATTAAAATAAATATGCTGTCTGGTTTGGAGTACATATTTAAATAATTTTTGTCGCAGCTATGGCGTTACTCTCTGCCATTGTCATTATGTCACAGAGCTTGACAACGTCAAAGTCAAATCTGTTATAACCGTTAATACTAGTAGTTTTTTTTTTTGATTTGCCAATATTGCTACATCTATAAGTTAAGACTATTATGGTCGATGGTAATATTGATTCCTTAGTCATAATTATTATATTTTTAATGTAATACATTATTTACACAAATTAACAGTAGTGCTGGTCGTATTACGTCGTCGTGGTAAATATGTTTTCATTTAAATAATATTTTATGTATAATTTTTTTTGTTTTTCAGATAAATATCAGTGTGCTGGCATTGTGATATTAATAGCAATTTTGTTATTATTATTAATTTTATTCGTTGTTTTATAAAAATATAATGAAACAAAAGCTAGTCATAGTATCATTATTATTAGTGCAGTAAGTATCTTGCATGATTTGCTATAGTGTAAGAATCAAATGATCTCTATTTTCATGTAATTTAATAATTCAAAATGTAATTAATTCATACTATCAAATCCTACCAGGATCTCATCGTAAGTAAACATATAATTAAAAAAGTCCTGTGATTTATACTCCGAACTTTAAGATTGTCGTGGATTTTCTGATTTATTTAATTAAAAGTGATTGTAACAGTTGAACGCTTGCACACTTGCCGTATTGTGATATTTGTAAATCTATGTTTGTTAATATTTATGACAGCTTTAAAAATAAAAGAAAAAGGAATACTTTCGCTGTTATCCAAGGCACACGAAAACTGAATGTAATGGGGGATTTTCTTTATTCAAATGACCTTAACTCATTTCTACTCGTTTAAAAAAATAAGTCTTGGAATTGACGATATTAAATTGATTTGTAATAGATTAAGAATTAAGTTTTGACTTTTTTTTGTTACTGAACAAACATTGACAAAAAAATGAAGTATTTTTTTTTAATAATTCCTTTACTGTGTTATTGGAATTTACTAAATATTTACCTGGCTGATACTTAAACACAAGAGTCATGCTTACAATACGACAAATGTGCTATATTTTACAAATTGGTGATATTTCCCAACCAGAATTTAAACGAAAGACCATCAAATCGCCTTAATAGATATAAAATATACTATTTCGCAATAATTTAAAATATTTTTTTATTATTGTTATCTATTTTTTATGTGTTTTTGTTTTATATAATTTAACTGTTACTCAAGCTTAAGTAGAATACATAATTTTATTTTTATACTATAGTAATTGTTATATTTTGGATGGTATTATCGTTTTTAAGTTAGGGTCGTCCTCATTCCTTAAACCAAGCGATTGTCTGTGGTAGGCGAGTGTAGCAGCCATAAACATCATCTCAAAAGCCTCGTTGGATTTTTGAATTAGAATTCAAGTTTGAAATCTGAATACTTTACAACGGAATTCAAATTCAGAAAACTAGTGTTGTCAACCTTCCATTTGTGAGTTGGAGAAATGTGTGTCAAAATATATTATACTGTAAATGTTCAAGTCAAATTATTTATCATGAGAATGAAGTTTTAATTAACTATGAAATAAATAATAGTATTAAAATTGTTGTTTTATATATCTTCCTCGACCCACTTACTGAACATAACATCCGGTTAAACAGACTTGGTTTATTATGAATCAAAAAAACATCATACCAAAAACAGCAGATTTGATTTGATTTATGTATACAGGCAATGTAGGGAGCATAATAAATAATAGCTTCTTGGATTGACAAATGGGGTTGACCTGTCATTAAAATCAATATGGAAATATAAAAATACGCCACTAATACTTTTTGCCATAACGGGGTTCACAGTTAAGATTAAAATAGAGCACAGTTTAAATATTCTCTAAGACTAAAAGTTTTCTTTATTTGTTTGTTTTTACTACAATAACACAAATATTTATTTTTTCGGAACTGTAGGACGGATGGAGTCTTTTTCTCCGTGCTAAAGGGATCCTCCCCTCCACAAGTCTAACCACTGCCTTGCCGGTTCTTTGTTTCTAGGTTATTATTTCAATTCGGAAAATTTTGTTATATTAATTTTGTTATACAAAATTCCTGTACTAATTATCAACTTGAACTTAGAACAACCACAGCCATGGCTCATTATTCACGTTGTCATTATACTGGCGAAACAATAATGGTTTCGGCTTGAACGATTCAGATACATAGCTTCATTATTATTGAAAAATAAACTTAGCTTGGTCTTGGCAACGATTACGAGAAGTAAGAAAATTATCATATATTTTTAAGAATAATTAAAAGCGTAATTATATAAGTATTTATTTTAGACACGTACACGTTTAGATAACTTCTTCACTTGAAGTACTGGAGTCACCTAATACTCTGTCGTACATAGCTGGTATGTAGTCATATTCCTTTTCATATTCACTTAATTGTAATGAAGTCTTAAGGCCATCCCAGGATAAATCAAACTCTGGTTCAAACATCCTGAACATAATTATTTTAAAAATTAATTATTAGTATAGGGTATTTTTTATATTTATTAATAGCCCCGCCAACAACAATTAATAAACCAAGGCTAACAATTAATAAGTTAAAAATATATAAATACTACTAAAGGACTACAAAACCAAAGACCATGGATTAAAAGTGTAGCGAAAATCCCCAAGAAAATATCGAGATTGTTCGAGCCCTGCAGCCGATTGCACAGTCTAGCCATTCTGTTTAGTGGAGCGTAGGATCCCAAATTAGAGCGCTTAGTGGAGATAAAAAATGTATCCGCTCGCTTGCAAAATCTCAAACTTCTAGGAACAGAAATAATTAATTTCAATAACATATGCGGTGAGTTCAGCATATTGCTACACAGCTTCTAAAGAAATATAGTCAGCAGATCCCTGCGACACTGAACTGGCTTTAAATTGTAGTGTCATCGATATAGTAAAGTAGTTTTTTGCAGCTGATGACCCCATCTACACCTAGTTGCGTTTGATCCATGACTTTTTGGCCACCCTGTATATACTAATCGTTATTGGTACGAGTTGTAGATTTATAATTGTAAGTATTGAAAAAAATCAAAACTGAGGTTTCTCTTAGCCAGGATACGTATATTGCGTTTTATTGAAATAGCAACCTACCTTGATACATAACATGTAGGCACAAATATAACATATTTATAATGAATCTATTTAAAATATTCTGTGTAGATATTTAGAGAATTATTGTCATACACGAGTTCCTTTTTGGTATAATAACAGTTTAAAATCTTACCTACTGACGCATTTCATGAAACTTAAGGTATGTTCCGAGTTAAACAAATGTATGAGATTACTGTATCCTGTACAGTTTGACCACTGGGCATCTGGAGCCATGAGTAGTCCAACAAGTTTCCCTCGGCAGATTAAAGGCGCACCATACATACCCTATAAATTATATAAATACACGAGATAAATAAGTTTCTACTCAAAAAGGAATATAATAATTTTGGACGAAATTGTAATTATGATATATTAATTATTTTTAGTTTATGTCACCCTATCGATTTTGTACATGAAGTGAGATAGGGCTGGTGTTCCATAGTAGCCTTAAAATGTCTATCAATAAAACAATATTGAGCTTCCTATAGCATATAATTTACTAATTTCTTTTGTCCGGGAAAAAGGGAGTCCCACCTATACGTATAGAGTTGTCTTGGTCATATTTCTGCTGAACCGACCACTTTTACGGTAACAAATTAAACCAATTCTTTCTAGTTATTGAATAAACTACACACACCCCAAATCAAATTTATATTATATTATTGTTACGAAGATGGGTTGACTGAAATGTTTCTCAAATTTTCCACCAGTTAGAGACTTTTCTAGGAAGCTGAAAAGTGGTTTCGGACCTTTTCAGGAGAGGATCAACATATTAGAAAATTATTCTTATTATAATAGTAATTTTCATGTTACCCTTGTTATCGGTAGGCGTACATAAACATTTTTTCAGACTGTTTCAGAGGCAGGAAGTGTAGTCGAGTGGTACAGTTTTCAGGAAACACTTTTTCATGCGTTTTCAGGACTGGTCATACCCCTTTTATGAAGAAATATTTAAGAGTGAACTTTCTAAGTGTGACTCAAGGACGGAATGATACGCGAAAGAAATTAAAGGTCGGAACCTTCTCGAAGCGATAAAGAGTACGTACGTTCTAGAATTGTTCGATAAGGATAGACTACTCAGTACCACTCCTGCCTAGATATTTCTAGAATATCTTTCAAGATTATTCCCAGGCATATATAAGTGAGCCGAAACGCGACCCATTTTTCAGTTCAATTCCGAGAGATTAGCATCGAAGAGATAAAGTGCGAATACTGAAGACAAGTGATGAAGTACTCTATGAAGTGCGCGTAATTGAAATAACTAGTGAACGTATTTTGTGTGTGGAAATTAGTGTATTCCTGCGCGTAATTCGCGTTTTTTTAGTGTAATCAAAGTCCTCGTTGATTTATTTTAAAATAAACCCTTGCGTTTCTACGGCGTTTTCTATCCGATCTCCTAGCTCGTAACAATATGTATTGCAGAAGCAAATCGCGGATGTGGTGAAATTGTTTCCTACTTGAAACTATCATCTTGCTAGGATATTGAAGTCTATATATTGCCTTCCTCAAGTCTACATCTAGTTAATATAATATAGTACTAAGGGATATTACAGCTTACATTTTATTCCACTTGATTATTTAGGCTGTCCTTTATCAAAATTAGATAATATATTCTTTGTATAGCCTCTAAACTGCTGTAATGCACTCCAACTTAGAATAAAATCAGAAGTATTGGTTCTTATTCGAAGTGAGTATTATTTTAATGTGTCAATCCTTTTTTTACACTGTTTTCTTTCATTTTATATTATAAATATATGTTTGTTGAATAAACTTACGTGACAAGGCTGGGCTATTTGATCAGTCTGAAACAAATTATTAAGTTTTTGTATTGTATATATAAATGCGTGTTGTGTACATTCAAATAACTCATTAATTTGCGATGAGTTTATATTTCGTGTGGTAATTAATTGGATAAGTTTGCTCTCATTAAATAAACGTGTACACATGCCATTAGTAAATTAATGTTGAGTAGACCAGTTATTTGATTCCCAAGTAAATCCTAATTACTTCGGACCAATTATAACACAATCAATTAGCAGTAAATTTAATCCGAAATTTAACATAAAGTAGGTATGTCTGATTTAGGGGTACAAAGTTTTTTGTATTGTGCATAGAAGGTATGAAAGCCTGTTTTGCAACTTGTATGAAAAAAAATCACAGATAAGAATTAACAAATAAGTGTTCTACACGGAAAAAGAAAATTATACAACAACATTTTTAACCCGAAATATTTTTTTCCGTTTCCGTTTAATTAATTATTAAAACATCCTCACGCACTGCACTCATGGTAGCAACTGGCACAAAACCTCTAAATACGATTATTACGTACTTTTGAAAGTCTGTTTACACGGACACAATAAATTTTCCATTGCGAGGCAATTGTCGCCAAAGTGGAAGAGCGAGAGGTGTGAATGTTTAGACTTTAGACGAAGAAACTTTTTTATATTCTTTCGATAATCGTACCTTCGAGACGAGAAACTCTCTCAATCTAAATGGACCTTAAGTATATTTGTTGTTAAATATTTATGCGTATGTTCAGACGCTAAATATCAGCAGAAATTATACTTACGTCTCTGATACAAACAGAATAGGATTTATCAAAAACCCCTTTGTAGCCAATGTTAAGAAGAGCTTTTTGAAACTTAAGCGTCAATGTATCGCACCAAACATTTTTCCTAGCAATTTCTAAAAATTGCACTCTCGTGTTTCTTTGTAAGAGGAATTTGCTTACTGGATATATTTTGTCCTGAAATCAGTTATTTTATGATACCCTTTGTAGGATAACGTGAATGGCCCAATTAGTTCGCGTTCGTGCTGCGACCAAAAGAGAGATTAGTGCTTTATGTAAAACAATTTAAAGTGATAGATATAAATGATTTTTATATTTTAAAGTCAGTCAAGTTCAAAGTTAAGATTCTAACGCAATACCCCTTTATAGAAAAAATGCCAGCCGGCCATTATGCATTCTTCATGTAGCGAGAGGATTTCTTCTCCTTTGTAGTCAATGTTAATGGGCCTCAAAGGTATCTCAACCAGGACATCTGGTATCTTTCGCTTAAGAACCAACACAGCTGGTGATTGTTGAACTGTGTAACCAATTGTTGCCGAATCGTTAATACCTAACGAAAACATATTTTGAATTATTTTATTTGTATTTGAAAGTGTGTTTTTAATAAGAAGGACATAAAATTACAACCTAAAACGTTTCTGAGTACCAGAGAGACAAAGTTTTGAAATCTTAGAATAAGTTAATATCTTTTTAGTGTACCTATACCATTGCAAAATAAAGACACAAAACGGCAATTTTAACATTGGTTCAATGATCATACAATGTTATTTATTGTCTATACACCAACAACCCCTGACCGTAGTATTCTGTACCTATTTCCTCAACTATTTTTATTAATAGGCAAGTCAGGTCAGTCTTCTATGCCTGACACACTTAATCAAATGTATCATACCGGTTTCCTTACAATGTTTATCACGCACGGAGTATGTGAGATCCATGCCATCCGGGCAGCCGGGATTCCACGCTACAACCCCTGTGCCGAGAGTCACGCCATTTGCCGGCTAACTTATAAACAAAAACGCGCTACAACCTTTTGAGGTCTGGGACTCAGATTTCTTTGTGTTTTATGATCATTTTTTTCTAATAGGCAAGTAGGTGATCAGTTTTGCGTGCCTGACACACGCTTTTTGAGTCCAAGGCATGTCAGTTTCCTCACAATGTTTTCCTTCCCTGTACCAGTGAGGGTTAAATGCGCACACAAAAAGTCTTTTGGTGCACAGCCGGAGAACGAGTCTACGACGTCAGGGATGAGAGTCACACGCTGAAGTCCCTAGGGCAACGCTGCTAAATAATAATAATGACAATAGAATACGTTTCTCTAAGTATTTGTTTGCTAAAGCGTATGAAAAGGTTGAATAAGACTACATAAATCTGAATTGTAAATAGGTACTCTTAAAAACCTTGGTCTAGTATTTGTTGTTGTAAATAAAAACCTCTTGTTGAGATTTAAATGCTGAATGCTGTGTTTTTCAATTTTACAATTCAATTAAATGAGAGTTATTATTACTATTATTACTGTTCGCATTTTTCGAAAGTATAGTTCTAATATATACATTTTTTTAGCCCTAAGTTTTTGTAAAGCGAAAAAAGGTAAACATCTGTTCACTCCAGAAAGTTCTTTCATATCATCGACTGTAAAAGTGGTTAAGAGTTTTATCGGATTTATTCTCGATAAATGGGCTATCCAATACATTTATTTTAATTCGACCGAATCTTAGCGCCTGAAATCTGTAGATTATATAATATTAAAAAAAACTCTTGACCCCCTTGTTCATTAAAACTAATTGCACTCGTTTAAGTAAGTGCTCTTTTGTCTCTTTCTATCAAATTATGTGCACACTGTAATGAAAAGAGTAATTAATACTTTAGTAAAAATGGTGAAATTGCAGATACAGAGAGATAATTCTGCTGTAAAGGCTTAACTGACTTACATTTCGGCATCAATACTTTAGTAACTTGGACTCTTATCCCTCTTCTGGGATGTCTGTATGACGTGCCAGTTATCACGTTTATAGGGCGATAGTCGTGTATGTGTGTGTTAGGGTTGGTTACACACACAGCTGCAGTGATGACTGTAGTGCGGGACAGAAGCGTGCCAACACATATACCTCGATACCGGGAGGTGAAGTACACCTTTGGAATGCGAATTTCTATAGTAAATGTATGTCCAAAAATAGTTTATCTAACTAGGTTGAGTTACATTGTTAATATCTGTAAATAAATAAATAATCTAGTGATTACAGATATAATCCTAGAGAGTATTTTTTATAACCGTGTCCTGTCCGAGAAGAGTAGGTACTCTCTCTGGCAAGTAATTTATATTTTTTGCTATTAAATTATCTGCTTGTACATAATATTTATATTTATTCAGTATATGCAAACATTAGTTATAGTGTATACGAGTGTTATGCATTTGTATGCATTATAAGGAACTTGAAACTTAAAATAAAATTAGGGCGGAAATAGCTTCGACGAATTTCAAGTGATCTATTGATATTTTCTTCGACATAATTCTTTTTAATGGCATACTTCATTTTTTGTCATATCTTTATAACAATTTCCTGAACTTTCGAAAGATTTATACCACATCATCATATACTTATATATGTATTCATAATAAAATTACATTCACAACCATTTTAATACCTCTTCTTTATCTTCTAAGTATTATTTATTTTTCATGAGTCGATAAAACTTATAGTTGGTAATAAAATATTAATGACCCAACCCTATTCAATACCCAAATATTAAATTTGAAAATATACAATCCGAAATAAGTTCCTACTACTAATAAGTAATTATCTTTCACATCATTTACTGTAATCTATTGTATTAAATACTCATACATGTTATTTGTTTTTGTCTACTAAAGTGACGTACCTACTACGTAGTAAGTTAAATATTGTTTCAATTTTGATTTTAGAAGAAAACGTATTACCTACTGTTAACAATTTTTATAGGTAATTAATCTTTGTATTAAATTAGATTTTGTGAATTGAGTTATATATTAATTCAATAAATAAATATTAAAAGAAGCGTCTGACTTGCTCATGTTAACAAAGTATTTTTCTACGGGTTCATTGTATTTTACTTTTATGATAAAATTTAAATTCTACACATAAAAATCAACATGTGTGTTTCGCATTTAAAAAATCTCATCAATACCAATAGCTTTACACTTTTTATAAAAGCTAAAACACGTTTTATAATAAGACAGTTACGTAAATTACGATTTTCGTACAACACTACTGTTTTTTAAACGTTTATTGAATATTAGAAAAAAGGTTAATAAACCTACCATACTGCGGGAAAATAGTTATTGTCCCGCTCGTTATCGTTAGTTTTAGAAGCTATTATTTTATAAACACACATTTAAGTGTTTATCTTACAACGTAAAATACAATAACAAAATTGCAACCATAACGTTTTAACATTAAGCACGTTCTAATCATTTCGGCAAATAAATTTATTACTATTCTGATGCACATAAAAACACCCTATTATGATGGAGTATAGTAGTAGTTAAAGACACTGATTATGAGCAAAATGTATACGAAATTACGTAAGAATATTTCTCGGTAATAGTACAGCGCATACTCCCTGTTACTCACAAGAAACGGTAATGATCCGACGCGAGCTTTAAATGGTTCTCTTCCATCATTGCCAACGGCTAACAATGCTGAAAACAAAATAATTTTGCTGTAAAAAAGTCAATTAAATTTGTGACGTCACAGAGAGAGGCGTAGTTTTGAATAAATAATTGAATTTATAATCTCGATAGACCCAAGTCGCCTTTTATTTATGTATTTGTTATAGCAATACAAAATATAATCACAAAGGGAAACTATAACTTTGCGGAGGTATATTGCTAAAAGGCACCAGTCCAAATGTGTGGCGTGCGTTTAAAGTTTGTGCGGGCTTTGAACACACGCCCTCAGCGATACGAGTATGTAAATATTTGATAATATCGTGATGAAACCACCGACGACAAAGGATGATCACTATACACAGAATTTCGGGACCAACTGCTATTGAAGACTAACCAGAGAAACAGACGCGTATATGGCCAGTACAGGACCTTCTGATCGAGAACATTAGATTTAAAAAAAATCATAACATTTCTTATTACACTAAATATAACACAAATCCAAATACCAATTACGCAAAAACTCGTCCATTTGTTCATTGTTCTTTAGGAAACTAAATATTTAAACGAAACATAATTCTTTAATTAAGCAAAGGAAACGCGTTGTTAATTTTATTACAATAACAATTTCTGTATTTCAAAAGCAATTTCATATTTCACTAAAATATTGAGAAGTTGAAACATTTCGTTTCATAAAGTTTTAGGGAATCATAAATTGATTAAATCGTGTAATTTACGCAATAGCTATTAATAAAGCGTTGGTGTTTAGGAAATTTAAATCTTCGTGTAAACTTATTTGTTGATTTACGATTTAGTAATATTTTCAGTAGCCTTCAGAATGTTTACCAAGCATTATTATTTTGAAGTCCCGTACATTAGTCATGCGAAGACACTGTATATTTGCGTTATATTGCGTATACATGGATATACATACACACTCTGTTCTATTCCTACTGATAGAATTCTGGCCTACCGGTTTACGCACATTAAATAATGCTAGCGTATACATAATTATTACGCAAAATATTGTATAAAAATTATTCAACTTGTAGTTACAGAAATAAAATATTTAAATATTTTTTTAAACAGATAATTTAAAACAAGTAACTACACGAGATTTGGTAGAACACTGGACGAACAGCAAAAAAATTGCTTATTCCTAAAAATGCAATACGAAAATCCGATATCCTAGAGAGCAATGTACGGAAATACTCGTAGCCGATACTGCACTTCATTAATGCAATTACTAGCCTATCTCTGTTACGAGTGGAACGTTATCAACTGAATATTGGCAATTTCGAAGCTATTGAAGTGTGACACGATTATGCAGATGCGATAGTTAATTTCCGATTACCGCAATACAATTTTAGATTGTTGATTTAAGACCAATGAAAGCTTTATTCGACTCGATAGATTCAAAACCTGGGTGAGACCGAAAATAACTACGCCCTTGCAATTTTTTCAAGATGTAAGCCGTGGCCAAATTGACCCAGAAAACATGAAAGTAATAAAAATCCGTGGATTAAATCAGCGTCGGCTTAGAAACTTTGGCTTAATTCAAACCTGAATATTACATAATTTCAAAAAACGTGGTATTAGCAGTTTGAGAAATGTGAGATTGATGACTGTGTTTTTAAAAACTTATTACACCTTAACTTGTATTTAGTTTGGGATCTCTTTGACAACAATACTAATGAGATAATTTAATATAAGAATATAAATAATCTTCAATAAAACCACAAATTGTTGATCCAATATTGATCGATTCAAAGTATCGCGTAGTTGGTACTAATAATTTTATCATGTACCTACGCTAACTACAATTCTCTGAGAGTTGAGTCGTTCAACAATTCATCTTGGTTATTAAGTACTTGAGTAGGAGAAAAATTCCTGTTATTTAATAAGTCACTGGTATAGTAGAACAAAGCGAAGAATCTTCCTTTGTATATAGATTAATGAGATTTTTGATGTTCTGATGCAATATTTCATTTCATGTGTTTTATTCATAAATCGCCAGACATGTACAAATTTATTAAATTTTAACCATCACAACATATCGTATTTGTCAAATCTATAAAGAACTGTACTTGACTGACTGACTGTACCCAGAAATATACCCATCTCCGGCTTCATACTACGTTTATAATATAAACCATTATATGACTCGCAACGTAATTTATAACAGCATAATCAAGAGAAATGCAAGAACAGAGAATGCTTTTATCTATAAAAGCAAATTCACATTGTCAGACATCTTTTATATAAAGAAAGACATCAAACACATTAGACGGCATCCACAACATTGCGGTTTGTTTTACCAATCCTGAACTGAGTTCAACGGTAAGGAAATCCGGTCATTCCCGGAAAAGGTGATAAATCTTGTCTTGCTACAGATAAAGCTGGGGGGACGGGGGTATGTACAGGAGCAGGCAACGGGCAGGAGTGTGTACAGTGCCCGTGTAGTCGGATCAATAGGCGAGCGTCCTAGGCGCGGCACAGCGGCTGCCGACGACATTCGTGTTGAATTCCTCGACGCTGGTGGACGGTCACTCGCTGCTCACTGCAACACAACTCTCCGATATGCAGGTAGATAATACTTAAATTAGTTAATAAATTAATATATATTTTATTTTACGCATTTTTGTGTTTTAAAAATGTTTTCATTGTTCATAACTGCGAAGGATATTTTTATTTTATGTGCAGTTTCCGTAAACGGGTGAGATCGATTTAAAAAAAAATGGCGATGGAATGAGTTAATTAATTAGTAATTTAATGCGCAGTGTTCCGCAACGAGAGCGCGGGAAGAGCATAACAGGGTTCAACTTGGTGCTATCTCTTCACTCTAGTGTCTTGTCAGTGGACACAAATATTGTGCCGCAACATAAATTTTTAAATCTATCTCGCTCTATCCCGCGGGTTAATCTTGTCGATTCCATACGGAGATATTTTATGAGTTTTTTTGTGGAATGCTGCATCCACAGGTCGTTTTTATTTTGCCTTTCTCGACTTAATCAATACTGACATCTAGAAGGTTCGCACAGCATTGCGGGAATTCTTTGTTTCTTTACTCAAACTTATTTTAACAATATTCTAATTAGGTTGTTTAAATATTTGTAAATAATTTTTTGTATACTAAGTCTACTAAGAACACTACTACTTCCTATTACTGTACTCCAATGTGCAATAATGAGTTCAGATATTAATAATTATTAACAATTATCTTGGGTGATAGTCGTGTTATCTGGGGTCACATAAACGTAACGACCCTTAATAAGTTTATTTTACAGACGACGCCAGTAGCGTCCAATAATAAACAATAGAGACGACATAACAATAACACTTTGTTTTTATATATTGTATTATAATCGAAGAAGCATTTTCTTCATACTATAAAAACTTGGGACATTCACTCGTGTGTCTTATAAAATTATTTGATTTGGGAGAGTCTGATTAATTTGTTTTAACTTATGGCCATCTAATTACTTTTTGTCTCGGCTTTATATTATTACAATAATGTCTCAGCGAGTAATTTAATGTTATTATTTTACATATCATTTTGGTAATAATAAGTAGTTTATTTGTAAATTTGTTCGTCGTCCTTGTTCATGATAATGTAAATTTCTTGGAATCAAAAATAGGAAATTGCTTTGCAACGTTCTCAAAATTACAAAACAAAGAAGTTGCATCAATATTACATTTTCTCCAAAAAGGATTTTAAGCCAAGCGTGCAATTTACGTGTTTAAACACGACTTATGCCGGTTTAATATTTGAGTAACAGTATCATCAATATTCATTCGACATAATATAACCGTTTCTATAATTCATACGCAAGTCGTGATATAATAAAGTAAAAAAGAAGTATGTTACGTATTTGAAACAAAAAATTTGTAAAGTTTTCAACTATGTCGTAAAACTTGCAAAACGATATTATTCACGGCTAATAAATTTTGTATTTCGTTTAAATGTTTTGATTATGAAATAGGAATCGTTTATAATTATAACCAATCATTGTTCTTTTATTGAATTGTATCTGTATCGTTTTCTTCCCACTATATATAAGTTTTTAGTTATATATAGTAGGAAGACCTATAAGTTTTTCACCCAATTGTACTAAAATAATTATTGCGAATGCAGCTAAGCGAACTTATATACACTAGTGATGTCAATAGTTTTAATTCCCTGTTTGTATCGAATTTTAATATATTGGAGTGTATAAATTTTAAATTAGAGTAATGTAATCTATTCAGAAATGCTATGGACATTAATTTACTAGCAAAGGTTTTGAGAAATGTTGAACATGAGAATCAATGGTCAAATTCCCGTCTGTTATAGTTTCCCTGTATTGATACTTGAGTTCTAAGTAATATTATTGTTTCAGAACAAATACTTGCGATGGATTGTGGCCGGGCTGGTGCTCTTAGCAATCTCCGCGGTATTTGCAGACGACGAGATACGGGAGGAGCGGGACCATGAAGTCCTCATTCGTAACGAGAGGGGAGCTAAAAATAGAGGTACGTATTTTAAGATGGACGCTGCATACACTTATATTCATCTGAAAACTTGCTTCAGATGAATATAAGTGTTTTATTTTAATATAGACTTTTATTAAATTTATTACATTTGCGTGATTTATTGCTTAGAAAATATAGCTACGCGAAACATCGGAATGGTTTTAAGTTCAAAATAAACTATTGTTATATTGTGTTTAGTAAATTAACTATGTATTATGAATCCTTATAAAACAATAACGAAGGTAATTAGAATCAAACATACACTATTTTCAATCAAATTTATATTGTATGATATATTGGATTACTAATTGTTATACGTGATATATAGAAAACACTAATCGTAATGACTTTAGGCGTAGTTTATTTTAAGTTATGTTTTTAATCTTATAATTATTACATCCATAGCCCAGTAACGCTCTCACTTTAAAATTACTAGGTTCCCGAGGAGGATAAGAAAATCGTCTTGACGAACGAAAAGTTTAGTTTTTACGATACTGTTTGCTTAAAAATTTAATGGTTTATCTAAAAATTTTGTAATGACTACAACTGTTACTAGGTGCTGAACTCGTATTTAAATATTATTAAATATACTTTTCATTTTCAAATATTTTGAACAGTTTTTATATTAGAGAATTTTTTAAGTAAAACCCTGTTTGCCTGATTTTATTGAATTTAGGATAAACCTTGTTTATGAGGTTTATTTTTAATCCTAGTAGAAGAAGCCACGAGTAATTGCTTTACAAACGTCAATAATTATAAAAAAAACAAGACAAATGTGGGAATGTGCGAGGAAATAACATTCTTTCGTTGCATGTGTTCGATCTTTTAGTTTTTTTGTATCGAACATGTTTCAATCAAGTTTTATTTTGATGTTGTTTACGCAGTCTGGAAATACATTTCTCGAGGCATATGTCGACTTTGGAATACCATTCGTTGGGAATGTGAAAACGTTCAGTTATAAAAATAACTCAGATGTCAGTTTTTGTTACATTACAAATAGTCCAGGGTGATGCATTTAAACAAACGATCACGTTATATGTGAAACCTACTAAGCTACATATTGCTACGTCGGTAACATTATTTCTTTATATAGTGGGTGAGCTTGTGCAATTATGTGTCTTGCTACCATGAAAAACTGTTTTGTCGGAATTAGAACCCGGCTTAAAATTATATACGTATTTGAGTCAGTACGTCTCCGATTCTATAAAGATTAAATATGTTATACTCTTCATTTTACATTAAAATATCATACCATAAGCTGTGTGATACCGTTGTTGTTATTATAATGATTTTATAAGCTTAAATTAATCATGCAAAACTGTTTTATTTGCTAACGCATTCATGTCAAACTAATAGTAATAACTTATTTACATTAATACAATTATATAAAAAATATATTCCACGCTTCTTGTGTAGTGAGAAATAGTATTTTAGGAACTGGATCTCTAGTTATATATGTACCAATATGAAAATAATCAGCTTAATTAATATTTAGGGTAATTTATCAGATTATTACACGACAGATGTAATCTATTCTTTATTAGAAGTCACGATGAATGTTAAACAAAAAACGGAACGATAGTGTATTGCTTTTTATTGTTTTTTACAAGACAATATTATCTCCATTGTATTCTTTAAAAAATACTGCTCATTTGTGTTGGGGTTTATTATCAGTATGCCGTTTGATTAAAAAAATTGTCACAATTGTTATATTTATAACTCCACCAGTTGCGCGTGCTATGCATGGACAAAGGGTCGTTTGTTGTGCAAATTCTTGATTAACTCTAAAGAACAGTCTTTTGGTTTAATCAGATATCTATAGCACTATAATTTTCATCAGAGACTTGCCGATACGTCAGGGGGTCATGGTCCGATTGTGACCCGAAATCGAACGTACGATCCCGTACTCTTACACTGAAGAAAGGCGACCCCGTTAGCTGCGAGCGGTCAAAGACAATACAAAAGAAATGCAAGAAAGGTTTGTCAATATTTTTAATCTAGAATAGGAGGAAAACTGCTCCAAGATTAAGCTACACAAGGTTTCATCACAGTGATCATTTTATAGACAACATACTTTGCAAAAATATTAATTTGTAACACATTTATTGCTTAAATTTATTATAATAATCATGAAACTATTAAAAGTAAAATATATTGTTTAATCATTACAAATCCATAGCCTGCCGCTACGAAAAAACTTCTTGGAGTGAGTGCAACCCTAACGGTGAAATGTCGCGCACCGACATGCTGAAGGCAAATAGCGACCCCACATGTGACCAGAGTCGTCGCGTAACGAAAAAATGCAATAAGAACAAACAAGTGAAATCCACCAAGGACAAGGGTACTCAGTTTTTGTAAAATTCTCTGCATAATGATGCCATTTAAACTTTAATAAGACTCACTCGTTCGAGGTTAGGTTACATGGAGACATGCCACTTTTCCGCTCGTTATATTTCTTAACATAAAAAAAGAATAAAGGCCAGTGGCTGGGTAGAAGCGGGCCACTAAGGATAATATTATATTAAAAGATAACGATATTAAAGGATTCTAAAACTTTTAGCCGAATTTAAATGTTTAAGCAGCACATAAATAAATGAAATCAATGGTTTGTAAGAAATAAGCGACTAATACATATATAAATAAGTGAAGGGTTTCCCCCTATAAATATGTACTAAATTCTGTTAACTTAGAAACCATTGGTCAGAGAAAAAATTGCAAAATACACACAGTACTGACTGACTTTGCTCTCTTCTCTACTATTCTCCCTATTCTTTTAAACATTATAAAATGACAAAAAATTATTTTAATAGTTTAATCATGCTTTATAAGTGTAAACTTATTTAGTTTCACTCAAACCTTTTAACTATATTAAAAATAATGTTAACTATTCAGAAATCGTTTCTATACAAGAAGTAACACAACTTTAGGTCAGCATCGGGTTCACAAAATCTTGAAGCTTAACAAAGTCAGATTCCGATTCAGAGTAAAAAGCGCTTTCAAAAGCGGAACGTTGCAGTCGATCGGTTCTAGGAACCGAGACACAAAAGATATCTCGCTTTCAAAGGCTTTGAATACGTACTTTGCTTTTAGATTTTATGAATTAAAACTTATACAAACTTATCTTTCCTTTTGCAGGTCGCCGGAATCGCCAGTAATTATTTTTAGAGAAAACATTTTGAATGTATACTTACATGTTCGTTCGTTGAATCTAAATTACATAATAGTGCCAAAAAGTTATTGTTTAAGATTTTTTGTATTGTAATTCCAGCTGTTAGTGATAATGCGAATGTGTTACATAACACTTTAGACTCGTTTAATTTTAATCATTATTAATAAGTAAAATCTTTGATATTAATAAATATTATTGAGTACTTATATCGTGTATTTTTTCTACCACTGACTTCGCCACTTTATTTGAAATATGATTTCCAAAGAGTTGTTTTTTTTATTGGACACCTTATGAGAGAAAAGTTAAATAAATTAAGCGTAGAAATGTATCAGAAATGTATCCTTATTGGGAGGAATCCACAAAGAAAATATAGACCACAAAGTAAACCTCTCGTCAACAGTAAAAACAATAAACAAAGCTTAGGTTTTATGCTTTGTCCCCTTAAAGAAACAAAATTTTTCTTGAATAATTTGTAATACTCGACACGCCTTACCATTAATATAATACTCTGATTTTTTATTCCGTAGAATTCTGACAGCTATCATTTTTGGACATGTCAGTTATGGCAAACCTTTTTGGCCGGCCACATTTTTCAATTTCAATACGAGTCTGAACATCTGAGTCTATACATACATTTTATTGTTAGTTAATGTATCCATTTTATTAAGTGCGGTGCTCCACATTAAAAGCAGTTTAACGGCGAGTTGTAATTACGTGCCTTTTCATCACAACAGTAAAAAACGCACAAGTAAAGAACACATTTCATTTTTTTAAAGGTTTACTAGACCTGGAATTAGTAGGCAGTGATGCCAGCTAAAGAATAAAATAAAGTAATTAACGTGATATTGAAATATTTGTTATTTTTGTATTAGGTCACTTGAGTAAAGTACATTTATATAAATATTTAGATTTACCTTTTTGTAGGTAAAACATAAAAATTACGTAGCATCTTTTTTATTGCCCTCAAATAATTCAAATTTGTCCCTTTTTCGGCGGAAACTTTTTAGTAGCAACACTTATAAAATGTCAGAATTCTATGAAATTAAAAATCAAAGTATAGTCGTCATTCGTATAACAATATACTATTATTCGTCATATACAGGCAATGATCCATCTTCTTTATAGTCCTGACACTCGCCGTCGAATATGAGTTAGACAGGCTGGTTTACTCACGATGTATTTTTCACAATCAACAAATGCACAGTGCAGTGTGCACATAGATGAATCCATTGGTGCATAGCCGGGTTCGAACGCACGACCGCACACGATTAAAATGTACCTATTAATTCGTATTTTATTTTATCTGATACAATTTTCATTAAAATATCTTTAATTTAATTGGCTTTCTTATCGAACGCTTTTTAGCCATGTTATATTAATTTCTTTATATATCTCGTACTTAGTTTTGACATTTATCCTATTGTTTTATGTTTGATGACGTATAAAATATTATATTATATATTGAAAGGCACTGGACCAGCGCCGTGCCTATATGACAATGAATGACACATTTTATAGTACATTTTTATTGAGGTCGTTTATGATACAACCACCGAATGGAGAGGAAAATACTAAAAAGATTAAATGATTAATTCAGAAACTCACATTAATGATGACTATATACCTAATTCAAGTTACTTTTTTCTATGAGAATTAAATTCAAACACCGCTAAAGAAAATGTGAATGAATTTTTTGAGATATTGCTACTTGGCGGTGTCGCCTCGCATAAAAAGTTTCTTGCCGGCCCTTTGAACTATGCATCTACGTACTAGAAACCACTTGAGTGGTTTTTGTGATGTGCACGAGAACCGAGCTACAAGCATGTTTGCATCATGCTACCGTTTCGTTTTATTATTTCCCTTTTAAAAAGATATGTCAATAGAGTAGTTTGTAATGGATATTAGAAATTGTTTAAATAATTGTAGACGGTAGTGCCAGAAAGCTAAATTTAAAATGTTTAAGTAACTCCGAGGCTTAGTTGGTAAGGGCCGTAAATGATCACTTCTAGGTACTGTATTCAAGCGTCGGCGAAGAATTGTTGTTACATTTTGCGTTGACCGAAAAGTCCGGATGGAATCAATAATTACTTACTCCTATGAGTAAGTAAACACAAGCGAAAACAGGAATCTACACTAGTCTCTCATAAAGTGGGCTTGTAGGTCAACCGAGGTAACTCGTGAAAATTACAAATTATAGTGTTCGCTTCAGAACACATTGGTTGATGAAGAGGATAATGTTGCATGGAGTTATGAATTTTATGATGTAAAAAAAAGGGTGCGTGTACTTATGTACGCGCATAAGAAGTTATACTTCTTTGGCATTATTAAAAATAGTTTTTGATTGCATGCAAATAATTAATTACAATTAAATAATCAAAGACTGGAAAAGGAGTCATTAGAGTAAAAAAAGTGCAATTTACATTTGAAAAATTAAATAAATAAATATATATTATTATTATCTTACATAAGTGTAACATAAATTCTATTATTATTCGAATGTTGTTTTTAAATTATGCCCAACGCCGTAGCATCTTCCGTGGGCAACTTAATTCTGTTAATTTTGTGTCACGGTGCGCGCGCATCGTAAAATTTCACTCTCATCAATTTTTCATAACGCGCCTAAAGAAGTATAACTTTAATAAATAAATAAATATTAATTATTATTATTCTCTTACATTAAGTGTAACATAAATTCTATTATTATTCGAATGTTAAAGAAGTATAACTTCAAAAATCCTCAAACGAATTCGTAGTATTGGAAATAGTATTATTAGACACTACCATAGGTGTATATCAACGATTCAATGTACTAAAATATAAACAAATATTATTGGGATTTCACCAGATGTATGAATACATTTCAATCTGTTTTTAATCCTTACAAAGTAAATTAAAAGCTTAAATGGAACGGACGTTTATTCATTACTCGCGACATACACGCTATGCACTTTGCCTATGTATAGCTTTGGGCGGATCACGAGAGAGCTTGTTTGTTTTTCGCTGAGAGTTAAATCATGCGTCCGGCGCTTATGTAAACTGTTTTATGTGTTGAAAGCTTTCACACAAACGAAACAAAAGAAAAAAAACTATACACCAGACCTTCCCTTTTTTCTATAGAGACCGTATCGTCTAATCGTAGCATCGCAATTGCAGAAATTTTGTGAAAAATGTTACGTCAGTGTCATGTATAATCTAAATGTATTTGCTACAAGTTCAGGCTGTTATAGCGGTAGTCGTCTTAAAATAAGAGAATAACGTTACGCGTATGCTTAAGGAACATGGCAGTCCAACTTAGACTTGTAGGTGCAACTGTATCTTAGAGTAAGATTCGAAGTCGAGATTTGGCGCTAAGCATCACAACCGTATATCAAGTACAGACAATAGAGAAGTTATAGCTCGCGCTAGGTATCGACTAGATTCAGAAATTTTGCGCGAACTATGATCCCCGATTAAAAAAAGATTATTATTTAACTCCAACCTTGAAGAACTTGCAGGTAATCATTTTGTCGGACAATCAAATAGGAGGATATTTGACAGCTGTTTTAATATAAAATGAATCATAATATAATGTTAATTGAAAATAAATACTTTTTATAAGTTGGATTCATGTTAAGTTGATATCGCATATAATCAAAGATATCCTTGGTTTAATTCTCGACGAAATAAAATTTGGTTCTGAAGCTTAAAAAGCTTATAATCTTATTGCCCGTGAAGAAAACTAAAAAATATGTGGAGGCGTTGACCTGGAAAATGCGTGCTAAATAATAATTTTGCCGCTAACTCGATTTGTCGTTCGTTGAAATTTAATTTTACACGTGACTCGACTAAAAATCAATTTATTCATCTCTGTTGTTTCATATAATCTGCACTCCGGCCGGCTACTTGAAGTAAATAAAGGAGGTATACGATATATACTCGTTCCTACTTATAACATTAAAATTACAGAAGAAACTTCTTGTGCGAAAAGAAATAAAAAGCAAAAATATATTAACAGCAATTTATTGAACATTTTAATGAAATATAAAACCTGACCAAATTTGAATCTCGTTTATCGAAATGAAAATTATGCACCTATATTAACGTCTCCCTAGACGAGAAACAAATGACGGTAAGGTTTTATTTACAAAATAAAAATAAATTAAATAAATAATCTCCTACTCTAAAATAAATAATCTTCAACTACACATTGAAGGATGTACGCTTTGGCGCTAAACTATAGCTATACGTGAACTAGAATGGGTTTTGTGTTTAAATATCACAGGTAATTGTACGTATGTACGGATTCGTTCATTTGAACAGTTGTTTGGCGTAGTACCATATTCTGAAGAAGTACTCGTCCCGTCTAAGCAGGGAGCCTCGAGCGTACGATCGGATGTCGGCGTCCATGTTATGATCCCGAAGCCAGGAAGTCGTTGTTTGACTGAAGGACGTCGGTTCCGTTGCTTCTGTATACTCGCCCGGCTCTTCGTCGTAGTGAGAATCTGGATAATAAAAAAATCGAGTACATATAGATTTTTCTTGAGTATTTAATTTATGTTAAATATGATGACATCGAACGAGAAAATTTATAAATAATGTGTGAATAAAAATTATTCCGTTACAACGGCTTCGGAGAGTTCCGTTTTGGCGGTTTTGTTTACTGGCAATAGAGGCTTATACGTTTACGGACCGTAGAGTTTTATTTAAAACACGCTCACACGCATCTTACCTTCTCCAGGTAGAACTTTGAAGGGCTCATCTGATTCCAGCGGCTCACTGAGACCGATCTCATTCCTGGCGTAAATCCGTACCATGTACGTGTGGTTCTCATTCAAGTCACGAATATTGAATTTCAGGTTATTCGCATCCACCTTTCCTACTTCAATCCACATGGTCTTTGTGACGTCGCGGATAGCAATGTTGTACCCTTGAAGTGGGGCTCCACCATCCCATTCCGGTGTGCCCCACGACGTCATCACCATGTTGTTACCGACCATTCGGATCTCCAATGGCGCGGTGGGAGGCGAAGGCACGGCTGCAAAATAAGTGTATTACATATAATGTTTGCGGGAGAAATTACATTAAAGGTCGGTTCTGAGAAGAATGTATATTTTGACCTTAATAAATTCAAGAGATTTAATTGGCCTATAAATAAAATATTGTGTGGAATCTTCAAAGTCCCAAAGTAAGTATATCACTTTCCAAACACAACAACATCTAGATATTTTATAATAAAAAATTAAAAAAAAAAAGTATTTTATTCATCGCCCCTACCACCACCCGGCACTTGACCCTGATATCTGCAGTATAGCATTATATTGCTTACCAATGAGGCATTATAACCCTCCATTGAAATGGGTAATTATACTTAGATTATAGATACTTACTTGCATGTTTGTCCAAGCGAACGTTTTGCGACTGCGTGGGCAAACTAACACCTATCGCATTCTCAGCGGATATTCTAAAAACGATTTGTTCCTTCTCCTTAAGGTTTTCAATGCAGTGCTCGAATACTGATCCGCTAACTGTTATGACCTTTGACCATGATTTACCTTTCACGGTCTTGTATTCGATAATGTAGTCTGAAATGAGTTTATATGCAATTAGTTGTTTACTAAGACATATGTGCTGTGGTAGGTATTACTCCAGTCGCGTACCCTGGATTTTGGATTGTGTCCGATTAATTAATAATAATGTAAACATGAAAAATGTCAATAATGTATGTTTATGTATCGTATTTTATTTGGGCATAATGGCCAATCCAAGTATAGGCACCATCTAAATTCGACAAATGTCTAGACAAAAAATTGCGTATTGTAATCGGGGTCGTGTATTAAAATTATAAAATTTAAACGTCATGTATGATGTATTTTCCTGTATAATTATTGTTTTTAGATTGATCATATCGATACTAACGACGATATAGATGCATTGATGCATAAATTATTAATGGATTACAAATTTTTTTTTATTGAAACGAATTCATAGGTAAATAAATAAAACAAGCCATTCTATTTATTATTCATTCATTAGTATTACTTGAGTTTCAATACTTGCGTTAAATAGGCAGTTAAGTTGGTAAAAAAGTTTTTTTTAGTTAATCTATTTACGATAATAAACTTTATATCAACCCATTTAACAAATTGAATATCGAGGCTTTTACTTACTCGTTATTGTGCTGCCTCCATCACTATCAGGTGCCATCCACTGAAGTGTAACAGATCTTGATGTTATATCTCTTACTATAAATCTTTGCGGTCGTGAAGGCGGAGCTGTAATTAACATTAAGATATAGCTATAAAATAATACTCTTATTCATAGAAACCAGTCAAATTTCACTCTTTTAAGAATAGTGATGCTATAGGATACTGTCCCTATTCATCACGGCGCAAATACAACTTGACGGGAAAAATGTATGTAGGTAATGTAATATATAAAATTCTCGTGTCGTGGTGTTTGTAGTTAAACTCCTCCGAAACGGCTTGACCGATTCTCATGAAATTTTGTGTGCATATTGGGTATGTCTGAGAATCGGACAACATCTATTTTTCTTCCCCCTAAATGTTAAGTAACCACCCCTAAATTATTATCTTTTAATTATTAGATTGGTACTTTTTTTTAATGATACATCATTAACAAATACATACAACCCCTAATTTTCACCCCTCTACGATCAACCCCTATTTTTTATTATAAATGATATATATATACATAGCAAAACGACGTTTGCCAGGTCAGCTAGTTATATTATATGTTTCTTTATGACCGTTGCATTCTTTGTAAGCTTACAAACAAAATAACGTGACCTTGTTAAATCTACTAGAGAAATCTTAATTTTATGTTAAATACGCCTAGCCTTGGTGGAGTACCGTGAAAAAAACATTGTTAAACTATCTATATTTGGTTAATTAAATATAACATGAAATAATTCAAACAATATTTTTATCGTATATAAGCGTTATGCATATTTATACCGTTATGGTCATATAATATTTACTGTTCCCTAAGATTATTCTTTAAATCAGTGGCGCTACAACCTTTTTTCACCGTTCGAGCGAATGTTAAATGAGCACATAGTAAAAAAGTCCAGCGGCGCACAGCCGGGGTTCGAACCTACGACCTCAGGGATGAGAGTCGCACGCTGTAGGCCAACCCTGCTCTCTTTATTAAGGTTATTCTTTAAGCTTCGGGAGCGTTCAAGTATTGCGTAACGAATTTGGGGGGGGGGGGGGGGTCCTTTTGTAAAACGTTACAATACGGGGCGGGGATTGAATTACGCGTTATTGTTAATATTATTTTCGACTTTCCCAGTACTTTACACCACATAATGGTAAATTTTAGGTATAAAGAGTCACTTGGTGGTCACGAAACGTTTTACTATACTTGGGTACCGAAAAACGTTAGGTACGCCGCGTTACATGGGGGGGGGGGGGGGGAGGAGGTCAATAATCTCCAAAAATTTCGTGACGTAATACTGGAACGCTCCCTTAAACAAAAACCAAAAAATGTACATTGATGAGCAAACATTGAAATGCTTTCTGTTTTGCTATTCTACTCGCAAAAGGCTGAGCGTATCAATATATATTTGCCTAACAACTTGTAAAAGCTTAAACAATGTTAAAAGGCTACATAACATTTAAATAAAAGCTCGCTTCATTTTATAGAACATAAAAGCGGATTTTAAATATATTAGTTTATAGCAAAAGCATAAGTCTACTAATTGAAACCTACACAACGTCTTTCCAATTGAAATTTTCTCCTCAGGAACGTAAGGTAAACTTTTTCCTATTTCATTTCTAGCGTATATTCTAAATTGATATGTGGAATTTGTTATAAGTTTTTCAATATCAGCCAATGTTTCTGGTACAATAGCCACATTTGTCCAGTTTTTGTTGTCTTGTTTTATTTCTATGGTATAGTCGAGGATAATGGAACCACCATTCTTTTCAGGAGGATTCCATGTCAATGTGAGTGAATTTTGGGCTATACCATATATGCCGAGAGGACCCAGGGGTGGGGATGGAACGTCTTAAAAACATTGAACATTAGATAAACACGACGGTAAATTATAATAAATCCTACTCTAATAAGTAAGAATATGCCTTATTTAAATAAAAAATAATCAACAAAAGTCTTTTACTACTCATTAATCTTACAATGAAATTGAATATTGTGAAATTAGAAAAAGAAATATATCAATTTATTGCTTACCTAAAGCAGTCTTTATAACTATCGGTTCACTTTCTAAAGCGTCCGATACACCGATAGGATTTTGCGCCATAATTCGGAACATATATTCACAATTTTCGTTCAGTCTTTGAATACAATATGTTTCTACATCTTTGTTGACGTCAGCCACCATTACCCATTGGTCAACTTCAGGGTCATGTTTCTCTATAGCATATTTAGTCAGCTCAAGTCCGCCATCGTCTACTGGAGGTTTCCATTCTATGGTAACGGATTCTCTACTAATTTCTCGCATTACAATTGGTCCCTCAGGTTTACTTGGTTTGTCTAAAATAAATTGTTTTATTTGATTATAATTTACCTAAATGGATTATCACAAATATTATTTAACGAGTTTTTTGACTTACCAAACACTTTAAGTGAGAGATCTAAGGAAGCTTTCCCAGCCTTGTTAGTAGCTTCAATCGTATATTTACCACTGTGCGTACGTTTTAAACTTATTATACGTATGGTACTTGTATTTTCGCTGGTAGTGATCTCTATGTCTTTTGTGGTTTGTAATTTTGTACCGTTCTTATACCAAATAATATCTGGCTGTGGTATTCCTTCTATACATGCAGCTACCGTCCATTCACTATTTATCTTTCTCTTTTGATCTTTTTCATCATCTGAGACTATTATAAGAGGCTTCAGTTGTATCTCTACATGGCATGATGTATAAATCTCACCAAATTCATTTAATGCTATACATTTATATTCGCCTTCGCTTGATTTTGAACTTGATATTACAAGAGTGGCCACCCGGTTTACGTAAGTAGCTTTTGCGGTCTTTAATTGTTTTCCGTTTTTCATCCAAGATACTTTTGGCTCGGGAATTCCACCGAATATACAGGATAGCTCCACACACTCATCAGGTTCAGCTACCACGTCTTTCAGGGGGTTTTCTACGGTCGGTGGTTGTCCAGTAATGATTTTTTGTATTCTAACGAACTCTGTAACCTCTGAAGCTTCACTAACACCGACTTCATTCACAGCAAATACACGGAACCTATACGACGATTTCGTCTTCAAGTGTTCTATGCAATATTGATTTAGTTTGACGTTTTCGATTGAAATCCATCTAGAAATTTGTACAAATTATAAATCTTAATAAACTTAAACTACAAACTTAACTTAACTTAACTACAAACTTAAATAAACATCCTTAACATAAATAAAAAATCGTGGGTTATTCATAATATTATATACATCCTCGATCAAAAATATGTCGTCGTAATGCCTACATAACTATTATATGTAAAGTTTTCAAAACTTAAACAAAATAGTAAACGACACCGAGATTATTGTGGTGGGTGGTGGTGTTGGTGGCGGATGCTCAGAATTCCCTGGACAGCGAAAAGGACAACCCGTCTTTTTCAGTGTGACCAAAGAATCCTAAGCTTTTTTGGACATAGAACATGCAGAGGTCCCGATAACTTGGAGAAGCTTGTGGTGACCGGTAGAGTGGAAGGCACGACCCCGAGGCGGTTCCTCTACTCGCTGGACCGACCAAGTTAAAGTCGTTACAGGCATTAGTATTAGACGGGCGCATAGGCTTGCTGCAGACAGGGGGAATGGAGGAATGAAGATATGCAACAGCAACCAGACCTTCAGTAATGAAGAACGCGAATAAAGGGACCTATTATTCTTATAGCTTTATAAATTATTACAACTGCCATACAAAGCAAATAAGTATGGTAGTGAACGTAAGGCGTAACTTTATAAATCAAAAACGTAAATTTATATATCAGGATTTCCTAATGCTAGGTTTATTTATTGAATTCGCAAAAAAAGACTAAAGAGTTTTTTGACACTATCGTTCTAATAATCGTCATGTCTTGATGGGTTTTAGTTACTCCTAGTGTAATTGAATACTTACTCTGTAGTATTATTTTCTTGGTATTCTACAATATAACATTGTATTTCTGAATATCCAGTATCAGTAGGTTCGCTCCAGAATATATTAACAAAGTTATCAGCGACTTCGAGTATTTTGGGAGTCCCAGGAGGCGATGGAAGATCTGAAAACATTATTGCTTTTAGTTTTTTTAAAATATTAACAACGTTCAGTCATACAACGAATAAATGTCTACTTTCAGAAGTAAATTAAATCACATAATTACCCATAACTATGAGTTTAGTTTCAATTTCCACTTCACCACAATTGTTTTGAAGTTTTAATCTATATAAACCAGCATCGGAATGTTCAATCTTTTTTATCGTAAGACTTGCCACTTTGGAATCAATGGAAGGCTTCATATGTTTTGATTTCTTTATAATTTTAGCGCTGACGACCCATTCGTCATTTGGTGGTGGGTTAGCTTCATAAAATACACTTATTGTTATGTCACTACCCCGCTTTACTCGGTATTCTTTCTCATATGATACCACTTTTGGAGAATATTCGATTACTAAAAAAAAAAAACACAATTATTGAGGCTATCTGAATTAAAACATGTTATTGCAAGTAAGTATTTCCCCTACCTTCTACTTTTAATTTTGTTGAACTCCTCGCCTCCGATAAGACACAAGAATATTCCGACTGATCGTCTTCATTACATTTCCGAATAATAAGAGTGCGTTTTTTACCATCTCTGATCAAGGTGAATTTATCTGTATCTTTAATCAGTGTTTTACGTTTGTACCACAAAACATCATTAATTTCATCAGGTATTATAACTGTCAAGTAGGCATCGGTGTTTGCTGGTACAGTAATGACTTCTGGAAGACGCATCGTAAAGTCTATCGTTGGCTCGTCTACTCTTAATTTTGCAGAACATCTGTCACTTCCTACTTCACATGCATACTCTCCTCCATCATTTAAGTCACAATCGTATATTTTTAGTTTTTGTTTCTTTCCGTCAATAGTCAGTTGAATATGATTTGAGAATTGTATTTCTGAGTTATCTTTAAACCATCTAACGAGAGCATCACCTTTTGTAAGCTCAATTTCAAATGTCGCTTTGTAACCCTTATTGACTCGTTGGTCTTGAAGACGAGATATTATTTCTGGTGGTAACTCAACCACTGTAATTTCCGCACTACAAGAATCATCCCGCAGTTTACATATATATTCACCCTCATCATGTACAGAGGTATTCCTAATAAGTAGTTTACGAATATTGCCACGTTTCTCAACTTCATATTTATTCTTTTTAGGTTTAAGCATTTCACCATCTTTTTCCCAGCTAACTTCAGCTGTTTCTGAATTAATTTCGACTTCTAAAATAGCGATATCTCTTTCTTTAACTTCAAAGTCTTGCAGTCTCCTAATGAATTCTGGAATAGTTTCATATACTTTTACAATTGCACTTGTTTCTTGGCCCTTAACAATACATCTAAATGTTCCTTCATCCGTGATCTTTGCCTTTTTAATTCTAAGTTTATGAACTCTACCCTCTTGAATAATTTCTCTATGATCCATACCACTTAGCTCTTTCGCGTTATGATACCACTTTGTGGATACGGTGTGGGATGTTTCACATTCTAACATAACTGTTTTACCTTCCTCTATTTCATACTTTGTTTTTAATTTTTTTACAAAGGTGACTTTTTCTACATCGATTGTAACTTTAGCGCCGTGTGATGCTTTTCCAGCACTGTTAGATGCGACGCATTTATAGTCACCTGAATCTATTTCAGAATCTACATTTGTTATAATTAATTCTATATTTTCTCCGTCAAATCTTTGTGTAACTGTTTCAGACGGAGTAAGAATTTTATTATTTCTATACCAAGTTATAGATGGGACTGGATTTCCTGTAACTTTAGCATTTAATTTTATGGTTTCTTTCTCTTTTACTGTTATCTCTTGGAATCGGTGGATGAAAAGTGGAGGTTCAGCATTTTCTTCGGTTGGTTCTAAAAAGAAAGAGTTGAGTTATATCGATAAAATATTCAGATCATAAGACGTTTAACAAAAAACGCTGTGTTTTAGTAATTATAATCAATCGATTAGGTTTTACAATAACGAAGTCCAATATATCATAAACAAAAAAGTTCATTATACTTACTCTCGTCCACTAAGTGGAACACAGGTATGTTACATCAATTTAACAATTTATATAAGTATAAAAACATAACATACCATATATATATTGTCAAATACAACGATCTTTATATATGTATATAATATATTATTCAATTTAACACAGACCCTTACCGTCTATTACAATAACAGCATTGGTTTCTGTTGCGCCTTCTGAATTAACAGCTTTTAGTGTGTAAACTCCATCATCCTTTCCTTTTGTAGGCTTAATTACAGTTATTGAGTGCACGTTTCCATCGGATTTGATTGGAAGGGAATTGAGAGGTTTATGGTTTCTGAACCACGCCACTTTCGGTGCTGGGTTTCCTACCACCTGTGCTGTGAGAACAAAACTTTCTCCCTGCCTTATAGTCATATTTTTCAATGGTTCAATAACTTGTGGTTTCTCTTTCTCGCCTGTTTTTATTTTGAGTACAATTGGTAAGCTAGCTTCACCTTCTCTGTTTACTGCCAGTACTGTGTAAGTACCTTCTTGATGTTTTCTTACATTAGATATCTTTAGTACACTACAGTACATATGCATATCTGATTCCGTAACAATAGATATATTGTCACTAGGAATAATTTCTTCATTTTTGAAAAGCCATGTTATATCTGGTTCAGGTATAGCGACCAAACGACACTCGAGATATATATCAGACCCCTCGTCAATGTATTGCGCTTTAGGACGTTTTGAGAATGTGGGGGGTATACCTTCTAAAATATCAGCTAAAGAAGATTCTCTGGACAGGCTCTTCCTAGATAAAATAGTCATTTCTGACCCATGATCTGAAAGGGGAGCTTCAACGATTAACTCAGTAGTACTTGAGGCGAAGCCAGCAGCATTCTTTGCTACACATGTGAAGGTTCCAGCGTCCTCCGGGAAAACTTCACGAATGACTAGTGTTGCGACATTGTCATCATCGTAATACATTTGGAAATCTTGAGATGGTTTAATAATGGCCGTTTGTCGGAACCAAGTGATTTGAGGCCTAGGATATCCCTCAACCTGACATTCAAATTGAACGGTTGAGCCATCTGGCGTATGTTTTGGTCTGAGTTTTTCCACAAATATTGGGGCTATAGCTTGTTCTTCCGATGTAGGTTCTGTAAAAAAATTCAAAAGGTCAATATTTCAATAAAATATTTTTTTTGCACGGAAAGATATAATACAATATATTCTTACATTAGGATCTGTTCATTCTTTGCTTCCTTTATCAGTTAGTTAAATAGAATATAATCAACTAAAAAAAACGTGTGTGTATTTATGTACACGCGTTAGAAGTTATACTTCTTTGGCGTAACAAGATAAAAATCTTTTCAAAAATTAAAATCCTACGTTTGTAGAAGAAACACAATAGAAAAACTAAAATATTGACTATAGCTACCTTCAGGGTGTCGGTTTTTTCAAACGATGTGTGCGCGCATCGTAATACTTTACTCTCGTCATTTATTCCTAACGCGCCAAAAGAAGTATATTACTTCAAAAATAAAATTAAAATTCTTACTTTCAAAAACTGGTAGCTTATCAATTTTTTCGTTTAATTTCTTCTGTAAATATAATGTGTAGGTTTCTTCATCCATTAGATATTGTGCTGGCACCCAACCAATTTCTTCTGTTAAATGCTTTCGAACGTACCACCAATCTTGGTTCGTTGTATCTGTATTAATAAACAGAAAATGTGTGTGAATGAAAATGTGTGGTGTAAACTATGTCAATAGGCTTATGAATATAAATTATTAGTAATTTGTTAAATTTATTAGTAATAGACCCGCTAGTGCGTTTTAACGATGTTCATAGAAACATGTTTATCACAAATTCATTGCTATTAATACCGGCACTGATTGGTTACCTAAGCTTACTCAGGCAGAGCTATGCTCGTTAAACAGCCCGAGCAGAGCTGTCAAGGACCTTCAAGCCGAGAAGTATATTCCCTTCTAAAAGAAAATGCAACGCTTAGTTCGATTAAATGGCTGATGCCAACAAAGTATTGCTTCATTGAATCACCCTTTTAGGTCGTGCTTCGTCATCTATTAGGTCATCGGTAGATATATATATATATATCTACTGAATATATTTATATAAAATATAAAGTCGTATATTTTTAAAGTTATAATAAAAATGATTACCCAGTATATATAGTCGTTCGCCCTCTACTAGATTTATAGCTTCATCACTTTCTGCCATATATGAATAAACTGCAAATACTATATCACCACATCGAACATTTACTGGCGTTTCTGAAATAAAGTAGTTATTATTTTAGAATTGTGATGAATAGTTTGGTAGGCATCACGTGTTATGGTAATTTTATTTATATAAAATTTACTGATCCTACAAAATTCGTTTTTTAATTGTAAAAGAAGTACAGTTATAGTAAAACTGTTTACATATTTTGTAATCATACATACCTGGGAACTCTTGTTCTCTCGATATGTTCATTGTAACGTCTGCTTCTAGAAATATTAAAAAATAACAAATAAATTATACTTGTTTTTAAGTTGATTTTATTTGTAATATATATATATATACATAATTGAAATATGTAAATAGGCCTTAAAATCAAATCGCCGCCCGGCCGGTGGTAGACTTTTTGTAAAATGCGACAAGAAGAAATCTAGAGCAAAGACCGTCAACAAATTGGGGCAATTAAAATTTGTACCAAAGACATTACGATTTATTTTTTAGCAATCACAAATCGGCAATGGTTTTTTCATCTGAATTTAATGTTAATGTTTTCTTCCAAGTTTTAAAAACAGACTGTACCAAAAAATCTCACTTTATTAACAAAACTTAATTAGAAGAATACTGACGTACCTTGCACTGTTAACGGTTTCTTTGATTTTCGTTTTGTTGACACTGTAAGTTTTTCCTCGTCAAATATCGACGCTGCATTTTTTTTTGGCTTTAACTCTATGCTTAACTCTTCTACCTCACTAACTTCATAGGGCGCTTTTTTCTGTTTGCGTTTGATCACCATTTCAACATTTTCTTCAACGTCACCATCACTTATAATTATTTCATCGACTTCGTTAATATCTTGATCAATATTTTCTTGATGTAATTTTATTGAAACTTCATCCGCAGCTTCCGATTTACTTAATATTCTTTTCGATTTCAGTTTAATTTTACTTGAAAGTGAAATGTCTTCTTCTTTGGACTGGTCAACTTTTTGTTTTATATCGAATGCTATTTCTTCTTGATTATCAACGATATACTCAGGCTTTTTCTCCATAGTAATGTTGACATTTTCACTTATTTCCGATATTTCTGTAGATGGTTTAGGTTTTGCTATTATAACAGAAGTATCATCTTCAACAACTTTTTTCTTATTAATCTTTTTCATAGACAACACAATATCAACTGGTTCTTTTATATGGTTATCTTCTGCATCAGAAATAACAATTGCTTCTGGTGTCTCATTGTCTTCTTCATAGAGTTTAATTGAAGTTTCACTTGCCTCTTCGCCAAATGTTGTAAGCTTCGGTTGTTTCAATTTAACTTTACTTGACATAGATATTTCTTCCTCGGCATACGAATTCAGTTGAATATTAAACTCTTGTTCCACATCTTCGAGCGTTTTAGTTGTTTTTGGTCTGAATAGTACTATTTCGGGTTCTGTTATTTCTGGTAAAGTAGTAGATGATTTTCTAGTCGGTTTTAGTTTCTTTTTTATAGTAACCTCATCCTCAAATTCTTCTACTTTTTTAACGCTACTAGACTTTCGAGGTAATATAGTAAACTGTTCGAGAATTTCTTCCGGTGTTTCGTTGTATAGCTCAGGTATTTTTTCTTTGCTCTCAATAAGATCTTCATGAGTAAACATTGGCTTTTCTAGTTCTGTTATTTCAACATTGGAAAGATTTGGTTCTTTAATTGGTTTTTTCTTAATTTTTGCTGCATCTTTAATATTTCTTGACAATATACCGTTTTGTCGTGTACTGTCTATTATAGTAAATGATAGTTTTTTGATTTCTGGTGGCCAATCATTTATCAATTTTATTCGGCTTTTTAATTGCAATTTCGGTATTTTGACAATTGTGGTCTCTTTTTTTTGTTTTGGAACAGCCTTTTTTAATTTAAGTTGCATGAATTGCGGGCCTTCAGTGCTCTCAGCATGTTGAGGCTTATCTACTTCCAAAAGCTTTTTTTCAATTTTCATTGGTATCAATTTTTTAGCTCTGCTGGTTTCTTTGAGATCGCTAGGTTTCAAAATATCGACAGGGATATCTTTAGGAGTTTCCAGTCCATCGTCTGGTTTAGGTAAAGCTTTATTACTATCAAAAGATACATCTTCAATAAGTTCTAAATCAGGTCTTTCTAGATCCGGTAATTTGTCTATCTTAATCTTCTTTCTTATTTTTTGAGCTTCTTTAATATTTCGTGATAGTTCACCGTTTTGTTTAATACTTCCTATGGTAGTGATTAAAGGGTTTACAAGACTAGGCGGCCAATCATTTATGAATCTTATTCTGCTTTTTAATTGGAACTTGGGTAAAGTTGTTACTTTTACCTCTTGTTTAGGTTTTTGTGAAGGTTTTTTAAGTTTCAAGGTGGTAAACTGATGTTCTGGCAATTCATTCACCTTTTGAGGTTGGCTTATTTGCATAACTTCAATTTTCTGTGGTTTCAGCTTTAGTTTGCGTTTCGTGGACGGTTCAACAGGCTTTTCAGGCATCTGGTCAGGTGTCTTCCCTTCTTCTGTCATCCCAACCTCAATTTTTTCGTAAACTGTAAATAAATGACACGAATTATTGTTAAGGTTGATGTAAACTTTGAAGAATTCGCAAATTGAAGAAAAATAAATTATCCTCAGTTTGGTATCCGGTTTACCGGGATACAATCGAAGTTATACGCTGCGGTTTCTTACGCATTAATGCGGTCATAACTTTATCTTAATTAACCTAAACAATTCCTCTATAAATATACTATCCACTATTTGGTATATTCTTCAATAATTATACATGTCTTGACAAATCCGATCAAAATATTTGTGAAAAATTACTAAATTTACCAAACGAATCATAAACCGGTTTTCATGTGAAAATTCAAACATTACTTTTACGTGTGACTAAATCACTAACAACAGTCTGGTATTTCACGAACAACATGCTTGCATTAAATGCAATGCGTAAGTTTATACCATAATTTCATGGTATGTATTGATTATATTTTAAGTGACTCAATTCAAACACTGGTTCTGCATGCGCCAAAGTAATCTTCCCGATTGCTACCATTAACAGACCCTGTAGTATGAAAACTGAAGAGTTTGATTGTCTACTTACCCACAAGTGTCATATTTTCTTTTAAGGTTGTCTTATCGGGAACTTCAACCACTTCTATTGATGTATCCGGCAACTCAGTTGTTTCTATGATTTCAAGTATATCTACAAAAATTTTCGCATGCTCCGGCGTTTGATTGTCCGTGAGTGGAAGTGTGTCGTCAGTGACAGTGTCATCTGATATGTCGTGTGGCGTATGAATGTGTTTTGTGTTTTTCATGGTCAACTTACCCTCAGGTGTATCGATTTCTTGTGTTTCGTGTACTTCTTCAACAGCGCCATCCTTACCCTTGACTCGGCGTTTCTTTATTTTGACGGTTCGCGTTTCACCAGTTTCAGTCTGAACCTCCGAGATTTGGACTGTGTCGGGAGATTCTTCGATAAGGGTTGCTTGCTCCGGCGATACTTGTTTGTCTGTTAGTGGAAGTGCTTCGTCAGTGACAGTGTCATCTGTTATGTCCTGTGGGGTGTGTATGGGTTTTGTCGTCTTCGTACGTTTCTTAATAGTTTCGATAGTCAACTTACCCTCAGGTGTATCGATTTCTTCGACGGTTGTCTCTTCCGGAACTTCAACCACTTCTACCGACGTATTGGGCAACTCAGTTGTTTCTGTGATTTCGTGTATTTCTTCAACGGCGCCATCCTTACCCTTGACTCGGCGTTTCTTGGTTTTGACGGTTCGTGTTTCACCAGTTTCAGTCTGAACCTCCGAGATTTGGACTGTGTCGGGAGATCCTTCGATAAGGGTTGCTTGCTCCGGCGATACTTGTTTGTCTGTTAGTGGAAGTGTTTCGTCAGTGACAGTGTCATCTGTTATGTCCTGTGGGGTGTGTATGTGTTTTGTCTTCTTCGTACGTTTCTTGATAGTTTCGATAGTCAACTTACCCTCAGGTGTATCGATTTCTTCGACGGTTGTCTCTTCCGGAACTTCAACCACTTCTACCGACTTATCGGGCAACTCAGTTGTTTTTGTGATTTCGTGTATTTCTTCAACAGCGCCATCCTTGCCCTTGACTCGGCGTTTCTTTGTTTTGACGGTTCGCGTTTCACCAGTTTCAGTCTGAATCTCCGAGATTTGGACTGTGTCGGGAGATTCTTCGATAAGGGTTGCTTGCTTCGGCGATTCTTGTTTGTCTGTGAGTGGAAGTGTTTCGTCAGTGACAGTGTCATCTGTTATGTCCTGTGGGGTGTGTATGGGTTTTGTGTTCTTCGTACGTTTCTTGATAGTTTTGATAGTCAACTTACCCTCTGGTGTATCGATTTCTTCGACGGTTGTCTCTTCCGGAACTTCAACCACTTCTACCGACGTATCGGGCAACTCAGTTGTTTCTGTGATTTCGTGTATTTCTTCAACAGCGCCATCCTTGCCCTTGACTCGGCGTTTCTTTGTTTTGACGGTTCGCGTTTCACCAGTTTCAGTCTGAATCTCCGAGATTTGGACTGTGTCGGGAGATTCATCGATAACGGTTGCTTGCTCCGGCGATTCTTGTTTGTCTGTGAGTGGAAGTGCTTCGTCAGTGACAGTGTCATCTGTTATGTCCTGTGGGGTGTGTATGGGTTTTGTCTTCTTCGTACGTTTCTTGATAGTTTTGATAGTCAACTTACAATCAGGTGTATCGATTTCTTCGATGGTTGTCTCTTCCGGAACTTCAACCACTTCTACCGACGTATCAGGCAACTCAGTTGTTTCTGTGATTTCGTGTTCTTCTTCAACAGCGCCATCCTTACCCTTGACTCGGCGTTTCTTTGTTTTGACGGTTCGCGTTTCACCAGTTTCAGTCTGAACTTCTGTAATTTGGACTGTGTCGAGAGATTCTTGGATAAGGGTTGCTTGCTTCGGCGATTCTTGTTTGTCTGTGAGTGGAAGTGTTTCGTCAGTGACAGTGTCATCTGTCATGTCCTGTGGGGTGTGTATGTGTTTTGTTTTCTTCGTACGTTTCTTGATAGTTTTGATAGTCAACTTACCCTCAGGTGTATCGATTTCTTCGACGGTTGTCTCTTCCGGAACTTCAACCACTTCTACCGACGTATCGGGCAACTCAGTTGTTTCTGTGATTTCGTGTACTTCTTCTTCATCGCCATCCTTGCCCTTGACTCGGCGTTTCTTTGTTTTGACGGTTCGCGTTTCACCAGTTTCAGTCTGAACTTCTGTAATTTGGACTGTGTCGGGAGATTCATCGATAACGGTTGCTTGCTCCGGCGATTCTTGTTTGTCTGTGAGTGGAAGTGTTTCGTCAGTGACAGTGTCATCTGTTATGTCCTGTGGGGTGTGTATGTGTTTTGTCTTCTTTGTGCGTTTCTTGATAGTTTTGATAGTCAACTTACCCTCAGGTGTATCGATTTCTTCGACGGTTGTCTTTTCCGGAACTTCAACCACTTCTACCGACGTATCGGGCAACTCAGTTGTTTCTGTGATTTCGTGTATTTCTTCAACAGCGCCATCCTTACCCTTGACTCGGCGTTTCTTTGTTTTGACGGTTCGCGTTTCACCAGTTTCAGTCTGAACCTCCGAGATTTGGACTGTGTCGGGAGATTCTTCGATAAGGGTTGCTTGCTCCGGCGATTCTTGTTTGTCTGTTAGTGGAAGTATTTCGTCAGTGACAGTGTCATCTGTTATGTCCTGTGGGGTGTGTATGTGTTTTGTCTTCTTTGTGCGTTTCTTGATAGTTTTGATAGTCAACTTACCCTCAGGTGTATCGATTTCTTCGACGGTTGTCTCTTCCGGAACTTCAACCACTTCTACCGACGTATCGGGCAACTCAGTAGTTTCTGTGATTTCGTGTATTTCTTCAACAGCGCCATCCTTACCCTTGACTCGGCGTTTCTTTGTTTTGACGGTTCGCGTTTCACCAATTTCAGTCTGAATCTCCGAGATTTGGACTGTGTCGGGAGATTCTTCGATAAGGGTTGCTTGCACCGGCGATTCTTGTTTGTCTGTTAGTGGAAGTGTTTCGTCAGTGACAGTGTCATCTGTTATGTCCTGTGGGGTGTGTATGGGTTTTGTGTTCTTCGTACGTTTCTTGATAGTTTTGATAGTCAACTTACCCTCTGGTGTATCGATTTCTTCGACGGTTGTCTCTTCCGGAACTTCAACCACTTCTACCGACGTATCGGGCAACTCAGTTGTTTCTGTGATTTCGTGTATTTCTTCAACAGCGCCATCCTTGCCCTTGACTCGGCGTTTCTTTGTTTTGACGGTTCGCGTTTCACCAGTTTCAGTCTGAATCTCCGAGATTTGGACTGTGTCGGGAGATTCATCGATAACGGTTGCTTGCTCCGGCGATTCTTGTTTGTCTGTGAGTGGAAGTGCTTCGTCAGTGACAGTGTCATCTGTTATGTCCTGTGGGGTGTGTATGGGTTTTGTCTTCTTCGTACGTTTCTTGATAGTTTTGATAGTCAACTTACCCTCAGGTGTATCGATTTCTTCGACGGTTGTCTCTTCCGGAACTTCAACCACTTCTACCGACGTATCGGGCAACTCAGTTGTTTCTGTGATTTCGTGTATTTCTTCAACAGCGCCATTCTTACCCTTGACTCGGCGTTTCTTTGTTTTGACGGTTCGGGTTTCACCAGTTTCAGTCTGAACTTCTGTAATTTGGACTATGTCGGGAGATTCTTCGATAAGGGTTGCTTGCTCCGGCAATTCTTGTTTGTCAGTTAGTGGAAGTGTTTCGTCAGTGACAGTGTCATCTGTTATGTCCTGTGGGGTGTGTATGTGTTTTGTCTTCTTTGTGCGTTTCTTGATAGTTTTGATAGTCAACTTACCCTCAGGTGTATCGATTTCTTCGACGGTTGTCTCTTCCGGAACTTCAACCACTTCTACCGACGTATCGGGCAACTCAGTTGTTTCTGTGATTTCGTGTATTTCTTCAACAGCGCCATCCTTACCCTTGACTCGGCGTTTCTTTGTTTTGACGGTTCGCGTTTCACCTGTTTCAGTCTGAACCTCCGAGATTTGGACTGTGTCGGGAGATTCATCGATAACGGTTGCTTGCTCCGGCGATTCTTGTTTGTCTGTGAGTGGAAGTGCTTCGTCAGTGACAGTGTCATCTGTTATGACCTGTGGGGTGTGTATGGGTTTTGTCTTCTTCGTACGTTTCTTGATAGTTTTGATAGTCAACTTACCCTCAGGTGTATCGATTTCTTCGACGGTTGTCTCTTCCGGAACTTCAACCACTTCTACCGACATATCGGGCAACTCAGTTGATTCTGTGATTTCGTGTACTTCTTCTACAGACCCATCCTTACCCTTGACTCGGCGTTTCTTTGTTTTGACGGTTCGCGTTTCACCAATTTCGGTCTGAATATCCGAGATTTGGACTGTGTCGGGAGATTCTTCGATAACGGTTGCTTGCTCCGGCAATACTTGTTTGTCTATTAGTGGAAGTGTTTCGTCAGTGACAGTGTCATCTGTTATGTCCTGTGGGGTGTGTATGTGTTTTGTTTTCTTTGTGCGTTTTTTGAGAGTTTTTATAGTCAACTTACCCTCAGGTGTATCGATTTCTTCGACGGTTGTCTCTTCCGGAACTTCAACCACTTCTACCGACGTATCGGGCAACTCAGTTGTTTCTGTGATTTCGTGTATTTCTTCAACAGCGCCATCCTTGCCCTTGACTCGGCGTTTCTTTGTTTTGACGGTTCGCGTTTCACCAGTTTCAGTCTGAATCTCCGAGATTTGGACTGTGTCGGGAGATTCATCGATAACGGTTGCTTGCTCCGGCGATTCTTGTTTGTCTGTGAGTGGAAGTGCTTCGTCAGTGACAGTGTCATCTGTTATGTCCTGTGGGGTGTGTATGGGTTTTGTCTTCTTCGTACGTTTCTTGATAGTTTTGATAGTCAACTTACCCTCAGGTGTATCGATTTCTTCGACGGTTGTCTCTTCCGGAACTTCAACCACTTCTACCGACGTATCGGGCAACTCAGTTGTTTCTGTGATTTCGTGTATTTCTTCAACAGCGCCATTCTTACCCTTGACTCGGCGTTTCTTTGTTTTGACGGTTCGGGTTTCACCAGTTTCAGTCTGAACTTCTGTAATTTGGACTATGTCGGGAGATTCTTCGATAAGGGTTGCTTGCTCCGGCAATTCTTGTTTGTCAGTTAGTGGAAGTGTTTCGTCAGTGACAGTGTCATCTGTTATGTCCTGTGGGGTGTGTATGTGTTTTGTCTTCTTTGTGCGTTTCTTGATAGTTTTGATAGTCAACTTACCCTCAGGTGTATCGATTTCTTCGACGGTTGTCTCTTCCGGAACTTCAACCACTTCTACCGACGTATCGGGCAACTCAGTTGTTTCTGTGATTTCGTGTTCTTCTTCTACAGCGCCATCCTTACCCTCGACTCGGCGTTTCTTTGTTTTGACGGTTCGCGTTTCACCAGTTTCAGTCTGAATCTCCGAGATTTGGACTGTGTCGGGAGATTCTTCGATAACGGTTGCTTGCTCCGGCGATACTTGTTTGTCTGTTAGTGGAAGTGTTTCATCAGTGACAGTGTCATCTTTTATGTCCTGTGGCGTTCGAATGTGTTTTGTCTTCTTTGTGCGTTTCTTGATAGTTTTGATGGTCAACTTACCCTCAGGTGTATCAATTTCTTCGACGGTTGTCTCTTCCGGAACTTCAACCACTTCTACCGACGTATCGGGCAACTCAGTTGTTTCTGTGATTTCGTGTATTTCTTCAACAGCGCCATCCTTACCCTTAATTCGGCGTTTCTTTGTTTTGACGGTTCGCGTTTCACCAGTTTCAGTCTGAACTTCTGTAATTTGCACTGTGTCGGGAGATTCTTCGATAAGGGTTGCTTGCTCCGGCGATACTTGTTCGTCTGTTAGTGGATGTGTTTCATCAGTGACAGTGTCATCTTTTATGTCCTGTGGCGTTCGAATGTGTTTTGTCTTCTTTGTGCGTTTCTTGATAGTTTTGATGGTCAACTTACCCTCAGGTGTATAGATTTCTTCGACGGTTGTCTCTTCCGGAACTTCAACCTCTTCTACCGACGAATCGGGCAACTCAGTAGTTTCTGTGATTTCGTGTATTTCTTCAACAGCGCCATCCTTACCCTTGATTCGGCGTTTCTTTGTTTTGACGGTTCGCGTTTCACCAGTTTCAGTCTGAACTTCTGTAATTTGCACTGTGTGGGGAGATTCTTCGATAAGGGTTGCTTGCTCCGGCGATACGTGTTTGTCTGTTAGTGGAAGTGTATCGTCAGTGACAGTGTCATCTTTTATGTCCTGTGGCGTTCGAATGTGTTTTGTCTTCTTTGTGCGTTTTTTGAGAGTTTTTATAGTCAACTTACCCTCAGGTGTATCGATTTCTTCGACGGTTGTCTCTTCCGGAACTTCAACCACTTCTACCGACGTATCGGGCAACTCAGTTGTTTCTGTGATTTCGTGTATTTCTTCAACAGCGCCATCCTTACCCTTGACTCGGCGTTTCTTTGTTTTGACGGTTCGCGTTTCACCAATTTCAGTCTGAATCTCCGAGATTTGGACTGTGTCGGGAGATTCTACGATAACGGTTGCTTGCTCCGGCGATACTTGTTTGTCTGTTAGTGGAAGTGTTTCATCAGTGACAGTGTCATCTTTTATGTCCTGTGGCGTTCGAATGTGTTTTGTCTTCTTTGTGCGTTTCTTGATAGTTTTGATAGTCAACTTACCCTCAGGTGTATAGATTTCTTCGACGGTTGTCTCTTCCGGAACTTCAACCACTTCTACCGACGTATCGGGCAACTCAGTAGTTTCTGTGATTTCGTGTATTTCTTCAACAGCGCCATCCTTACCCTTGATACGGCGTTTCTTTGTTTTGACGGTTCGCGTTTCACCAGTTTCAGTCTGAACTTCTGTAATTTGGACTGTGTCGGGAGATTCTTCGATAAGGGTTGCTTGCTCCGGCGATACTTGTTTGTCTGTTAGTGGAAGTGTTTCATCAGTGACAGTGTCATCTTTTATGTCCTGTGGGGTGTGTATGTGTTTTGTTTTCTTTGTGCGTTTCTTGACAGTTTTGATAGTCAACTTACCCTCAGGTGTATCGATTTCTTCGACGGTTGTCTCTTCCGGAACTTCAACCACTTCTACCGACGTATCGGGCAACTCAGTAGTTTCTGTGATTTCGTGTATTTCTTCAACAGCGCCATCCTTACCCTTGACTCGGCGTTTCTTTGTTTTGACGGTTCGCGTTTCACCAATTTCAGTCTGAATCTCCGAGATTTGGACTGTGTCGGGAGATTCTACGATAACGGTTGCTTGCTCCGGCGATACGTGTTTGTCTGTTAGTGGAAGTGTATCGTCAGCGACAGTGTCATCTTTTATGTCCTGTGGCGTTCGAATGTGTTTTGTCTTCTTTGTGCGTTTTTTGAGAGTTTTTATAGTCAACTTACCCTCAGGTGTATCGATTTCTTCGACGGTTGTCTCTTCCGGAACTTCAACCACTTCTACCGACGTATCGGGCAACTCAGTTGTTTCTGTGATTTCGTGTATTTCTTCAACAGCGCCATCCTTACCCTTGACTCGGCGTTTCTTTGTTTTGACGGTTCGCGTTTCACCAATTTCAGTCTGAATCTCCGAGATTTGGACTGTGTCGGGAGATTCTACGATAACGGTTGCTTGCTCCGGCGATACTTGTTTGTCTGTTAGTGGAAGTGTTTCATCAGTGACAGTGTCATCTTTTATGTCCTGTGGCGTTCGAATGTGTTTTGTCTTCTTTGTGCGTTTCTTGATAGTTTTGATAGTCAACTTACCCTCAGGTGTATAGATTTCTTCGACGGTTGTCTCTTCCGGAACTTCAACCACTTCTACCGACGTATCGGGCAACTCAGTAGTTTCTGTGATTTCGTGTATTTCTTCAACAGCGCCATCCTTACCCTTGATACGGCGTTTCTTTGTTTTGACGGTTCGCGTTTCACCAGTTTCAGTCTGAACTTCTGTAATTTGGACTGTGTCGGGAGATTCATCGATAAGGGTTGCTTGCTCCGGCGATACTTGTTTGTCTGTTAGTGGAAATGTTTCATCAGTGACAGTGTCATCTTTTATGTCCTGTGGGGTGTGTATGTGTTTTGTTTTCTGTGTGCGTTTCTTGACAGTTTTGATCGTCAACTTACCCTCAGGTGTATCGATTTCTTCGACGGTTGTCTCTTTCGGAACTTCAACCACTTCTACCGACGTATCGGGCAACTCAGTAGTTTCTGTGATTTCGTGTATTTCTTCAACAGCGCCATCCTTACCCTTGACTCGGCGTTTCTTTGTTTTGACGGTTCGCGTTTCACCAATTTCAGTCTGAATCTCCGAGATTTGGACTGTGTCGGGAGATTCTACGATAACGGTTGCTTGCTCCGGCGATACTTGTTTGTCTGTTAGTGGAAGTGTTTCATCAGTGACAGTGTCATCTTTTATGTCCTGTGGCGTTCGAATGTGTTTTGTCTTCTTTGTGCGTTTCTTGATAGTTTTGATAGTCAACTTACCCTCAGGTGTATAGATTTCTTCGACGGTTGTCTCTTCCGGAACTTCAACCACTTCTACCGACGTATCGGGCAACTCAGTAGTTTCTGTGATTTCGTGTATTTCTTCAACAGCGCCATCCTTACCCTTGATACGGCGTTTCTTTGTTTTGACGGTTCGCGTTTCACCAGTTTCAGTCTGAACTTCTGTAATTTGGACTGTGTCGGGAGATTCTTCGATAAGGGTTGCTTGCTCCGGCGATACTTGTTTGTCTGTTAGTGGAAGTGTTTCATCAGTGACAGTGTCATCTTTTATGTCCTGTGGGGTGTGTATGTGTTTTGTTTTCTTTGTGCGTTTCTTGACAGTTTTGATAGTCAACTTACCCTCAGGTGTATCGATTTCTTCGACGGTTGTCTCTTCCGGAACTTCAACCACTTCTACCGACGTATCGGGCAACTCAGTAGTTTCTGTGATTTCGTGTATTTCTTCAACAGCGCCATCCTTACCCTTGACTCGGCGTTTCTTTGTTTTGACGGTTCGCGTTTCACCAATTTCAGTCTGAATCTCCGAGATTTGGACTGTGTCGGGAGATTCTACGATAACGGTTGCTTGCTCCGGCGATACGTGTTTGTCTGTTAGTGGAAGTGTATCGTCAGCGACAGTGTCATCTTTTATGTCCTGTGGCGTTCGAATGTGTTTTGTCTTCTTTGTGCGTTTTTTGAGAGTTTTTATAGTCAACTTACCCTCAGGTGTATCGATTTCTTCGACGGTTGTCTCTTCCGGAACTTCAACCACTTCTACCGACGTATCGGGCAACTCAGTTGTTTCTGTGATTTCGTGTATTTCTTCAACAGCGCCATCCTTACCCTTGACTCGGCGTTTCTTTGTTTTGACGGTTCGCGTTTCACCAATTTCAGTCTGAATCTCCGAGATTTGGACTGTGTCGGGAGATTCTACGATAACGGTTGCTTGCTCCGGCGATACTTGTTTGTCTGTTAGTGGAAGTGTTTCATCAGTGACAGTGTCATCTTTTATGTCCTGTAGCGTTCGAATGTGTTTTGTCTTCTTTGTGCGTTTCTTGATAGTTTTGATAGTCAACTTACCCTCAGGTGTATAGATTTCTTCGACGGTTGTCTCTTCCGGAACTTCAACCACTTCTACCGACGTATCGGGCAACTCAGTAGTTTCTGTGATTTCGTGTATTTCTTCAACAGCGCCATCCTTACCCTTGATACGGCGTTTCTTTGTTTTGACGGTTCGCGTTTCACCAGTTTCAGTCTGAACTTCTGTAATTTGGACTGTGTCGGGAGATTCATCGATAAGGGTTGCTTGCTCCGGCGATACTTGTTTGTCTGTTAGTGGAAATGTTTCATCAGTGACAGTGTCATCTTTTATGTCCTGTGGGGTGTGTATGTGTTTTGTTTTCTGTGTGCGTTTCTTGACAGTTTTGATCGTCAACTTACCCTCAGGTGTATCGATTTCTTCGACGGTTGTCTCTTCCGGAACTTCAACCACTTCTACCGACGTATCGGGCAACTCAGTAGTTTCTGTGATTTCGTGTATTTCTTCAACAGCGCCATCCTTACCCTTGACTCGGCGTTTCTTTGTTTTGACGGTTCGCGTTTCACCAATTTCAGTCTGAATCTCCGAGATTTGGACTGTGTCGGGAGATTCTACGATAACGGTTGCTTGCTCCGGCGATACTTGTTTGTCTGTTAGTGGAAGTGTTTCATCAGTGACAGTGTCATCTTTTATGTCCTGTGGCGTTCGAATGTGTTTTGTCTTCTTTGTGCGTTTCTTGATAGTTTTGATAGTCAACTTACCCTCAGGTGTATAGATTTCTTCGACGGTTGTCTCTTCCGGAACTTCAACCACTTCTACCGACGTATCGGGCAACTCAGTAGTTTCTGTGATTTCGTGTATTTCTTCAACAGCGCCATCCTTACCCTTGATACGGCGTTTCTTTGTTTTGACGGTTCGCGTTTCACCAGTTTCAGTCTGAACTTCTGTAATTTGGACTGTGTCGGGAGATTCTTCGATAAGGGTTGCTTGCTCCGGCGATACTTGTTTGTCTGTTAGTGGAAGTGTTTCATCAGTGACAGTGTCATCTTTTATGTCCTGTGGGGTGTGTATGTGTTTTGTTTTCTTTGTGCGTTTCTTGACAGTTTTGATAGTCAACTTACCCTCAGGTGTATCGATTTCTTCGACGGTTGTCTCTTCCGGAACTTCAACCACTTCTACCGACGTATCGGGCAACTCAGTAGTTTCTGTGATTTCGTGTATTTCTTCAACAGCGCCATCCTTACCCTTGACTCGGCGTTTCTTTGTTTTGACGGTTCGCGTTTCACCAATTTCAGTCTGAATCTCCGAGATTTGGACTGTGTCGGGAGATTCTACGATAACGGTTGCTTGCTCCGGCGATACTTGTTTGTCTGTTAGTGGAAGTGTTTCATCAGTGACAGTGTCATCTTTTATGTCCTGTGGCGTTCGAATGTGTTTTGTCTTCTTTGTGCGTTTCTTGATAGTTTTGATAGTCAACTTACCCTCAGGTGTATAGATTTCTTCGACGGTTGTCTCTTCCGGAACTTCAACCACTTCTACCGACGTATCGGGCAACTCAGTAGTTTCTGTGATTTCGTGTATTTCTTCAACAGCGCCATCCTTACCCTTGACTCGGCGTTTCTTTGTTTTGACGGTTCGCGTTTCACCAGTTTCAGTCTGAACTTCTGTAATTTGGACTGTGTCGGGAGATTCTTCGATAAGGGTTGCTTGCTCCGGCGATACTTGTTTGTCTGTTAGTGGAAGTGTTTCATCAGTGACAGTGTCATCTTTTATGTCCTGTGGCGTTCGAATGTGTTTTGTCTTCTTTGTGCGTTTCTTGATAGTTTTGATAGTCAACTTACCCTCAGGTGTATAGATTTCTTCGACGGTTGTCTCTTCCGGAACTTCAACCACTTCTACCGACGTATCGGGCAACTCAGTAGTTTCTGTGATTTCGTGTATTTCTTCAACAGCGCCATCCTTACCCTTGATACGGCGTTTCTTTGTTTTGACGGTTCGCGTTTCACCAGTTTCAGTCTGTACCTTTGTAATTTGGACTATGTCGGGAGATTCTTCGATAAGGGTTGCTTGCTCCGGCGATTCTTGTTTGTCTGTGAGTGGTAGTGTTTCGTCAGTGACAGTGTTATCTGTTATGCCTTGTGGGGTGTGTATGTGTTTTGTTTTCTTTGTGCGTTTCTTGACAGTTTTGATAGTCAACTTACCCTCAGGTGTATCGATTTCTTCGATGGTTGTCTCTTCCGGAACTTCAACCACTTCTACCGACGTATCGGGCAACTCAGTAGTTTCTGTGATTTCGTGTATTTCTTCAACAGCGCCATCCTTACCCTTGACTCGGCGTTTCTTTGTTTTGACGGTTTGCGTTTCACCAGTTTCAGTCTGAACTTCTGTAATTTGGATTGTGTCGGGAGATTCTTCGATAAGGGTTGCTTGCTCCGGCGATACTTGTTTGTCTGTTAGTGGAAGTGTTTCGTCAGTGACAGTGTCATCTGTTATGTCCTGTGGCGTTCGAATGTGTTTTGTCTTCTTTGTGCGTTTTTTGATAGTTTTTATAGTCAACTTACCCTCAGGTGTATCGATTTCATCGACGGTTGTCTCTTCCGGAACTTCAACTACTTCTACCGACGTATCGGGCAACTCGGTAGTTTCTGTGATTTCGTGTACTTCTTCAACAGCGCCATCCTTACCCCTGATTCGGCGATTATTTGTTTTGACGGTTCGCGTTTCACCAGTTTCAGTCTGAACTTCTGTAATTTGAACTGTGTCGGGAGATTCTTCGATAAGGGTTGCTTGCTCTGGCGATACTTGTTTATCTATTAGTGGAAGTGTTTCGTCAGTGACAGTGTCATCTGTTATGTCCTGTGGCGTTCGAATGTGTTTTGTCTTCTTTGTGCGTTTTTTGATAGTTTTGATAGTCAACTTACCCTCAGGTGTATCGATTTCTTCGACGGTTGTCTCTTCCGGAACTTCAACCACTTCTACCGACGTGTCGGGCAACTCAGTAGTTTCTGTGATTTCGTGTATTTCTTCAACGGCGCCATCCTTACCCTTGACTCGGCGTTTCTTATTTTTGACGGTTCGCGTTTCACCAGTTTCAGTCTGAACTTCTGTAATTTGGACTGTGTCGGGAGATTCTTCTATAAGGGTTGCTTGCTCCGGCGATACTTGTTTGTCTGTTAGTGGAAGTGTTTCGTCAGTGATAGTGTCAACTGTTATGTCCTTTGGCGTTCGAATGTGTTTTGTCTTCTTTGTGCGTTTTTTGATAGTTTTTATAGTCAACTTACCCTCAGGTGTATCGATTTCTTCGACGGTTGTCTCTTCCGGAACTTCAACCACTTCTACCGACGTGTCGGGCAACTCAGTAGTTTCTGTGATTTCGTGTATTTCTTCAACGGCGCCATCCTTACCCTTGACTCGGCGTTTCTTTGTTTTGACGGTTCGCGTTTCACCAGTTTCAGTCTGAACTTCTGTAATTTGGACTGTGTCGGGAGATTCTTCTATAAGGGTTGCTTGCTCCGGCGATACTTGTTTGTCTGTTAGTGGAAGTGTTTCGTCAGTGATAGTGTCAACTGTTATGTCCTTTGGCGTTCGAATGTGTTTTGTCTTCTTTGTGCGGTTTTTGATAGTTTTTATAGTCAACTTACCCTCAGGTGTATCGATTTCTTCGACGGTTGTCTCTTCCGGAACTTCAACCACTTCTACCGACGTGTCGGGCAACTCAGTAGTTTCTGTGATTTCGTGTATTTCTTCAACGGCGCCATCCTTACCCTTGACTCGGCGTTTCTTGGTTTTGACGGTTCGTGTTTCACCAGTTTCAGTCTGAACTTCTGTTATTTGGACTGTGTCGGGAGATTCTTCAATAAGGGTTGCTTGCTCCGGCGATTCTTGTTTGTCTGTGAGTGGAAGTGTTTCGTCAGTGACAGTGTAATCTGTTATGTCCTGTGGGGTGTGTATGTGTTTTGTTTTCTTTGTGCGTTTCTTGACAGTTTTGATAGTCAACTTACCCTCAGGTGTATCGATTTCTTCGATGGTTGTCTCTTCCGGAACTTCAACCACTTCTACCGACGTATCGGGCAACTCAGTAGTTTCTGTGATTTCGTGTATTTCTTCAACAGCGCCATCCTTACCCTTGACTCGGCGTTTCTTTGTTTTGACGGTTCGCGTTTTACCAGTTTCAGTCTGAACTTCTGTAATTTGGACTGTGTCGGGAGATTCTTCGATAAGGGTTGCTTGCTCCGGCGATACTTGTTTGTCTGTTAGTGGAAGTGTTTCATCAGTGACAGTGTCATCTTTTATGTCCTGTGGCGTTCGAATGTGTTTTGTCTTCTTTGTGCGGTTTTTGATAGTTTTTATAGTCAACTTACCCTCAGGTGTATCGATTTCTTCGACGGTTGTCTCTTCCGGAACTTCAACCACTTCTACCGACGTATCGGGCAACTCAGTAGTTTCTGTGATTTCTTGTACTTCTTCAACAGCGCCATCCTTACCCTTGATTCGGCGTTTCATTGTTTTGACGGTTCGCGTTTTACCAGTTTCAGTCTGAACCTTTGTAATTTGGACTGTGTCGGGAGATTCTTCGATAAGGGTTGCTTGCTCTGGCGACACTTGTTTGTCTGTTATTGGAAGTGTTTCGTCAGTGACAGTGTCATCTGTTATGTCCTGTGGGGTGTGTATGTGTTTTGTTTTCTTTGTGCGTTTCTTGACAGTTTTGATAGTCAACTTACCCTCAGGTGTATCGATTTCTTCGATGGTTGTCTCTTCCGGAACTTCAACCACTTCTACCGACGTATCGGGCAACTCAGTAGTTTCTGTGATTTCGTGTATTTCTTCAACAGCGCCATCCTTACCCTTGACTCGGCGTTTCTTTGTTTTGACGGTTTGCGTTTCACCAGTTTCAGTCTGAACCTTTGTAATTTGGACTATGTCGGGAGATTCTTCGATAAGGGTTGCTTGCTCCGGCGATTCTTGTTTGTCTGTGAGTGGAAGTGTTTCGTCAGTGACAGTGTCATCTGTTATGTCCTGTGGGGTGTGTATGTGTTTTGTTTTCTTTGTGCGTTTCTTGACAGTTTTGATAGTCAACTTACCCTCAGGTGTATCGATTTCTTCGACGGTTGTCTCTTCCGGAACTTCAACCACTTCTACCGACGTATCGGGCAACTCAGTAGTTTCTGTGATTTCGTGTACTTCTTCTACAGCGCCATCCTTACCCTTGATTCGGCGTTTCTTTGTTTTGACGGTTCGCGTTTCACCAGTTTCAGTCTGAACTTCTGTAATTTGGACTAGGTCGGGAGATTCTTCGATAAGGGTTGATTGCTCCGGCGATACGTGTTTGTCTGTTAGTGGAAGTGTTTCGTCAGTGACAGTGTCATCTGTTATGTCCTGTGGCGTTCGAATGTGTTTTGTCTTCTTTGTGCGTTTTTTTGATAGTTTTTATAGTCAACTTACCCTCAGGTGTATCGATTTCTTCGACGGTTGTCTCTTCCGGAACTTCAACCACTTCTAACGACGTATCGGGCAACTCAGTAGTTTCTGTGATTTCGTGTACTTCTTCAACAACGCCATCCTTACCCTTGATTCGGCGTTTTTTTGTTGTGACGATTCTCGTTTCACCAGTTTCAGTCTGAACTTCTGTAATTTGGACTGTGTCGGGAAATTCTTCGATAAGAGTTGCTTGCTCCGGCGATACTTGTTTGTCTGTTAGTGGAAGTGTTCCATCAGTTACAGTGTCATCTTTTGTGTCCTGTGGCGTTCGAATGTGTTTTGTCTTCTTTGTGCGTTTTTTTTATAGTTTTTATAGTCAACTTACCCTCAGGTATATCGATTTCTTCGACGGTTGTCTCTTCCGGAACTTCAACCACTTCTACCGACGTATCGGGCAACTCAGTTGTTTCTGTGATTTCGTGTACTTCTTCTACAGCGCCATCCTTACCCTTGACTCGCCGTTTCTTTGTTTTGACGGTTCGCGTTTCACCAGTTTCAGTCTGAACTTCTGTAATTTGGACTGTGTCGGGAGATTCTTCGATAAGGGTTTCTTGCTCCGGCAATACTTGTTTGTCTGTTAGTGGAAGTGTTTCGTCAGCGACAGTGTCATCTGTTATGTCCTGTGGCGTTCGAATGTGTTTTGTCTTCTTTGTGCGTTTTTTGATAGTTTTTATAGTCAACTTACCCTCAGGTGTATCGATTTCTTCGACGGTTGTCTCTTCCGGAACTTCAACCACTTCTACCGACGTGTCGGGCAACTCAGTAGTTTCTGTGATTTCGTGTATTTCTTCAACGGCGCCATCCTTACCCTTGACTCGGCGTTTCTTGGTTTTGACGGTTCGCGTTTCACCAGTTTCAGTCTGAACTTCTGTAATTTGGACTGTGTCGGGAGATTCTTCGATAAGGGTTGCTTGCTCCGGCGATACTTGTTTGTCTGTTAGTGGAAGTGTTTCATCAGTGACAGTGTCATCTTTTATGTCCTGTGGCGTTCGAATGTGTTTTGTCTTCTTTGTGCGGTTTTTGATAGTTTTTATAGTCAACTTACCCTCAGGTGTATCGATTTCTTCGACGGTTGTCTCTTCCGGAACTTCAACCACTTCTACCGACGTATCGGGCAACTCAGTAGTTTCTGTGATTTCTTGTACTTCTTCAACAGCGCCATCCTTACCCTTGATTCGGCGTTTCATTGTTTTGACGGTTCGCGTTTTACCAGTTTCAGTCTGAACCTTTGTAATTTGGACTGTGTCGGGAGATTCTTCGATAAGGGTTGCTTGCTCTGGCGACACTTGTTTGTCTGTTATTGGAAGTGTTTCGTCAGTGACAGTGTCATCTGTTATGTCCTGTGGCGTTCGAATGTGTTTTGACTTCTTTGTGCGTTTTTTGATAGTTTTTATAGTCAACTTACCCTCAGGTGTATCGATTTCTTCGACGGTTGTCTCTTCCGGAACTTCAACCACTTCTACCGACGTATCGGGCAACTCAGTTGTTTCTGTGATTTCGTGTATTTCTTCAACAGCGCCATCCTTACCCTTGATTCGGCGTTTCTTTGTTTTGACGGTTCGCGTTTCACCAGTTTCAGTCTGAACCTTTGTAATTTGGACTATGTCGGGAGATTCTTCGATAAGGGTTGCTTGCTCCGGCGATTCTTGTTTGTCTGTGAGTGGAAGTGTTTCGTCAGTGACAGTGTCATCTGTTATGTCCTGTGGGGTGTGTATGTGTTTTGTTTTCTTTGTGCGTTTCTTGACAGTTTTGATAGTCAACTTACCCTCAGGTGTATCGATTTCTTCGACGGTTGTCTCTTCCGGAACTTCAACCACTTCTACCGACGTATCGGGCAACTCAGTAGTTTCTGTGATTTCGTGTACTTCTTCTACAGCGCCATCCTTACCCTTGATTCGGCGTTTCTTTGTTTTGACGGTTCGCGTTTCACCAGTTTCAGTCTGAACTTCTGTAATTTGGACTAGGTCGGGAGATTCTTCGATAAGGGTTGATTGCTCCGGCGATACGTGTTTGTCTGTTAGTGGAAGTGTATCGTCAGTGATAGAGTCATCTGTTATGTCCTGTGGCGTTCGAATGTGTTTTGTCTTCTTTTTGCGTTTTTTGATAGTTTTTATAGTCAACTTACCCTCAGGTGTATCGATTTCTTCGACGGTTGTCTCTTCCGGAACTTCAACCACTTCTACCGACGTATCGGGCAACTCAGTTGTTTCTGTGATTTCGTGTATTTCTTCAACAGCGCCATCCTTACCCTTGATTCGGCGTTTCTTTGTTTTGACGGTTCGCGTTTCACCAGTTTCAGTCTGAACCTTTGTAATTTGGACTATGTCGGGAGATTCTTCGATAAGGGTTGCTTGCTCCGGCGATTCTTGTTTGTCTGTGAGTGGAAGTGTTTCGTCAGTGACAGTGTCATCTGTTATGTCCTGTGGGGTGTGTATGTGTTTTGTTTTCTTTGTGCGTTTCTTGACAGTTTTGATAGTCAACTTACCCTCAGGTGTATCGATTTCTTCGACGGTTGTCTCTTCCGGAACTTCAACCACTTCTACCGACGTATCGGGCAACTCAGTAGTTTCTGTGATTTCGTGTACTTCTTCTACAGCGCCATCCTTACCCTTGATTCGGCGTTTCTTTGTTTTGACGGTTCGCGTTTCACCAGTTTCAGTCTGAACTTCTGTAATTTGGACTAGGTCGGGAGATTCTTCGATAAGGGTTGATTGCTCCGGCGATACGTGTTTGTCTGTTAGTGGAAGTGTTTCGTCAGTGACAGTGTCATCTGTTATGTCCTGTGGCGTTCGAATGTGTTTTGTCTTCTTTGTGCGTTTTTTGATAGTTTTTATAGTCAACTTACCCTCAGGTGTATCGATTTCTTCGACGGTTGTCTCTTCCGGAACTTCAACCACTTCTAACGACGTATCGGGCAACTCAGTAGTTTCTGTGATTTCGTGTACTTCTTCAACAACGCCATCCTTACCCTTGATTCGGCGTTTTTTTGTTGTGACGATTCTCGTTTCACCAGTTTCAGTCTGAACTTCTGTAATTTGGACTGTGTCGGGAAATTCTTCGATAAGAGTTGCTTGCTCCGGCGATACTTGTTTGTCTGTTAGTGGAAGTGTTCCATCAGTTACAGTGTCATCTTTTGTGTCCTGTGGCGTTCGAATGTGTTTTGTCTTCTTTGTGCGTTTTTTTATAGTTTTTATAGTCAACTTACCCTCAGGTATATCGATTTCTTCGACGGTTGTCTCTTCCGGAACTTCAACCACTTCTACCGACGTATCGGGCAACTCAGTAGTTTCTGTGATTTCGTGTACTTCTTCTACAGCGCCATCCTTACCCTTGACTCGCCGTTTCTTTGTTTTGACGGTTCGCGTTTCACCAGTTTCAGTCTGAACTTCTGTAATTTGGACTGTGTCGGGAGATTCTTCGATAAGGGTTTCTTGCTCCGGCAATACTTGTTTGTCTGTTAGTGGAAGTGTTTCGTCAGCGACAGTGTCATCTGTTATGTCCTGTGGCGTTCGAATGTGTTTTGTCTTCTTTGTGCGTTTTTTGATAGTTTTTATAGTCAACTTACCCTCAGGTGTATCGATTTCTTCGACGGTTGTCTCTTCCGGAACTTCAACCACTTCTACCGACGTGTCGGGCAACTCAGTAGTTTCTGTGATTTCGTGTATTTCTTCAACGGCGCCATCCTTACCCTTGACTCGGCGTTTCTTGGTTTTGACGGTTCGCGTTTCACCAGTTTCAGTCTGAACTTCTGTAATTTGGACTGTGTCGGGAGATTCTTCGATAAGGGTTGCTTGCTCTGGCGATACTTGTTTATCTATTAGTGGAAGTGTTTCGTCAGTGACAGTGTCATCTGTTATGTCCTGTGGCGTTCGAATGTGTTTTGTCTTCTTTGTGCGTTTTTTGATAGTTTTGATAGTCAACTTACCCTCAGGTGTATCGATTTCTTCGACGGTTGTCTCTTCCGGAACTTCAACCACTTCTACCGACGTGTCGGGCAACTCAGTAGTTTCTGTGATTTCGTGTATTTCTTCAACGGCGCCATCCTTACCCTTGACTCGGCGTTTCTTTGTTTTGACGGTTCGCGTTTCACCAGTTTCAGTCTGAACTTCTGTAATTTGGACTGTGTCGGGAGATTCTTCTATAAGGGTTGCTTGCTCCGGCGATACTTGTTTGTCTGTTAGTGGAAGTGTTTCGTCAGTGATAGTGTCAACTGTTATGTCCTTTGGCGTTCGAATGTGTTTTGTCTTCTTTGTGCGTTTTTTGATAGTTTTTATAGTCAACGTACCCTCAGGTGTATCGATTTCTTCGACGGTTGTCTCTTCCGGAACTTCAACCACTTCTACCGACGTGTCGGGCAACTCAGTAGTTTCTGTGATTTCGTGTATTTCTTCAACGGCGCCATCCTTACCCTTGACTCGGCGTTTCTTGGTTTTGACGGTTCGTGTTTCACCAGTTTCAGTCTGAACTTCTGTAATTTGGACTGTGTCGGGAGATTCTTCGATAAGGGTTGCTTGCTCCGGCGATACTTGTTTGTCTAATAGTGGAATTGTTTCATCAGTGACAGTGTCATCTGTTATGTCCTGTGGCGTTCGAATGTGTTTTGTCTTCTTCGTGCGTTTTTTGATAGTTTTTATAGTCAACTTACCCTCAGGTGTATGGATTTCTTCGACGGTTGTCTCTTCCGGAACTTCAACCACTTCTACCGACGTGTCGGGCAACTCAGTAGTTTCTGTGATTTCGTGTATTTCTTCAACGGCGCCATCCTTACCCTTGACTCGGCGTTTCTTGGTTTTGACGGTACGTGTTTCACCAGTTTCAGTCTGAACTTCTGTAATTTGGACTGTGTCGGGAGATTCTTCGATAAGGGTTGCTTGCTCCGGCGATACTTGTTTGTCTGTCAGTGGAAGTGCTTCGTCAGTGACAGTGTCATCTGTTACATCCTGTGGCGTTCGAATGTGTTTTGTCTTCTTTGTGCGTTTTTTGATAGTATTGATAATCAACTTACCCTCGGGTGTATCGATTTCTTCGACGGTTGTCTCTTCCGGAACTTCAACCACTTCTACCGACGTGTCGGGCAACTCAGTAGTTTCTGTGATTTCGTGTATTTCTTCAACGGCGCCATCCTTACCCTTGACTCGGCGTTTCTTGGTTTTGACGGTTCGTGTTTCACCAGTTTCAGTCTGAACTTCTGTTATTTGGACTGTGTCGGGAGATTCTTCGATAAGGGTTGCTTGCTCCGGCGATACTTGTTTGTCTAATAGTGGAATTGTTTCATCAGTGACAGTGTCATCTGTTATGTCCTGTGGCGTTCGAATGTGTTTTGTCTTCTTCGTGCGTTTTTTGATAGTTTTTATAGTCAACTTACCCTCAGGTGTATGGATTTCTTCGACGGTTGTCTCTTCCGGAACTTCAACCACTTCTACCGACGTGTCGGGCAACTCAGTAGTTTCTGTGATTTCGTGTATTTCTTCAACGGCGCCATCCTTACCCTTGACTCGGCGTTTCTTGGTTTTGACGGTACGTGTTTCACCAGTTTCAGTCTGAACTTCTGTAATTTGGACTGTGTCGGGAGATTCTTCTATAAGGGTTGCTTGCTCCGGCGATACTTGTTTGTCTGTTAGTGGAAGTGTTTCGTCAGTGATAGTGTCAACTGTTATGTCCTTTGGCGTTCGAATGTGTTTTGTCTTCTTTGTGCGTTTTTTGATAGTTTTTATAGTCAACTTACCCTCAGGTGTATCGATTTCTTCGACGGTTGTCTCTTCCGGAACTTCAACCACTTCTACCGACGTGTCGGGTAACTCAGTAGTTTCTGTGATTTCGTGTATTTCTTCAACGGCGCCATCCTTACCCTTGACTCGGCGTTTCTTGGTTTTGACGGTTCGTGTTTCACCAGTTTCAGTCTGAACTTCTGTTATTTGGACTGTGACGGGAGATTCTTCGATAAGGGTTGCTTGCTCCGGCGATACTTGTTTGTCTAATAGTGGAATTGTTTCATCAGTGACAGTGTCATCTGTTATGTCCTGTGGTGTTCGAAGGTGCTTTGTCTTCTTTGTGCGTTTTTTGATAGTTTTTATAGTCAACTTACCCTCAGGTGTATCGATTTCTTCGACGGTTGTCTCTTCCGGAACTTCAACCACTTCTACCGACGTGTCGGGCAACTCAGTAGTTTCTGTGATTTCGTGTATTTCTTCAACGGCGCCATCCTTACCCTTTACTCGGCGTTTCTTGGTTTTGACGGTTCGTGTTTCACCAGTTTCAGTCTGAACTTCTGTAATTTGGACTGTGTCGGGAGATTCTTCGATAAGGGTTGCTTGCTCCGGCGATACTCGTTTGTCTGTTAGTGGAAGTGTTTCGTCAGTGATAGTGTCAACTGTTATGTCCTTTGGCGTTCGAATGTGTTTTGTCTTCTTTGTGCGTTTTTTTGATAGTTTTTATAGTCAACTTACCCTCAGGTGTATCGATTTCTTCGACGGTTGTCTCTTCCGGAACTTCAACCACTTCTACCGACGTGTCGGGTAACTCAGTAGTTTCTGTGATTTCGTGTATTTCTTCAACGGCGCCATCCTTACCCTTGACTCGGCGTTTCTTGGTTTTGACGGTTCGTGTTTCACCAGTTTCAGTCTGAACTTCTGTTATTTGGACTGTGTCGGGAGATTCTTCGATAAGGGTTGCTTGCTCCGGCGATACTTGTTTGTCTAATAGTGGAATTGTTTCATCAGTGACAGTGTCATCTGTTATGTCCTGTGGTGTTCGAAGGTGCTTTGTCTTCTTTGTGCGTTTTTTGATAGTTTTTATAGTCAACTTACCCTCAGGTGTATCGATTTCTTCGACGGTTGTCTCTTCCGGAACTTCAACCACTTCTACCGACGTGTCGGGCAACTCAGTTATTTCTGTGAATTCGTGAATTTCTTCAACAGCGCCATCCTTTCCCTTGATTCGGCGTTTCTTTGTTTTGACGGTTCGCGTTTCACCAGTTTCAGTCTGAACTTCTGTAATTTGGACTGTGTCGGGAGATTCTTCGATAAGGGTTGCTTGCTCCGGCGATACTTGTTTGTCTGTAAGTGGAAGTATTTCGTCAGTAACAGTTTCATCTGTTATGTCCTGTGGCGTTCGAATGTGTTTTGTCTTCTTCGTGCGTTTCTTGATAGTCAATTTACCCTCAGGTGTATCGATTTCTTCGACGGTTGTCTCGTCCGGGATTTCAACCACTTCTACCGAAGTATCGGGCAACTCAGTTGTTTCGGTGATTTCGTGTATTTCTTCAATGGCGCCATCTTTACCCTTTACTCGGCGTTTCTTGGTTTTTATGGTACGTGTTTCACCAGTTTCAGTCTGAACTTCTGTAATTTGGACTGTGTCGGGAGATTCTTCGATAAAGGTTGCTTGCTCCGTCGATACTTGTTTGTCTGGTAGTGGAATTGTTTCATCAGTGACAGTGTCATCTGTTATGTCCTGTGGCATTCGAAGGTGTTTTGTCTTCTTCGTGCGTTTTTTGATAGTTTTTATAGTCAACTTACCCTCAGGTGTATGGATTTCTTCGACGGTTGTCTCTTCCGGAACTTCAACCACTTCTACCGACGTGTCAGGCAACTCGGTAGTTTCTGTGATTTCGTGTATTTCTTCAACGGCGCCATCCTTACCCTTGACTCGGCGTTTCTTGGTTTTGACGGTTCGTGTTTCACCAGTTTCAGTCTGAACTTCTGTAATTTGGACTGTGTCGGGAGTTTCTTCGATAAGGGTTGCTTGCTCCGGCGATACTCGTTTGTCTGTTAGTGGAAGTGTTTCGTCAGTAACAGTGTCATCTGTTATGTCCTGTGGCATTCGAATGTGTTTTGTCTTCTTTGTGCGTTTCTTAATAGTTTTGATAGTCAACTTACCCTCAGGTGTATCGATTTCTTCGACGGTTGTCTCTTCCGGAACTTCAACCACTTCTACCGACGTATCGGGCAACTCAGTAGTTTCTGTGATTTCGTGTATTTCTTCAACAGCGCCATCCTTACCCTTGACTCGGCGTTTCTTTGTTTTGACGGTTTGCGTTTCACCAGTTTCAGTCTGAACTTCTGTAATTTGGACTGTGTCGGGAGTTTCTTCGATAAGGGTTGCTTGCTCCGGCGATACTCGTCTGTCTGTTAGTGGAAGTGTTTCGTCAGTGACAGTGTCATCTGTTATGTCCTGTGGTGTTCGAAGGTGTTTTGTCTTCTTCGTGCGTTTTTTGATAGTTTTTATAGTCAACTTACCCTCAGGTGTATGAATTTCTTCGACGGTTGTCTCTTCCGGAACTTCAACCACTTCTACCGACGTATCGGGCAACTCAGTAGTTTCTGTGATTTCGTGTATTTCTTCAACGGCGCCATCCTTACCCTTGAATCGGCGTTTCTTGGTTTTGACGGTTCGTGTTTCACCAGTTTCAGTCTGAACTTCTGTAATTTGGACTGTGTCGGGAGATTCTTCGATAAGGGTTGCTTGCTCCGGCGATACTCGTTTGTCTGTTAGTGGAAGTGTTTCGTCAGTAGCAGTGTCATCTGTTATGGTCTGTGGCGTTCGAATGTGCTTTGTCTTCTTTGTGCGTTTCTTAATAGTTTTGATAGTCAATTTACCCTCAGGTGTATCGATTTCTTCGACGGTTGTCTCTTCCGGAACTTCAACCACTTCTACCGACGTGTCGGGCAACTCAGTAGTTTCTGTGATTTCGTGTATTTCTTCAACGGCGCCATCCTTACCCTTGACTCGGCGTTTCTTGGTTTTGACGGTTCGTGTTTCACCAGTTTCAGTCTGAACTTCTGTAATTTGGACTGTGTCGGGAGTTTCTTCGATAAGGGTTGCTTGCTCCGGCGATACTCGTCTGTCTGTTAGTGGAAGTGTTTCGTCAGTGACAGTGTCATCTGTTATGTCCTGTGGTGTTCGAAGGTGTTTTGTCTTCTTCGTGCGTTTTTTGATAGTTTTTATAGTCAACTTACCCTCAGGTGTATGAATTTCTTCGACGGTTGTCTCTTCCGGAACTTCAACCACTTCTACCGACGTATCGGGCAACTCAGTAGTTTCTGTGATTTCGTGTATTTCTTCAACGGCGCCATCCTTACCCTTGAATCGGCGTTTCTTGGTTTTGACGGTTCGTGTTTCACCAGTTTTAGTCTGAACTTCTGTAATTTGGACTGTGTCGGGAGATTCTTCGATAAGGGTTGCTTGCTCCGGCGATACTCGTTTGTCTGTTAGTGGAAGTGTTTCGTCAGTAGCAGTGTCATCTGTTATGGTCTGTGGCGTTCGAATGTGCTTTGTCTTCTTTGTGCGTTTCTTAATAGTTTTGATAGTCAATTTACCCTCAGGTGTATCGATTTCTTCGACGGTTGTCTCTTCCGGAACTTCAACCACTTCTACCGACGTGTCGGGCAACTCAGTAGTTTCTGTGATTTCGTGTATTTCTTCAACGGCGCCATCCTTACCCTTGACTCGGCGTTTCTTGGTTTTGACGGTTCGTGTTTCACCAGTTTCAGTCTGAACTTCTGTAATTTGGACTGTGTCGGGAGATTCTTCGATAAGGGTTGCTTGCTCCGGCGATACTTGTTTGTCTAATAGTGGAATTGTTTCATCAGTGACAGTGTCATCTGTTATGTCCTGTGGCGTTCGAATGTGTTTTGTCTTCTTCGTGCGTTTTTTGATAGTTTTTATAGTCAACTTACCCTCAGGTGTATGGATTTCTTCGACGGTTGTCTCTTCCGGAACTTCAACCACTTCTACCGACGTTTCGGGCAACTCAGTAGTTTCTATGATTTCGTGTATTTCTTCAACGGTGCCATCCTTACCCTTGACTCGGCGTTTCTTGGTTTTGACGGTACGTGTTTCACCAGTTTTAGTCTGAACTTCTGTAATTTGGACTGTGTCGGGAGATTCTTCGATAAGGGTTGCTTGCTCCGGCGATACTTGTTTGTCTGTCAGTGGAAGTGCTTCGTCAGTGACAGTGTCATCTGTTACATCCTGTGGCGTTCGAATGTGTTTTGTCTTCTTTGTGCGTTTTTTGATAGTATTGATAATCAACTTACCCTCGGGTGTATCGATTTCTTCGACGGTTGTCTCTTCCGGAACTTCAACCACTTCTACCGAAGTATCGGGCAACTCAGTTGTTTCGGTGATTTCGTGTATTTCTTCAATGGCGCCATCTTTACCCTTTACTCGGCGTTTCTTGGTTTTTATGGTACGTGTTTCACCAGTTTCAGTCTGAACTTCTGTAATTTGGACTGTGTCGGGAGATTCTTCGATAAAGGTTGCTTGCTCCGTCGATACTTGTTTGTCTGGTAGTGGAATTGTTTCATCAGTGACAGTGTCATCTGTTATGTCCTGTGGCATTCGAAGGTGTTTTGTCTTCTTCGTGCGTTTTTTGATAGTTTTTATAGTCAACTTACCCTCAGGTGTATGGATTTCTTCGACGGTTGTCTCTTCCGGAACTTCAACCACTTCTACCGACGTGTCAGGCAACTCGGTAGTTTCTGTGATTTCGTGTATTTCTTCAACGGCGCCATCCTTACCCTTGACTCGGCGTTTCTTGGTTTTGACGGTTCGTGTTTCACCAGTTTCAGTCTGAACTTCTGTAATTTGGACTGTGTCGGGAGTTTCTTCGATAAGGGTTGCTTGCTCCGGCGATACTCGTTTGTCTGTTAGTGGAAGTGTTTCGTCAGTAACAGTGTCATCTGTTATGTCCTGTGGCATTCGAATGTGTTTTGTCTTCTTTGTGCGTTTCTTAATAGTTTTGATAGTCAACTTACCCTCAGGTGTATCGATTTCTTCTACGGTTGTCTCTTCCGGAACTTCAACCACTTCTACCGACGTATCGGGCAACTCAGTAGTTTCTGTGATTTCGTGTATTTCTTCAACAGCGCCATCCTTACCCTTGACTCGGCGTTTCTTTGTTTTGACGGTTCGCGTTTCACCAGTTTCAGTCTGAACTTCTGTAATTTGGACTGTGTCGGGAGATTCTTCGATAATGGTTGCTTCCTCCGGCGATACTTGTTTGTCTGTTAGTGGAAGTATTTCGTCAGTAACAGTGTCATCTGTTACATCCTGTGGCGTTTGAAGGTGTTTTGTCTTCTTTGTGCGTTTTTTGATAGTTTTGATAGTCAACTTACCCTCAGGTGTATCGATTTCTTCGACGGTTGTCTCTTCCGGAACTTCAACCACTTCTACCGACGTGTCGGGCAACTCAGTTGTTTCAGTGATTTCGTGTATTTCTTCAACGGCGCCATCCTTACCCTTGACTCGGCGTTTCTTGGTTTTGACGGTTCGTGTTTCACCAGTTTCAGTCTGAACTTCTGTTATTTGGACTGTGTCGGGAGATTCTTCGATAAGGGTTGCTTGCTCCGGCGATACTTGTTTGTCTGTTAGTGGAAGTATTTCGTCAGTGACAGTTTCATCTGTTATGTCCTGTGGCGTTCGAATGTGTTTCGTCTTCTTCGTGCGTTTCTTGATAGTTTTGATAGTCATCTTACCCTCGGGTGTATTGATTTCTTCGACGGTTGTCTCTTCCGGAACTTCAACCACTTCTACCGATGTGTCGGGCAACTCAGTTGTTTCAGTGATTTCGTGTATTTCTTCAACGGCGCCATCCTTACCCTTGACTCGGCGTTTCTTGGTTTTGACGGTTCGTGTTTCACCAGTTTCAGTCTGAACTTCTGTTATTTGGACTGTGTCGGGAGATTCTTCGATAAGGGTTGCTTGCTCCGGCGATACTTGTTTGTCTGTTAGTGGAAGTATTTCGTCAGTGACAGTTTCATCAGTTATGTCCTGTGGCGTTCGAATGTGTTTCGTCTTCTTCGTGCGTTTCTTGATAGTTTTGATAGTCATCTTACCCTCGGGTGTATTGATTTCTTCGACGGTTGTCTCTTCCGGAACTTCAACCACTTCTACCGATGTGTCGGGCAACTCAGTTGTTTCAGTGATTTCGTGTATTTCTTCAACGGCGCCATCCTTACCCTTGACTCGGCGTTTCTTGGTTTTGACGGTTCGTGTTTCACCAGTTTCAGTCTGAACTTCTGTAATTTGGACTGTGTCGGGAGATTCTTCGATAAGGGTTGCTTGCTCCGGCGATACTCGTTTGTCTGTTAGTGGAAGTGTTTCGTCAGTAACAGTGTCATCTGTTATGTCCTGTGGCGTTCGAATGTGTTTTGTCTTCTTTGTGCGTTTCTTAATAGTTTTGATAGTCAACTTACCCTCAGGTGTATCGATTTCTTCGACGGTTGTCTCTTCCGGAACTTCAACCACTTCTACCGACGTGTCGGGCAACTCAGTTATTTCTGTGAATTCGTGAATTTCTTCAACAGCGCCATCCTTTCCCTTGATTCGGCGTTTCTTTGTTTTGACGGTTCGCGTTTCACCAGTTTCAGTCTGAACTTCTGTAATTTGGACTGTGTCGGGAGATTCTTCGATAAGGGTTGCTTGCTCCGGCGATACTTGTTTGTCTGTAAGTGGAAGTATTTCGTCAGTAACAGTTTCATCTGTTATGTCCTGTGGCGTTCGAATGTGTTTTGTCTTCTTCGTGCGTTTCTTGATAGTCAATTTACCCTCAGGTGTATCGATTTCTTCGACGGTTGTCTCGTCCGGGATTTCAACCACTTCTACCGACGTGTCGGGAAATTCAATAGTTTCTGTGAATTCGTGTATTTCTTCAACGGCGCCATCCTTACCCTTGACTCGGCGTTTCTTTGTTTTGACGGTTCGTGTTTCACCAGTTTCAGTCTGAACTTCTGTAATTTGGACTGTATCGGGAGATTCTTTGATAAGGGTTGCTTGCTCCGGTGATACTTGTTTGTCTGTTAGTGGAAGTGTTTCGTCAGTGACAGTTTCATATGTTACGTCCTGAGGCGTTCGAATGTGTTTTGTCTTCTTTGTGCGTTTTTTGGTAGTTTTGATTGTCAACTTACCCTCAGGTGTATCGATTTCTTCGAAGGTTGTCTCTTCCGGAACTTCAACCACTTCTACCGACGTGTCGGGCAACTCAGTTGTTTCTGTGATTTCGTGAATTTCTTCAACAGCGCCATCCTTTCCCTTGATTCGGCGTTTCTTTGTTTTGACGGTTCGCGTTTCACCAGTTTCAGTCTGAACTTCTGTAATTTGGACTGTGTCGGGAGATTCTTCGATAAGTGTTGCTTGCTCCGGCGATACTTGTTTGTCTGTAAGTGGAAGTATTTCGTCAGTAACAGTTTCATCTGTTAAGTCCTGTGGCGTTCGAATGTGTTTTGTCTTCTTCGTGCGTTTTTTGGTAGTTTTGATAGTCAACTTTCCCTCAGGTGTATCGATTTCTTCGACGGTTGTCTCTTCCGGAACTTCAACCACTTCCACCGACGTGTCGGGCAACTGAGTAGTTTCTGTGATTTCGTGTATTTCTTCAATAGCGCCATGCTGACCCTTGACTCTGCGTTTCTTGGTTTTTATGGTACGTGTTTCACCAGTTTCAGTCTGAACTTCTGTAATTTGGACTGTGTCGGGAGATTCTTCGATAAGGGTTGCTTGCTCCGGCGATACTTGTTTGTCTGTTAGTGGAAGTGTTTCGTCAGTGACAGTGTCATCTGTTACGTCCTGTGGCGTTCGAAGGTGTTTTGTCTTCTTTGTGCGTTTTTTGGTAGTTTTGATAGTCAACTTACCCTCAGGTGTATCGATTTCTTCGACGGTTTGCTCTTCCGGAACTTCAAACACTTCTACAGACGTTTTTAGTTTATTTTGTTTAAAAGTTGAATCAGACATTTTTTCTTCTACTTCTTCTATTAACACCTGTGTTGTCATTTTCGGTATCTCTAAATATTCATCTGGCATTTCAACTGTACTTTTACCAGTATCGACAACCATAGTTAAATCGTCACCGTCGTATTCTTCTATTAGTATATTATTTATTTTTCGTGGTCTCAGTTTTTCTACGTTTTCATCGTCCAATGTTTCCTCGATGACTATGTCACCTTTATCGTATTCGTCTCCAGATTTACGTTTTTTTCTCAACACTGTTCTCTTTGTTTTTATCTGTATTGGTTCTTCTTGGCCAGGTCCACGTATGAACTTTGAAACAATTTCTTCTGATTCTTCCATATCAGATGAATATTGTGATAGAGTTTGAGAAATATTTTCGTGGTCTGAAAAAGTGATGTAATGATTATGTTACTTTAACCCCCGTATCTTTTATCGGGAAAATAGTTTTTATAAGTAAAATTAAAAATATCATCACGTTATTACTTTTTCATTTTAATTTTAGAAATTTCTTGTAATAGGAACTGACAGCGGTTAGCATTTATGGCAAATTAATAATAATAACTTTACATTTAAAAAATTACAAGCAAATATCAAATTAAAATAATTATAAAGAAAAAGTCTGAAGAAATGTAATTATTTTGTAGTTATTTATTAGATAAAAAGGATAGCTTGTGCCTCGAGATGAATTTTTAATGACACATTCATTTCGTAGATCCCAAGATTTTCGTAATTGAAATTTTAACTTGCTAACCTTTATTTACTTTTTTATGTTGTTTTTTTTTTCAATTTTTAAACCTCTAAAAGTAAGCGTTTATTACATTTAGAAGTATGTTTTTATAGAAAATACTTAACAAGTATGGTATTTATTGAGAAATTATATAAAAACTTTTAGAATTATAGATACGGGGGTTTAACGTGCTATTTCAGTTATGTCTAGAAGTTTTGAATTTAATTTTAAGCAGTTGAGTGTCTCAGTTGAATGTGGAGCAAACCCCCCTTATTAAAAAAAAACATTATTCTAATTGCACTGTTTTGTATATGCAATATAAATTACTCATCTTTTCATAAAAGCGTAGACACAATTTGACAGAATTTACTACATATTATATACTTTAGTTCAAAGAGTGCAATTATTGGTTGATTTAGTTTTTATTAATAAAGAGGTAAGGAGTTATATTTTATTCTATGTCAGTAAAAACTTTATTTATACGTTGAAAAGGGATCTAGATACATAAGGTGAAGTAATCTTTACTTATACAAGAAGTTTAAGGGTAAAATTCAGAAATGAGTGTTAGCGCGACTGAATGCAAAGTACGTACGTCACGTACTTACGTCAAAAGTATGTATTGATTTTAGGTTATAGGAGTTATGGTTCGAACTAAGTCTCGTTTCTGAATTTTATCCTAAGGCCATTAATATATTCAAATAGACCAATGAGTAGCTACCGGAATCTAATTATAAATGCCGTCTCTACGTATACATTAGCTATATTAATTGAATAATACTATAATATTGATCAGTAACTACTGTTTTACGACATGTTGGCATGTGAATTGAAACGGTAGGGTAAATTTTGTTTGGGTATATGTTTAAATGGTAATAATCAGGCGTGAAAGATATGAAAATCAAGGTATTTATTTATATCACATAGAAATGAAGAACTTCACTCGGTAATGTGCTAGATATATGAATTTAGTAATCTATGGCGAGACAACAAATAGCGAATAACTGTTTATTCTGTAACCGATAATGTGAAATAAAACTGGAATACAAATCTGCAGGTTCAGTTTGTTTTTAATATGTAGGCAAATTAGGTTTATTTAACAGTTAATATTTTTTGGCAACAAATTAAAAACTTTATCTATGAAATTAATAGTTTTTAATATAATTTATCTTTTTAATTTTTTTTTTAGTTTTGAAATATGTTGTTTGAGTTAAATTATTTTACTTTATATTGTTACTCACTTATCAATAAACGTCAACATTTAAAAAGAATAAATTTTAAATTTACATTTACTCGGGCGGACGGGCGAGATATATTAATTATATTATAAAATAAAACTTACCTTCCGAGTAATGTATATCTGGTTGTGAAACGATAATTGTTTTTTCGTCAATTTTCGCTACATTAGATTTACAAAGAAGAGGTTTGTATGTATCATCAAAAGGCATTGTTTGTTCATTTATAAATTCATCGTTTACTTCTAGTACACTTAGCACAGTTACACCCGAAACAGCGTTATGTTTTTCTGGTAATGTTTGTAAGGGTAGTTTAGATTCATTTTGTAATGTAGTATAATCTGCTACGATTAAAGGCGATACGGATTGTGTTTTCACGGTTATTGTTTTTAATTGATCAATATCTTCATCAGTTATCAAATCTTCAACTTGACTATCCAAAATGTTTTCTGTGCACTTTATGTGTTTCATAGGAGTGATTGTTGGTTGTGCATTACCTTGTTGTTTTTTAGGTTTCGTAAAGGTTTGTGTAATGTTTTCATCACAAACTTCAGAAATACTTATACCTTCTGCTGACTTTATGAGTACAGAAGCTGTATCCATTCGAGGCAATTTCCCAAAGTCAGTATTTATTTCACTCTCGTGGATTATAACATCCATCTGCTGGATGGGTGATATCTCTAAAGGCTTGGCTTCCAAGATATTTCGTTGATAGGTATCTTCCGTTTGGATATCATGTGCATGTTCTTGACAAAAAGTTTCTATTTGCTCCAAAGGAGTAATTCCTAATAGTTGTTTTTTAGCTGTCGTTGAATATTTTTGATCAACTTCTAGTTTTATAGGAGCTTCCTGGCATGTGATTTCTTTTGTGACATAAGTTGTGTGAGCTTCCAAGTCAATAGAAGCATTTGTTGGAATATGTTGATTCGGTGTTAACAAAGAAGTTGTAGTTTCCAATAGTTGCGGCTTGAAAATTTCTACGTGTTTTTGATATTCATTACTCTGGTCTGCCTTTTGATCTATTTGCTCTTTTGTTTCATTGAAGTTAAGAGTCTTCTCAGATGCAATTACTTCGGTTTTTTGTACTGATTGCAACTCAACGTAATTCTTATCAGCTTTTGTTTCTTCATATTTCTGTGAAATTATTTCTTGCGGCATTTCATGAGAAGTTCGTTCTTCTGTCAGAATATTATTTAAAGGTTCTACTAGACACTGGGCTAAATTTTTCGAAGCCGATGCCATTTGACCTAAAATTTCGGTATTTTCCATCACTTGTGATAATATTGTTTCTGGTATATTTTTTTCAAAAACCTGAGTAGGTCTGGCGTTAACGCATGTTTGAGTATAATTTGGTAACTCTACAAAATCTTCTTGTGTGATAATGTCAGATTGCTGTATTGTATTTGAGCTCACAATCGTTTCTTTAACAACAATTTTCTCAGGTACTTCCGCCGTAACAATGTCTACAAGAGAATTAATTACATTGGGTTGCTCAGAGTGAATACTTTGAGAAAAGGAGTGCGTTAAATTAGCATGTTCAATATTATTAAAGTCCTTGGAAATAATTTTGGAAGAAACCTCTAGAGGAATATTTTGTGTGCTGGTAAGGTAAGAAGACGTAACAAAATCTACTGATTGATTTTCATTACTTGGCATCGTTTCAATTTTCAAAATTTGTTCCTTCTCCTTGGCACATACATCACTTACTATTACATGTTGTTGACAATCCAATATTAAATTAGGTTTAACCAAGTGTCTTATATTTGACGCATTCATACTTTGTTCTGATTGTTTAACTTCAACTTCTTGAACCTCAATTGGAGACGATGTTTCGTAAGTAGACGTCACCGTTTGCTGAGGTTGATGTATAATATTTAGATCATTATCTTCAGCTTCTATCGTCTTTGTTTCAGATACTATTACATGCTTTGACATTTCTATGTTTAAAGACAATTGATTGCCCCTTTCCAATATTTTTTCTCTGAGAAAAGATTCTTGCTCAGTAGGAACAATTTCAGTAACATTAAGGTGTTCATCAACATCTAATTTAATGTCAGCATTTTTTAACTTAGAAGAATCAGTAACTTTGAAATATTCATGTTGTTCTTGGGTGTCAATGTTAGAAACTGTTATTGGTTTAAAAGTTTCTATAATAACATCACTTTGAATTTCTTTAGCAGGCTCTATTTTAGGAATGTTTTTTTCTGACTCTGATATATCACATATGTCTATATTTAGATGTTTATGTGGTCTTACAGTAATAGTATTTACTATGGTTCCTGGCAATTGATTCAAACTTAGTGAATCTTCTTTTTCTGCTACAATTTGCTGATTTACTCTTAGGCTCTGATGTGGCTGAATATCAATACTAGCGACGTTTGTTTTTAAATTTTCATTAGTAAATAAAACCTCTTCCCGTTCATTATGCATTGTTTCATTGATTTTTAATTCGGTATTGACAACTAATTCATGCAGTTGGCAAGTTTCCTGCCGTGGCAATTCAATATTCTTGAGAATAGAACTTGACTCTGTCGAGATAGCTTCAGTTACGTTTAGTGACTTTTGCTCCTCAATTTCTGGCTTTGTTTTTTTAGCACTAGTTTCAACCGATTGGTATATATTTTCTGATTCTATGATAAAGGGTTCCAATTTTTCTACAGCTTGTTGCAAGTCTTGTGTAGACACAGCACATTCTTTTGTTTTTTCTGGAACACATAGGTCTTTACTGTTATCTTGGGTAATTACTTCTTCATTAATTAAAGATTGTTGGGGTTTCACAGATATAATTGCTTTCTTTTTGAATACGTCAGTGTTTTCGTTACTTGATATTATACTTTCTTTTTCATTTGTTTTTACCTCAGTAATTTCTTTTGCAGCAGACTCTACAAGACTTGTTTTAATATCTTGTGGAACAATATTTTTATTAAGTACAAGTTCTTCTTCTTTGAGGACTGGAAAAACTTCCAAACCTTGTAAATATTGACAATGTTCGTCTTGTTTTAGGGAAGCTATACTTGAAATTGGCAGTTTTTCGGTTAACTTGTCCATCATGTCTGAAGACACTACTTCAGTATTAACAGTTCCACATAAAGGAACAAAACCAACATTCGCTTCTTGACTAAGAAGTTCAGGTGGTTTACCTTCGAATTTAACTTCTTCTTCGATTATATTTGCAGAACTTGTTATCAAAGCTTCAATCTGAGTAATATGTGAGGTTGCAACACTTTCAACTAATTTTTCATTTGTAATAGATACCTCACTATCAGCCGCTATCGTTTGTGTGTTTTGTAAAGAATATGCAGACACAGAGGTTAAAGTAGGGCGTTGTAATACAAATTTACTTTTTGAGAACTCTTCAGGTGTTTGACTTATCATAATTTCTTCAGTTTTAGCTATCTTTCCATATATATCTACTTTCTCGACAGCTTTTGTTTTAGGAATATGAAAATCATCAGAATCTTTTAAATTGTCCGTTTGTGATAGTATTTCAGAAGTAACAACCTCATGATGCTGATTAATCAATACAGCTGCCTTATGTTCATCAGGGATATGTGGTTTCAAAAGTACATTTTCATTTTCTATAACTATATTTTGGTCATATGCTGGCACTTTAAAAGCATTAATACTTACAATAGGTTTCACCGTTTTACTAAGTTCGTTACAAAATGACCCTTCCAGTATATTTACTAAAATTTCTTGTTGTGTTAACGCCTCGTTTATTACAGAATCGGGATTTGCTTTGACAGTAAGTGTTTTCTGTATATTAAAAGATTCAGGTACAACTTCAGAATTACTTTCCTCGATAAGAATAGCTTCATTTTCTGGCAAATTTGGTATAGCTTTAGTTAAATTAAGCGTTTTACTAATAAGGTCACTTTCTTTTTCATTACAAACAGTGGCAGTAACAGATAATTCCGTCTGTAATATATTATAAAGTGAAGCGTTTCTATATGAAGGATGCGAAGTCTCTTCACTCGTGAAAGTTGCAGTAGAATCTGTTATTTCATGCTCTAAAGAAATTGCCACGGGATGACTAAGTATATCTGTCGAAGCCATGCAAGTTTTAGGGGAATCACCAATTTTATATTCGTCTTCTTTCTCACCTCCTATAGTTTCAACTACTTGAATAGTATCATTTATTAAAATTACGTCCGCTATAATAGACTTTTGATCTGGTTTTAAATATTCCTCTAAAATGCCTTGACTATCTAAAGGTGCATTTTCAGATATCGTTAGGGATTTTAAGTTATTAGATTTTATATTTACATCTTCTGTTTGTGGTTTTATTATAGTCAAGGTATCTAAAATATCTCGCGCACTTACTTCAGAAGTAATTGGCACTTTTTGATTGACATCTAGTGTTACAACTGCATTTTTATTTGAAACTGTATCAACTTTAAAGGGTTCGAATTCCGAATTTGCTACTGTTTCACTTATTAATATCCCTTCGTTTTCAGTTAAACTACTTTTAGCTTCAGTGTTAGGAATTTTAATAGCATCAAAGTCTTGTGTTTGCTCTTCTACTACAGCCTGTGAAATATGTAGCTCATTGTATACATCTCTACTTTTTTCTGCAGTATCTTGCTTTTCTTGTAAATAATCAAGGCTTTTAACTTGATTGACTGTAGTGACTATCTCAGATACTGGCGATTTCAAATTATGAGTCAGTGTTGGATTTGCATGTAAAAAATCGGGGCTTCTTTTAATGTGCAATTTTCCAGCTGAATCAGCAATTTCCGTTTCACTTATGGATAAAGAAGTATTGGGAGACAAGGATACACCCGCATTTTCAGGTTTTGTATAAGCATACATCTCTTCAACTCCTTGGTCATGAATGAAAGTAGAAGAAATTGTTTTTTCTTTTTGCGTTATCAACGTTTCAATTGCACTTTCATTAATTTTATTTTCTGAAGGAACAAGATCTTTCATTGAGGTTATTTCAATTGTTTCAGACATAATAATTGGTTCAGCTAAATTCATATCAATATTTGCTGTAACCGATGTTTTTTCATCCCTTAAATGTAGTTTGTTTTCTCGTTCATGAATTTGAATTTCTTCAGTTAGATTTTTATCTAATGTGCCTACCTGAATATGCGCATACTCCTTATCAACAGCACTGTCTTGTTTTAAATTATGTTCCGTTTCATGTATTTGTGCCTCAAAGTTAAATGTATGCTGATGTTCATTAAAACTTATATTTGCTTTCTTTTTCGTACATTCGTCTTGACTAAGTACAGCTTCTTTGATGTGAGTTTCCGGCATAAAGTTACATAGACTTTGATGGGTCTGGAAATCTCTATCTACCTGAGCTTTTGAATGCCATTCATTCTTTGGAACTATCCCTTCTTTTTCATGTAATATATTTGCCGCAACTTCTATGCTATCTTTATATACCATATTAATTCTAGCTTCTTGGGTACCTGGAACTTTGGGAGAATCGAATAAACCTTCTTTTTCCTGAAGATTCAGTATTATTGTAGAGATTTCATTAGAAACAATAACATCTTCGTTAGCCATTTCGGTAGGTACAATCAGTTCAGGATAGTACTTTCCAGATTTATCTTCTACAAATACTTCACCTACTTCAATAGATTTCAACAATTTAAAATTAGGTGTAGGAGTTATTTCCTTATCAGAAACTTTAGAAATAAAATCATGTTCTTTATATTCCGACATGGTTTCTTCTATATTTATTCCTGTCAATGGTGAAACGGTAACCGCCGCAACTGTATGTTTTATTTGAGGTTCGTCTAACACGTCTTCTTTTACAGGAACGTATTGCTCGGAAACCTTTATAGCATCTTTTAAAATAAGAGAAGTTTTGGCTTTCTCTTCATTTTGTTTATGTTTGTCAATTTCACCAAGTGATATATTTGGAATAACTTCTGCCATTTCTAAACTTTCTGATTGTACTATTATAGTATTTTTAATACTTTCTTTATTATCACTATTAGTGATACATACCCCAACTGCGTCTTGCATATTGGTTTCACTGATTTGTAATGGTTCAGCTTCAATAACAGATGATTTAATATAAATTTCTAATTTTTCAACAATTTGCAATGGTCCTTCACGTTCTTGTGAATGTTGCATACCACTTATAAGCGATTGGTTTGTATCAAACTTAATAGTAGCTTTTTGTATCTGTTTTGTTTGTTCTGGGACTATGTTCAATGCTTGGCTGGATGAAACTACTTCAATTCTACTATCAGATAAATCAATGGGTACAGTTTTAATGGACTTAAAAAGTTCAGTATCCATACTGTGTACTGTTTCTTCTTCTAAGTCACCGGTGTCTTCTCGGGAAAACTTTTTACTCATTGATTTTTTTGTTTTTCCAGTAGACTCTTCAACAGATATTTCAGTCTGTCTAGTATGTTTTTTGCGTTTTACTTGTTTGATTTCATCTGTGAAATATAGTATGAGTATAAGTTGATATTTTTTATTAAAAAAAAACACCATATTGTATTGTTGTGTTAATGTAAGCTGTCTACAGTATAGCGTTATCGTTATTAATAAAAGGAGATTTTGTACTTACTTTAAACGATAAGCGTAACTACACAATCATATTTCCAAGAAAGCACAGCACAGACACGAAGCTCAATTGCTGACACAAAAGCCAAATCTACATAATATATTTAAATAACAGCAGATTAGTAACTGTAGAAGCTGCTGCAATCTCGACAAAAATTAAGATTTAAATTTGTATGCATTAATATGATTTTTATGAAAGTGGTGGTTTTGTCAATAAACGTTGTATTTATTAAGGTTATTTCAATATTATTTTAAGGCTATGGTTGCAAAGCCACGTTCTAGTTTAGTTATTGCCTAAAACTAATTTATTATAATATATTTCCTGCGATAAGCATAATACAACATAGGTTAACTTTAATAAAAATATAACGCACCTTTCTTATTTTGCTCTAAAGTTGTTGTCTTATCTAAAATAATAATAAATAATGTTTCAAATTAATTATTGTTGTAAGTAAGTAATAAAAAATGTGCCAAGAAATATCAGCAATGTAATTTACCTTTGTGTATTGTAGTTGAATGTACTTGGGCTACGTCCTTAGGTGTAGACTCAACAACGATCTGAAATGTATTGTTATATTATTTTTAGTCCGTTACCAAAACATTTAAAAACTGCATTTAAAAAACATACCTCGCGCGCTCCTTTTTCTTCCCAGGCACGAGGAGTAAAATCTTCGGGGTAAAGGTGTGCTATTACCTCTTCAACTGATGTATGTTTCATTTCCACCAATTTCATAAAAGCTTTAAAGCCAACCTTCGCTCCAATAATATCTTCCGTTTGAGCAGTTTCTTCAGTTAATACTTCTGTTATAAGGGCACCATGGCCTTGCCTCTCTACCAACTGTACTAGCGCAGATTGTGACTGCGGAATCCGCAAAGACGGAAAGTGTTCAGAATCATACAGATTTTCTATTTCTTCCACGGTGACACCATTTCTAAGAAGGTACCCAATTGTCGCTAATTCTCGTAAAGGAGATTCCCCTGGACCAAATTCTTTAGCATTTATTACTTCTAATAATTCATTTACCTCCGCAACCATCCGTGAATCGGAATCCCTTCTAGCAATACCTTTTTGTAATTCATGTGTTATTTTTTCAAAAGTTTGAACCATTTCATTGGTTTCTTGCTGCGAAGAGACCAAATACTGGTTGGGTGTGATAAACGGTTCAATATTCTCCAACTCTGCGGTTGACATTGTATATTTTTTATCAGTTTTCTTAAAAGAAGCCATGGCTACGGTTTCTACAGAGGTCATTTCATTAACCAAAACGTTCGGTTTTCGTTTTTCGGAAGCTTTTATGAGAGGTTGCGCTGTTCCTAATACGTCTAACGTAGTTTCTACTATCTCTATTGAAGCATCTTCTGAAGACGTTAAAGCAGTTTTTTCGTCAACAACGTCTTGTTTCAAAGATTTCACTCTTTTCTTTTCAACCTTCTCGAACGTTTCTTCTGCTTCAAATATTTGTAATTCAGCTTTTGTTATTGCCATCCCAATATCACTGATAGCTTTACACTCATAGCAGCCTTGTAACTTCTTGGATGCTTTTTTAATTTTACAAACAGTTATATTATCCTTAGTTTCAATTTGGAAATAGTTGTTACTTTTAATGACTTTGTTGTCTTTGTACCAAATGATTTCTGGAATTAGACAATAAAAAACGAAATAAATATATATATGATAAATTTTATGGAATTATTACTTATTTATCTATGACTTCAAATGAGTAAAACAAGTTAAGCTCATCATAAGATTTATTATGTGGAATTACAGGACTTAAAAAAAATATTCTATGCAAATATCAATTTCATTAGGTTTTGACGCAAATGATAGATTTATATTAACATAACTAAATATATTAACAAGTTATAAGTAATAGTTAAACAACAAATTCATCAGAAGTTTTATATTTGCTAATAAGGAACTTACCGGGTTTTGGGTTTCCACTGTAAACGGCCTCAAAAGTTACCGTTTCTCCATCTAGAACCCTTTCTGATATTAAGTTTCGCACGAAATACGGGACCGCCTGTGTTGCTACAAACAATTAAATTATTGATATTTAAACATTCAAAAGATATACTCGCGAAGATGTATGTATGTAACATCTGTGGTATGTTCATATTACAATAAGAAAACCTACCTTTTAAAGCCTCTTGTAATTCTTCCATATGAGAAACCCATTCAGGCTTTCTATATGCTTTAGTTCCAACAAGACCTAAAAATATATAGATGTGAACTGTCATTATTAGTATTATTTTTTATTTTAAAGTTAATTTTTTAGTGTCATATAGGGAAAATACGATCAATTTTCAATTAAATTTCTACTGCATTAGTCCCATTTTGTGCATATATGTTGTTGGGTGGATAAACTTCAATAAAAAATCAATTGAAAAACAGACATGAGATGTTTGACAATTTGGTTTCAACAATTAAATCTAAGTTGGCACCTGGCAGATAGTACCGGTGACCCCAGAGCTGGTGCTTTCCTCGCTCAACGAATAAGTATCGCAATATAGCGAGGAAATGCTGCCAGCGTTAAACAGCCACAGGGACCAAACTTTTTAAATGTCTTTTTATTAATTTTTAATTATTTTATTGTTACTATTTAGGTAAAGAAAAATGTAAAGACTATATATTTCATTGTTATGTTTAAGTTTTAATAAACGATTTACAAATTATCACTTATGAAGATCGTAAATCTACGTTTAATTGATTTATAAAAACTGTGTTGTACATAATAATGAGTCAGGTACAGTTCTATGCATCAGAAGTTGAATAACATAATTTCAGCTAATAATTTATATTTTAGTGTGGGCAAGTGGTCACTTGTAGAAGTTTTATAAAAATGGGAAAGGAATGGAAATCGGATTTTGACGACAAGTGCTGAAAAGTAATAAGATAAATTAGTACAATGAAATATAATAATGAAAAACTTATTTAAACGGAATATTTAGGGCAACAACAAAAAATATATTTCTTCTCATCATTTGATTTCAATGAATACTAAATGGACTATCATAGTTTCCAATAACTTAACAAACAAATAATCAAGGTTTAGTCCAAGCGTGCAGTTTTGTGTACGCGTCTGAAAAAAACGCAGGCAGAATTTATGTGCACACAAAGAGTTTGCACACCCACTTAAATAATAAATATTTCAACACTCAACTCTTCGAATTTTTGGCGACCTTGAGACCGGTGGTCGGACTACCAAAGGGCAGGCAGAGCATTAATGCTGTCCCTGCATACGTATAATTAAATGTATATAAGTACAAAACTCACTTTCAACAGATAACGCAGCTACTGTCGAAGATACACCAAGTGGATTGTATGCCTCAAATGTGATTTCGCCCATATCGTCTGGATAAACTTCCGGTATTATAAGAATAGAAGTGCCATCGTCCATTTCTTCGATTTGATATTCTTGTGATTCTTTTATTTCTACACCTTGCTTTAACCACCTTATTTGAGGCTTTGGTATTCCAATAGCCTTAGCTTCAAGCCTAAAATGATCACGAGTTTTAGTATCTTAAAATTAATTTTAATTGTAAAAACGTAGTAATTAATGAAATATACCTAGTTAATTCTCCTTCATTGGTTTTGACGACCGCGGGAAGTGCTTTCACAATTTTAGGAGCAAATTCTTCAAGGTCGCTGGTTTTCTAGAAAGAAAGTATAAAAATATTTGGAGAAAAATGAATTAGATTTAAGCGAATTACATTTTTTAATTTATGATTATTTATTCAATTTTCGCGTGTTTTGTAATTATTCTTGTTGTGATACGATGTTGTAATATCTAGACGGGTGATGAAATAAAATCGATAATTTCAATAGTGTAGTCTTCCAAGAAAGCTTGAACGACTTTTTCATACAATATATGATAAAGATGGCTTACCTCATCACTTAATATATCTTCTTCAGATGCACTTGGTACATATTCATATGCTGAAATTATATAAAATAACTTTAAACCAAAAATTGAAACCTGGATTATTTTATTGAAATTTTACATGTGCGATTCATAACATTTTAAAAGCTGTTGTTGACAGCAAAGTTTTATTAAAGCTATTTTAAGAAAAGCTTCATTGAAGTGTTACGTGTGGTTTTGTGTAAACTGCAAACAGGTGCTCAACAACCAATTTAACTAGGTTTTTACTACGCGTGTGATTAATAATCGACTTAATCGAAATCAGATAAATTGAAAAAAGTTATACTAATGTTACGATACACTACGAATTGCCTGTTGTTCCTGGCATATACATGCAATTATATCTTATTAATATAGATGCATTTAACATGCGTATTTCATAAATGGGCTTAAATCTACCTTCTACATTCACTATACAGTTACTAATACACTGTCCAAATTTATTGGTTGCTACACATTCATAATTTCCGGTCATTTCTGGAAATGCTTCCTTAATAAATAATTGGCATAACCCTGATTCTTGTCTACCAATAGTGACGTCTCTCGCAACTTCAAGAAGCTTCCCGTTGTGATACCAGTCAATTTTGGGCCAGGGTTGTCCAATTACTAAACATTTTAATAAAATTGGTTCACCGTCCATCACTGTTGTTGGGCTCAAATTTGTTAAAAATTTAGGTCCGACTCCAGAAGCATTAACATTTTCATCCACAACGTTTACTTGTGCTGAACAAGAAACAGATCCAGCAAAATTTTCAGCTCTACATGTAATAATATCAGGTACATCTCTTGTAGAATCTTCAATGCAAAGACAAGAGATATTGTCATTGCTAGTAATATACATGTTTTTAATTTTACTTTCTTTAACGTAACTAATGACTTCTTTATTCCCCAAAAACCATTGAAAAGATGCGCAAGGATTTGAAATTACTTCAGTTTCTAAGAGAATTATTTCACCCAATGCAACATGTTTGGGTTGTAGAGGTCTTGTAAATACAGGTGGTGTAATATTTTCAGTATCGGAAATTTTCTTCAACTTAAGAGTAGACGCACTTTTAACCACCATATCCTTATTTTCTATAAGGACTTCGTATTTACCAATCTTCGTTTTGTTTGCAGTTTGCACAATCAAAATTGATTTTCCAGGTTCAGTTAAAATTTTAAATTCCTCATCATTTTTGATTGTCTTATTATTAAATGACCATGAGATTTTATTAACGATATTCGGTTTAAACATGACGATGAACTCAAAAGTATCATTTTCTTTGACAATAGCAGCTTTAATAGGTTGAATTATTATGGGCCCAGTTTCTGTAAAAAGGATCGTGATAACTCCTCAATTCGCAGTCAAAAACATTAATTTTGCTGATTCTAATTTATTATTTAACTAGAAAATTGCTTATTGGCACCGTATATTACCTATGGCGATAACAGTTTCGGTTATAAAAGTTATATATAGAGACAGGAGAAATATGTGTTGTGTGTTAAAATAATACTACAAGATATTAAAATAAAATAGTTACTACCCGGGACGTTGTTTGCGTAAAAAATATCCACAAAATATATATATATATATATAACAAACACCAACTCTTCATCCAGTTGTTATATTTATATATTTTGTAATTATATCTGTCTTTATTAAGGAATTATATAATGCGATAGTTGATAAAATAAACTGTTATGTAACTTTTAAGACAGACTTTTTTGTGAAAGTTTTAGTTTTCATCAGTAACTGAATGTTAAAGTTATCGTTCCTTATTCTCATTATATATAATTTTGAATGAAAATGAGTACTATCCTACCTTCAAGAATATCTTCTTTGGAAATTGTTTTAAGGGCCATGGTTTCGACAGATTTTTCTTTTTTTATCACTTTCTTTAGCGTCACTTCTTCAGTCTTTTCTTTTTTAACTGGTTTTTGGTCTGATTTCTCAGGTTTATCTTCTTCATCGATAGGCTTTTCTTTCTTCAATGGTTTCAGGTGTTCTTCTTCAGGTTTATCTTCGTCAGGCTGTTTTTGTCTTGGAATTGGTTTAAGGACCACTTCTTCCACTGGTTGTTCTTCCTTTGGTTTCCTTTTACCTGTCCTCCATGACACCTCTTCCGGTTTGTCTTCCTCAATAGGCTTTTCTTTCTTTACTGGTTTTAGCTGTACCTCCTCAGGTTTTACTTCTTTTTCAGTAGGCTTTTGTTTTGAAACTGGTTTAAGGACCACTTCTTCCACTGGTTGTTCTTCCTTTGGTTTCCTTTTACCTGTCCTGCATGACACCTTTTCTGGTTTGTCTTCCTCAATAGGCTTTTCTTTCTTTACTGGTTGTAGCTGTATCTCCTCAGGGTTTTCGTCCTTCTCAGTAGGCTTTTGTTTTGGAACCGGTTTAAGGACCACCTCTTCCAGTGGTTGTTCTTCTTTCGGTTTTCTTTTTCCTGTTTTCAGCGAAACCTCCTCCGGTTTGTCTTCCTCGATAGGCTTTTCTTTCTTCGTTGGTTTCAGCTGTACTTCTTCAGGTTTATCTTCGTCAGGATGTTTTTGTCTTGGAACTGGTTTAAGGACCACTTCTTCCACTGGTTGTTCTTCCTTTGATTTCCTTTTACCTGTCCTCCATGACACCTCTTCCAGTTTGTCTTCCTCAATAGGCTTTTCTTTCTTTACTGGTTTTAGCTGTACCTCCTCAGGTTTTTCTTCTTTCTCAGTAGGCTTTTGTTTTGGAACCGGTTTAAGGACCACCTCTTCCAGTGGTTGTTCTTCTTTCGGTTTTCTTTTTTCTGTTTTCAGGGACACCTCCTCTGGTTTGTCTTCCTCAATAGGCTTTTCTTTCTTTACTGGTTTTAGCTGTACCTCCTCAGGTTTTTCTTCCTTCTCAGTAGGCTTTTGTTTTGGAACCGGTTTAAGGACCACTTCTTCCACTGGTTGTTCTTCCTTTGGTTTCCTTTTACCTGTCCTCCATGACACCTCTTCCGGTTTGTCATCCTCAATAGGCTTTTCTTTCTTTACTGGTTTTAGCTGTACCTCCTCAGGTTTTTCTTCCTTCTCAGAAGGCTTTTGTTTTGGAACCGGTTTAAGGACGACCTCTTCCACTGGTTGTTCTTCTTTCGGTTTTCTTTTTCCTGTTTTCAGCGAAATCTCCTCCGGTTTGTCTTCCTTGATAGGCTTTTCTTTCTTCACTGGTTTCAGCTGTACTTCTTCAGGTTTATCTTCGTCAGGGTGTTTTTGTCTTGGAACTGGTTTAAGAACCACTTCTTCCACTGGTTGTTCTTCCTTTGGTTTCCTTTTACCTGTCCTCCATGACACCTCTTCTGGTTTGTCTTCCTCAATAGGCTTTTCTTTCTTTACTGGTTTTAGCTGTACCTCCTCAGGTTTTTCTTCCTTCTCAGTAGGCTTTTGTTTTGGAACCGGTTTAAGGACCACCTCTTCCACTGGTTGTTCTTCTTTCGGTTTTCTTTTTCCTGTTTTCAGGGACACCTCCTCTGGTTTGTCTTCCTCGATTTGCTTTTCTTTCTTCACTGGTTTCAGCTGTACTTCTTCAGGTTTATCTTCGTCAGGATGTTTTTGTCTTGGAACTGGTTTAAGAACCACTTCTTCCACTGGTTGTTCTTCCTTTGGTTTCCTTTTACCTGTCCTCCATGACACCTCTTCCGGTTTGTCTTCCTCAATAGGCTTTTCTTTCTTTACTGGTTTTAGCTGTACCTCCTCAGGTTTTTCTTCCTTCTCAGTAGGCTTTTGTTTTGGAACCGGTTTAAGGACCACTTCTTCCACTGGTTGTTCTTCCTTTGGTTTCCTTTTACCTGTCCTCCATGACACCTCTTCCGGTTTGTCATCCTCAATAGGCTTTTCTTTCTTTACTGATTTTAACTGTACCTCCTCAGGTTTTTCTTCCTTCTCAGTAGGCTTTTGTTTTGGAACCGGTTTAAGGATCACCTCTTCCACTAGTTGTTCTTCTATCGGTTTTCTTTTTCCTGTTTTCAGCGAAACCTCCTCCGGTTTGTCTTCCTTGATAGGCTTTTCTTTCTTCACTGGTTTCAGCTGTACTTCTTCAGGTTTATCTTCGTCAGGCTGTTTTTGTCTTGGAACAGGTTTAAGGACCACTTCTTCCACTGGTTGTTCTTCCTTTGGTTTCCTTTTACCTGTCCTCCATGACACCTCTTCCGGTTTGTCTTCCTCAATAGGCTTTTCTTTCTTTACTGGTTTTAGCTGTACCTCCTCAGGTTTTTCTTCCTTCTCAGTAGGCTTTTGTTTTGGAACCGGTTTAAGGACCACCTCTTCCACTGGTTGTTCTTCCTTTGGTTTCCTTTTACCTGTCCTCCATGACACCTCCTCTGGTTTGTCTTCATAAATAGGCTTTTCTTTCAATACTGGTTCTAGCTGTACCTCCCCAGGTATTTCTTCCTTCTCAGTAGGCTTTTGTTTTGTAACCGGTTTAAGGACCACCTCTTCCACTGGTTGTTCCTCTTTCGGTTTTCTTTTACCTGTCCTCCATGACACCTCTTCCGGTTTGTCTTCCTCAATAGGCTTTTCTTTCTTCACTGGTTTCAGTTGTACTTCTTCAGGTTTATCTTCGTCAGGCTGTTTTTGTCTTGGAACAGGTTTAAGGACCACTTCTTCCACTGGTTGGTCTTCCTTTGGTTTCCTTTTACCTGTCCTCCATGAGACCTCTTTTGGTTTGTCTTCCTCAATAGGCTTTATTTTCTTTACTGGTTTCAGCTGTACTTCTTCAGTTTTATCTTCGTCAGGCTGTTTTTGTCTTGGAACTGGTTTAAGAACCACTTCTTCCACTGGTTGTTCTTCCTTTGGTTTCCTTTTACCTGTACTCCATGACACCTCTTCCGGTTTGTCTTCGTCAATAGGCTTTTCCTTCTTGAATGGTTTTAGCTGTACTTCCACCGGTTTTTCTTCTTTCTCAGTAGGCTTTGGTTTTGGAACCGGTTTAAGGACTACCTCTTCTACTGGTTGTTCTTCTTTCGGTTTCCGTTTTCCTGTCCTCCATGATACCTTTTGCGGCTTTTCTTCCTCCTTATCTGTTTTTAATACTTTTTGTATCGAACCTGGTTTTAAATCTTCTATTTGTAGATCTTGTTCGTCCTTCTGCCTATCAGTAATTGATATTTCATTTGCTATTTTTAAAACTACTGTTTCTTCTTCAGACGTCATACTTTCATCAATTAACAATGTTTCTACTTGGTTAAATGTTTTATTCAACGGTTTTAAAGTTACTTCCTCCAATTTTTCTTTACGATTTGGGATCTTTTCAACCTTTGTAGGTTTTAATTGTATTGCTTCTTTTATCCAAGGTATGGGTTCTTCTTTAGAGTCTTTTTCATGTTTCCTTTCAATTCTTTGTTTATGCAAATTTTTACTTTCAGAGGTAGAGACATCGCGATCAAGATGAATAATATTTGAATCCTCCAGTGAAGTTGTACTCTTTGTAGCCCTTTCTTCTGGTCTTAATTTTCTCCAGTGTTTTACATCTAAACTATTTTCTTTTGTGCGCCATGGTACACTTGCTCTTTTTGTTGAATGAATGTCTTGAACATTTGTCATTTTCAAAATATTAGTATCTTCAGAGGTAAAGTGCAACACACGATTTAATGATGTTTCTGTATCTTGTATAGTTTCTTTCTGGGCTTCGACGCCATTTTGGTATGCGGTCGTTGTATTAGACTTGCTCGATTCTGTAAAGTAATTTTAAATATTATAATAGTATATTATATGCATATTAAAGTAACAAATAACCACCCAGCTTAATTATTTGAGATGTAGTATGGTAAGTAATAAAACATATCAGGTACATAAGTAAACTTGAGGCAATACATGATTTTGTAGTTTTTTAAATATAATAACATGTCTAAATTTAGTGTAGAAAGTATCCCTATGACTATATAGCGTACAGGGTTGAAATTTTGAAAAGCTCTCGTCAGACCTTGGTGTCGGTCATTATGCAAGGTGGTGTGTTTCACCTATAACCAAGTCATATCTATGATAACCCTATTATATTTTTTGACAAAGTTATTTGTGTTTTACCTAGTGGACTTCGTTTCATTCACCGTAATGACGTATTAACCAAATGCTTACTTAAACTCGTTATGTTATATCAATCGATATGTAGTATGCCTTGCAATTTTTCAATATTTTTTTTTACAATTCACACCAATTGACTTAGTCCCGTAGTCACTAGCCGTCGAGCACCACTGAGCCGTCTAATACTAATGATATTCTTTTCTTTTAATCTAAATTGTATAAGATTACATTTATAAGTTTTTTATCGCGCAGCCCAGACATACAACGGGCACTATTTAAGAATTTACTTACCTATCGCGGAACCTACTTAAATAGAGTATTAAGAATATCCATAGCGTTAAATAACCTGCATCATGAGCACACCCACGTACATACCACCACTTGCACACGATCACACAATACAGCCGGATTAGGTATTACTACTAAGTAATGTAATGTATTTATCTTTATAGATATTGTCGTTTCGTAAATGTTTGAACCTTTTTCTATATCTGTATCTTTTTGTTACGTCAGCTGTAGGAATAATAAATAAATAAATTCAATAGGCTAACTATATGTTTGTACAATTCCATGTTAAACTTATTATAAATATAATAGTAACAATATTAAGTTCTGTTTACGAAGTTATGTATTTTTTTTATTTGTTATATATGTCACTAACCTGTGCAAAGTTAGTATTCTATCAATATTTAACCATTTATCGATATTATATTCTTAACATTTCATCGATAAGTTAACTACGCAATATACCACTGTCTTTGGTGAAATATTCTAAATAATTTATATTTTTCTTTATTAGCATTCACCATATACCATTCACCATAATAGAAGCCACCGGTTCTATGGCGGCTTAAACTCAATATGGAAACTAAGGTTTACAATTCGACGTGTATGTTTTATTTATTTTGTGGGTAACTCACAACTTTTGTTGGTGAACCGATCCCGACTTCAGTACAGAAATAGCCCTATATAAAGTGTTTAGTAATTCGCAGAATGTTTTTCAGGATAACCGTTGAAATAATTCAAGAATATAATACGCGCCACTGAGTCACAGTTATTTGCGTAGGAATCTCTAATTTCTGGACCTAATATCCATTAATGAGAAGTTATTATATTTTTGTGAACGTAGGCACAGAATTACGGTTCAAGGAATACATATTTATGTACTGAGGACGATTTTTAAGAAAATTTTGAAGTCACTTATTTTTATAGGGATACATTTAATGCGTTTATTATAATTTTACATATGAATAATTGTAACCCCTTGACAAATAAACATATAGTATTTGTTTTCACAATTTTTGATTCTGTTGACATTATACATAAACCCGCTCAATAATTTGTGATGGGCTCTCAGAGATGACCGACTTCTACTTGTCGCTCAACTACGATCTTTGGTATCCTACTGGTGATTTCGACGTACTTGTTACATAACATACCCGAGGACGAGAATTATGTTAAAAAATTACTTTATATTTTACACTAGCTGATAATAAATCGTCGTTAATAGTGTCGTGGTCGCTTTACCTTATAGTAATATATAGCACATATAGTATATACGCAATATAAATAGCACGTAACTTTACTGTGTACTGTTAATTCAGTTCAATAACTGTAAATTAATAAATATCCCTCCTCCGTTGAAAAATCTTCAACTAAAATCAAATTTTCTTCGCAGTTATAAAGAACATCTAACTCAACAAAAATCACGCGTATCACCACGTAATCTACTTACACTGCTAACTTTTATGAATATCATAATTTTCTACTAAGTATTTTTACATTACATTATTATTTTTCATTTTTTGCGACTACGGCGCTTTGGCGACTTTGGCGCAAACTAGCTGCTGTGGTCTCTGGCAGAATGACCTGCGCTGTGGAACAGTCTGCTCCTCAGCATAATACTGAGCCAAGGCCAATTTCAAACACAGCACACACGCATTACACAATTAAACGTACCTTGTTCTTTCATTCTTTTTATATTTTTTTATTATTGTTATTTTGAGTGTTTCTGTGTTTGTGTGGTTTGTTAGTAATAAATGTTATGTCTATGGCTAAATATTTTCGTGTATGTTCTGCTCTATGTGTATAGGTGTTAATGTAATTTTATTGTAAATTTTAATTTTAAAAATAATCGGAAATGGTATGTAATTATTATATGGATAAAATTATTACGGAATAAATATATTATATTATTTTCTCCTCTATTTAAAAAATATTTTTAACGATGGCTACAATTAATGCAGTGACTTGATACTGTGGATCGCTCTAACATGTTTCCACTAAGTATATATACAATTGTTTCCAATATACAATTAACATTTATTATATTTATATTTTATTCATATTACTCGTTATCTCTACTTCCTTCAGTACCATTGATCGGAACCCGAATAATTCAATTCATAACGCTGAAATTGATGGTGGTATTGGATCGCAGAGGGGGGAGTCGTAAAGTCCCCCAAATATATATTTTTTCAAACTCCTCATCAATTTTCAAACAGTTAGTGGCTCAACTGATTAGTAATTAGGATTTTATCAGGGATATTCAATTAATTTTGTAATGTTTTTATTTTTATTTTTTTATTTTTTTATCTTAATTTAATTATTTTTTAGTGTAGTTAATGAAATTCTGTGTATGCGACGCAACGTACTCACACGTTAGTAATTAAATATGTAGAAATCGAGCTAAGTTCCTTTTTATATATAACAGAGGGCTGGAGGCTCACCTTATGTAACCTGATACCCCCATGTCCGAATAAGGACACTCTCAATGCCAAAGGGCTCGCGATTGCATGACCGGCCTCTTGGTACGCTCTGTTCTTGACCCTAAGGCGAATTGGTTCTGAAATACTTTAGCGGGCAGCTGGTTGTACATAGTGGTGGTGCGCGGCAAAAAACGCTCAGTTGTGGAATGATGAACGTCGAGGTGAAACGCTCATAACTAACAGGAACTTAAAATATGATTTTCTGTCAAAAATCAAACAAATTGTTAATTACAAATCTTGGGGTAAGATTTTACCTCGAGACTTAGTAATTACGTCAAAAACGTCTTGGATTTCACATACGGTAGTTTATAGTGTTAAGTTTCTTAAACTGTTTTATTATATAGGTATATATTTTATGAACTGTTTTTATTTGTAGAATAGTCTAACGTGAATGGTGTGCTACCAAGGCAGAATACGTCACATTTAGCAATTGAAGACTGGGAAGCAGCGGAAGCTCTCAAAACTTCAAGCAAGTACTCGTATGTTTATATTAAAAGAATTTGGATCAAATTATAAATACGAACTATCGAAAAGCATGTATAATCGGTGGGCTGAAAAGTTCGTAGGCTCACACATAGATGGCGCTAATAGTATTAAATAATTATTAAGTTAGCCCTAACCTTCAAAAGACACGTGTATAAATTTTTCAACTATCGTACTATTAGTTTGTTAGATATAGTATTTTGAGTGAAGGAACTTTTTTTTGTTTAAAAAAATGGATAAAAAGGAATTTCGTGTGTAAAGCAATGTAGCAATGCATTGCGTTTTGGCGGAAAAAGAAACGGTTGAAGCTAAGCCTTGGCTCGATAAACTTTATTCAGGAAAATCAACCGTTGAGAAGTGGTTTGCTATGAGCGGCGAGGACATATTGGACGCATTGGACGCCCCAAAGACGCTGTTACCGACGAAAACATCAAAAAAGTCCACAAAATAATTTTGGATATCCGAAAAGCGAAGTTGATTGGTTTAGCTGAGACCCTAATGATATCAAATGAACGTGTTGGACATATCCTAGATGGATATTTAGATATGCGAAAGCTCTGTTCAAAGTGGGAGCCGTGCGAGCTTACAATCGATCACGAATTGACGATTCTGAGCAGAGTTTGAAGCTATTAAATCATAATAATTTAAAAAAAAAATTATAATAATAGGAAGAAACATTTGGTCCCTAGCTACTTGATGCACTAATGATCGCTTGACAGAAATTTTGCGCTAAAAAGTTGTAATCGCCGAAACTGAAAGATATTTTAAGGCTAAAGACTAATCGTATCGCTCTCGAAGATATAGTACCTGTTAAGTGAATAATCAAATCGATGAATAATAAAAATTCCAGTCAGTGTCTGTTTCACCAATCCTTTTTTATTTATAGAAAATAATCAGATTTATTATTATACAGGGTCCTGACGAGTTTTTCATCAATTCTTCTTAATCATAAGTGGTCATAGTGGGTTTCTAATTCACCTAGTTGTGAACCGCTGCTAGCATTACTATAGACCTCCACTTTTGTCTAAGCTTCGCATCTCGACAGTGTTGCAGAGTGGATCCAGTAGTTACACTAATTAAATGGGCCCAACGCGTTAGAGATCGGCCACGCACGTTTCCCCTACATATGAAATATTATATAACATATATTATATGTTATATATTATATGATACGGTGGTGGAAATGGTCGTAGCCGAGGATTGGCGACGACCTTGGACTTGAGAATCGCTACACACACTTGAGAACACACTCTCTCTACAGGTAACGATTATTATGGTGTGCGTTCTCGTAAAACCTTAACGCCCAAAGGACTTTGCGAGACATTAATTTTTCCAGCTAAAAAATGTTTTCCTATTCGTCGGCTATTGAATGTTCGGTTTTGCGATAAAAGTGCGTTATAGATACAAAATCTTTACTTCACTGTTTATTACTATTACAATAGACAAGTGTTAACGTTATCTTCTTCGTCATCCAATGAGGCTACTATATACCTTCATGGACATTGTCCTCCTTTTGATAGAAAATTACTACAAGACTTATAATGTACTCATATCAATCAGTACGGCGATGGTATCAATAGTCATTTTATTCCTTTAAAAGTTTATAGAGAAACGCATTAACAATAGAGCCAGATTCGTGGTGTTTTTACAACTTCAAAAAAGTTTTACTGACCTATACCAGATTTAGTCGTGGTTATTAATTATAATTAAAGCTTTCTGGGCTAGCTTCAACACCGGCGGCACACATTTTGTTTACATGAGTCTGGTAGGTCCATTTCAAGTGAGATATACTCCCCCTCCCCCCCTCACCCGTTAAAGTGCTACTACATTCGACTGCTTCTAAAAGAAAATTGAGTCTCCTTCTGTGTTGCATAATCTCCCAGGCTGTATAGCTATATTCTTTGTGGACGAAGACCAGTATCTTTCGAAATTTTTCAAGGCCATCTGCCATATATTTATATAGTTTTTTTAGATTATGCTATTTCTGCCCCCTAAGCTTAATACGCAATTTCATCTAGCACAGACTGTCCTTCACATCATTATGACTGTTTGATCAATTTTCTATATATTTGTAATACACTAAAGGCCGTTGGTGCATATAAAATTTGTCTTGAAAATTTCTTCACTAGTATTTCTATCTCAAACCTCCAATTGGCAGTAAGTTTCCCGACGATGCATTTTCGTGTTTCCGTTTAGTTCCCAATACGCCAAAGTTTCCCATACATAAATTACTTTAACTTTTCGATTTTATATTTTGTTCGCGTTAAACTTTGACGGAAATTAAATTAAAAAATATAAATAATACTTCTGTAACCTAAACCTGAATATATTTATTTATTTTTTTATTTATTCCATATCATTATATCATTATTCATTGTTACGACTATTCATAAGTATTTGAAACGTCGAGTTATTTAATCTTATAAATGTGTGTAGTACTTTCGTGAACCATCGACAATATTATTGGTAAATTTTAACTTGCTTAGTAAAGCTACGGTTTCCTAGTAAAGCGGTTGTTAATAACCGCCGTCTTTACGGTGGCCAACCGTATTTTTGAAGTGTTTTTCCAATAATTTCGTTCCACAAATTTTGCTTCATCTGAGCTTGTCTGTACTCTTTGGATTTGATATTGTACAAAGATTCATAATTTTTAACAAAATCAGTTAATTGTTCATCATTTTCGCTCGTCCAAGTCATTGTATTAATTAAATATGCGCACCGCGACACGCGAAAAACGTTGAACTACTGTTTATCACCGCTATGACGGCCGTCATGCAAATGACAGCACCGCTATTTGACTTTACGGTGACACTCGACGTTCTCTAGAAAACCTACTCCAATGTTATTTATAGACAATGTATGGGTGACGTCACCCAACGTTACATTACGGCTGTTAGATAACGGCACCGCTTTTCTAGAAAACCGTAGCTTAATGATTTTCTCTAAGTAGGACAGTTTTTAAATTGGCATTATACGCAGTCATATAAAAAAACATTAATTCATTGGAAACATTGATCCCAACCAATTATTATTATTAAAGCCAATCTTTATCATTATATGACGTCATTAAAGTTTGTTTGACTGACCGGCACTAGTCCAAATTTCCATAACGCTTTGACATATATATTATAAAAATTTATTACGGTACTAGAAAGGCATATTACACATATAGAATTTACGAAGAACACTTGAATGAATAAAAAAATGAGAAAATAATTAGTGATTCAACTTCAATGATGTAATAAAATAAAACGCGTTACATATTTAAAAAAAATTAAATCTTTTATATCTTTGGATATAACAACAAAGAAATAGAATCCTTTCAAAAAATCGTCTCAGAACAGATGATTTACATAAATAGATTAGATTAAAACAACGAATTTAAGTATTTTATGTATCCGATATGTGTTAAATAAATTAAAAATAAAGTACTTTTTAATTATAGTTATTTATATTGTATTACGTATCCTATTATATATATATATATTACTTACCCATATACTTACATTCCTCATTTGACGAAGACAAGTCAGAATATTAGAAGTCTCGATGGTATTAAGACCGAAAAGGTCTTGTGTTAATTGTTCGTATATTATGTAGATTATCGAGATTTATACTTTGATTTTTTAAATAAGAAAGAACATATATGTGTATAATAACTATACTACTCTAATAAAGTCTTAAATATTGCTACTGTATACTATTTCAAACCACTTAACTACTAGAATCGTGTACAACTAAATCAAACATTAGAAGTTAATAACTGTTTAGTTACAACAGTAGCAAAAAAACTATGGTTTATTAACTAAATTCTCGATGACATGAATAGAAAGTGGTTTAGGTAGAAGTGTGCCATACGATGATGTTAAGCAACTTTGGGATCCTCTCCATCCATCAACGGTATATAGTAAAAACTCAAAGCATGAAAAACTAATGACACCGTGATGGACAGATGAGACGTTGAGTGTCAGTGCATTGTATTGGTAATAGAATATAGAACTCAATGTATACTGAGAATATGAGTAAGAACGCTGTATTCCTATCTACTATAAATAGTTAATCCTAGGCGGCTGTGTGTAAAAAATGCGAATTGATTATTTTTTATAGTATTTATTAAATAGATTTCACATTAAGGTAACATACAAAAATTACGTAATAAATTATAAATATTATTATTATGGATAGGTAGGCTCTAAATAATTTTGTCATGTTATAAAAATACTGCCATTTCTAATAACTTATTACAATTAGGTGAACATACAACACAATTTAATTTAAACAATATCGTGCACTTAAAACAAACTAAGTTAAAGATCACTGTAACGTTAAACTATAAAAATCTCATTCAATTTGGATTTGTACTTGCATATATATAATGTCAACAACGGCAGTGATTGTCAAACATAGAAACCGGCAAGGCAAGAGATGCGTGCGTACTTTATTCGGTGCAACGCTATGTCGCACTACTATGTTTCTTTGTCACGGGGCAGTTGACAGCGGTAATATTTACTGATAAAGCAACCACGAGTAACTTTGTTCACGAGAACGACCCACCCAGAGCCCGGCACCTACAAACGCTGAACTATTTACATCTTCGAATTCGTGTTGATATCTGACGCGACACTGACAAAGTTAGTCGTAGCTGTTAGGTGACTGGTGACGACGAAACACATCGCAGCCTACGTGCAAAGTTAGATATGAGTCTGAATCTAATTTCAGTATATAAAACAAATATCCATGCTTGCACAGGTACAGGGACTTGATGGCACAATTAAACTTTTGCCACAGCAAATTCCTGTCACACTGAGGTACATTTGAACATCTGTCTACATATGCTGAAATCATTTAGATGAATTATATCGCGTCAATTGAACACATAAAGCATGGAAATGATTGTATAAACATTGTTACTGTTAATGAGGCCAATAAATCGTTAACTTTAGCAGGCTTAATTAAATTAAAGAGTATTGGGTGAAAAATACATGGTAGTACACGAATACGTTTCTGGTGTACCACGCAATGTGTTTTCGATACTAATTTTGTAAAATCTATCAAATTAATAGACATCGTAGCGGTAAAGCAAAACAAAACAACTGTCGAGTAATCGTGTGTCGTGTTAATCACTTGTTACGTGTAAACCTTGTTTTATTTGTCAAGCTTAAACGTTTCCATTTACAAAACTACCTTTTTTTCCAACTTACATTAACATATTTTTACGAACACTTAGATTTCATATCATAAAGTATTGGTATCAAAATAAAGTTCATATGTGAAACAATAAAATCTCCTAATGATAAGACATGAACATGCTTTTTAGTTTTAAAATTTTTTCTCGACACTGATATTATTTGTATTTACAGTAAACAGTGTTAAGTATAAATCGCAAATATTTTTAAATGAGTGGAATCTAATGTCACCTGGCCCGAAGATCTGCCGTCACCCTCCATAAAATACACAAAAAGCTATATACACTGTTAGATGCAATATTCGTATACGGAGTTGAACTCCTTGACTTTGTTAGATTTGTCTGTACAATCGGCGGCAATGAAATGGTTCTTGGTGAAAGTGGTCGTCGTGTGTTACGACTACGGGTTGGTCGAACCGCTACGATAAATCGCTTGTCAACTTAGTAGTTTTCACCCGATCTCATTAGAGAAACAAAGAAACACTACATTAATGGATTAAGTGCGACGCTCGCTGCCTGTATCTATGTCTTACTTTTGACGACTAGTTTAGCAGATGACTCCACTTGGCCGGCGACGGTTGTGGCGCGGCAAGTGAATATGCCGGTGTCCTCTTCGTAGGTACTACCGATTAGCAGTACTGCGTTGTTTCCTTCGTGGATCATCTGAAATAAGTAACGTCCATATAGCAATTTAATGTTTTAAAGATGTGTCCTAAAACTGGAACTGAACGAGATCCTACAACTGGTTATCTTTTCCTATACATGATCGTAGTTTTAAAAGCAAATTAAAATCATTTTAATCGGTTGTGTCAAGATTTAGAATCAAAAAATTTCATTACTGAAACAAGACGGAAAGTAAATGTAAAATTAGAAGCATTTCATGTATATTTCTTTTTTGACGTTCATAAGTGTACATTGTGTTATCTACATGAATAAATTATTTTTGACTTTTGACCAATATAACAATATGAATAAGGTGTGGCAAGAATCAATTTCCTTATATGAGAATCAACAATTTTGAGAATATACAAAATACCAACCTGGAAGTCAGGTGTTTCAGGTATGAGTGCACCTTCCCGTAGCCATTGGATGGTAGGTTTGACCTTGCTGGTAATTTGAGTTTTGAATTGTGCAGGTTGACCCTCATATACGATTACGTCACGCAACGGTGTCAATGTTGGTAAATTGTCAGTTTGATCCGGCTGCGTCACTTTCAGTTTAGCAGCCACTGTAACTCTTCCAGCTGAATTGTAGGCAACGCATTTATAATCACCCTCGTCTTCGGGGAAAGCTTCCGATATGCGTAGTGTGTAGTCGTCAGCAGTACGTGACATTTGGAAGTACTTTGATGGTTTAATCAACCTGTCTTCTTTATACCATTGTACTGTTGGTATCGGTTTGCCGACAATCTTACAGCTGAATTCAATAGCTTGACCTTCGGTGACGACGCGGTCTTTCATCGGTTCAATGATCTCTGGTGGAGCATTCGCAGCCTTAGTTTGTGGCTTGGGCTTCTCTTTAGTAGCTGGTGTATTAACAACACATTCGGCATCGCATCTAGCCTCTCCGGAACTATTTATTGCAACACACTCGTATTTGCCAGAGTCTTGAGGGAAGGCTTCGAGGATAAGAAGTGTGTAAGTTCCATCTTCTTCTAAGATCTTGTTTCTGATATCTGGTTGTACTTTCTTGCCATTTTTCAACCAGTACACATCGATCGGTTTTGTACCAGTGACTTTAGCGTCAAATCTTACAAGTTGTCCAGCTGTGACGTTGACATTTTGGGCAGTCAATGTGAAACTTGGAGGAATAACTCCTCCCCTGCCCTGTCGTCGACGTTCCTCTACAACCAAGTTAGCGCTGCATTTAGCAGTTCCACCTCGGTTTTCGGCTACTGCAGCAAATACCGCTGAATCTTCAATGAACACTTGTCTAATAATAAGAATAGATTTTGTACTGAATGTGTGAATTTGGAAATCCGCTGAGTTCTTTATTGGGAAGTTCTCTCGGTACCATTTAATTGTTGGCAATGGATCACCGTCAAACTCGACTTCGAATCTTGCTTGTTCATGTTCAAAAACACGGCATGGTTGCATTTTCTTCGTAAATACGGGTGGATTGGAAGGTTTCACAGGTCCTTCAACTATTCTCTCCTGAGTTTGAGCTTTATGTTCAACTTCAGTAGTTTCTGTCGATGTAATCTTACGAGTTATTTCTGTGTCTCCCACAACTTCTTTTTGTATTTGTTTCTGTTTGGCAACATGCACTTCTTTACCGTGAACAGTTGATTCTAGTGGATCAGGTATTCTAGGTTTCTGAACCTTTTTAGTTACTTCTTTTTCCACGAACTCTTCTGTTTGTTCCCTGAAATACAAATGTATAAATTATAGACCAACCACAAAATAAAGAACAACAGCACCCTACGACTAATCAATAATCTTTACTTACAAGTTATCTTCGTATTTCTGTGCCATGCTTCTTGCAACTGAGGCGCTGGCAACTTTGTCCCCAGACACAGCGTATTGATGGGTAGATTCTCGCATTCGACTTTCCTTAACAATTTGTTCATGTTCCAATTCCTGCAATTTGTTGTAATACTCCTCACTCTTCTTCTTCTTTACTGTTTGCTGCCACTCCGTGTCTGGTTCTTTAACAATTTTTTGCTTGAGTTCTGGTCGATGGTCTATGACGCCCTTCCGCTGCAAGGTTTGTCTCTCCTCGAAGGTTTTCTCTAATTCAGTGTCAGATCGTTGATATTGCGTAGTTTCGTCGTACCAAGCTGTACATTAAAAATATTAGTAAAGAGCAGTTCATAAACAAAGCACAACTTAGAGACATACCTTTAAAAGGTTCCGATGCTAAGCCGGTAGAAGCAGGTAGCAGCAGTTCGTCCAAAGGGAAAGGTATAGGGAATCTTAGAGGGAAATGTGCTTAAGCGTTGCGTGTGCGTAATGTTGGCGTGTATTAGTGTAGCATAATTTCGTATCTTATTCATTAAGTCATTGTAAGCAAGTTAGCAAAGCCTGTGATGGCACTCTGTATATAGTATTTATAATATACGTACGTCTTGGCGCATTCTTCAATACGCTTCTGTAGTCATCGTGTCGTGGGATTATTTTAAGTTCGGTCGTAGCAAGAGCCTCGCCTACGGAGCTCCTGGCAATTACTTCAATTTTACCCGTATCGTATTGCCTTGTTTTTGGTATATCGAAGTGGTACATGCCATCATATGTCAGTTTATATCTAGAGCCCTGCAATATGTATATTATAAATTATAGTAAAGCCATTAAATATGCTCATTTTTTTAATGGCAAAAGAATTGACCCTAATTCGTGTTAGTACTTGAGTAGATTATGTAGATATCTATTAATTGACAATTAACGATATTTATGATTATGGAATTAAAATTGCTCTTTTCGAAATGACAGGTACGTGATTAGCTTAGTATTTTCTAATTCTGACCGTAAACCTGGATATAAATATAACTATTTCAAATTTTAGCTATATTTTGCTGACAAGTTTATGCGAAATTTTATGAGATAGAAATCATTGAGTCAAAAAACTTTACGTTAACAATAGTGTTGCCGTTTATAAGCCACATAACACGTGGTTTCGGATGTCCGGTGACGCGGCAGCAGAATCTGGCCCATTCTCCTTCCTCTACCGTCACTGGTTCGGGTTTGCTGACGAATACTGGCGCTGTTCTTTCCTTCACCTCATCACCAGGTTTTTCTGGGACTCTGACAATGTATATAGCAAATAAGTATTTTAAACTATTACCAATAAAGGTAATCGACATTGCTAGTCTTATGGACAAACACTAACAATAGTTGCAAACTTCGAACAAAATTTATATTAAATAATTAATGCGTTAGAAATACGGACTTTTAAATATTTATTTATTGGTATTTGATCTAACTAGTTTTTCGTTGGTTGGTTAGGACAAACAACAAAAAACATAATGTAAAAAAACTAAAAAGGAATTTTACTATATTTCCATACTATAACGCTACGGTAACCAGTAAAAACTACATACGCCTGCCATGATGCTTCCATTTCCCGTATCTTCTCGATACTCTTCATGTGTTTCGGTAACTGTGAGTCATAAACGATGCCGGGCTTTCCTGCGGTCTTGATAACTGCTCTAGTCTCGTCCATTCCGTACAAATTAGTTGCACGGCATAGATACTCGCCACTGTCCTCTGGGTACACCCAGCCGAAATTCATGGCGACGTAGCCGAAGTCATAGATCGGCGTGAAACGGTTTTCTGTTAAAAAGAATGGAGTTAGTCAAAAAGGATAACCATACTGATATATTTGACTGTAACAGAAAGGTAAATTTTAATTCTTTACTGATTTATTAAACGACTCCTAAAGGCATTCATCGCCTAAATTGCTAAAATTATGCGATTTAGTTTGCTTTTAATATTTAATTAAAATTATTTTTTAGCGCCATGAGGCTTACAGTGCATCAAATTTTACACGCAAACTCGTCGGTAAAACAAAGATGCTAAAACAAGTCTTTATTATAAAAAAAAACTCAACTGTACTGTGTTAAGTGTATTTCAATAAATGATAATTTATTTGATGATTTCAATATACTTACTGTGTAGCAACGGTTTGCCATTGAAGAACCATTCTACTTTCATATTAGGATCTCCTACTGGCGCCAGCTGACATTCGAATTTAGTCATTTCCATTTCTACTAGATTTGTTTGACTTTGGATTTGAGTGACAAACCGAGGTGGTTGCTTTTTATCAACGTCATATAGATCTTCTTCAGTTAAGAACACTTCTGAGGTGTATTTTTTAATAGTAGCCTCCATTTGAGTTAAGGCTTCGGTCTTCTTCATGCCTCTGGGAACTTGATTTTGTAGAATGATATCAGGTAAGCCTATAATAAAAAAATTATACGTTGATTTATTTCGTAATATTGTACATCAATTTAAAATTGACAACCCATATTACTTACGTTTGCAAGACACTGTTGCCTTAGTGAAATCTTCTCCGAAATCGTTAACAGCGCGGCAAACATATTCTCCAGAATCTTCGGAGTATACATATAGAATATCCAATGAGACAAAGCCCATGTCATACACTGTGCGGAAACGGTGTCCAGATGGCAGTAGTTTACCGTTCCTGTACCACTCGATACGTAGCCTAGGGTCCTCTTTGGGTTCTACGCGGCATTCGAACCGTATTGACTCAGATTCTTCGATTGTGTGTGATTTTATCTGGGTCACGAATTTTGGTGGACTATTGATAACAGGTTCTTCTTTGGGTCCATCACTAATGCGACCTTTTTCGAGTTCCTTAATCTTCTCTCCACTCATTCCTTGCGGTAACTGAGATTCGAAAATGATATCTCGCTTGGTGCTGCATGTGATTTTAGCGGTAGTGGTGGCTGAACCCCATTTATTAGTTGCACGACATGTATATTCTCCTGAATCTCTAGCGTAGATGTAATCAATGTCTAAAGCAATAAATCCAAAATCATTGAGCATGTGGACACGAGAACCTGTTGCAAAAGGCCTGCCATTGTGGAACCAATCGATTCTCATTGTAGGGTCGCCAACTGGTTCTACGCGACAGTCAAAGTGAATTGGTCCACCTTCGGCTACATCGAGGTTGTCCTTAATTTCCACGATAAACTTCGGTGGGTTTGGTTTCTCATCTTCAATTGGAATTTCCTCTCGTTTGTGAAGTGTTTCTTCCAGTTTTTGGATACTTTCTGTACCCGATTTGAAGTGCGACGGCAGTTGAGGTTCTAATATAATACCTTGTCTACCTTTAACTTGTAGTTTACAAGAAACTGTTGCCTCACCGTGACGGTTCGTAGCTTTGCAAGTATATAGACCTGCATCACGTTGGTACACACCACCAATTTCCAAGATCACAAAGCCGAAATCGTTGATAGTCTTTACTCTGGATCCAGTGAGAAGTGGTTTACCGTTGTGGAACCATTCCACTCTCATACTGGAATCATTGACGGGAATAAGGCGGCACTCGAAATGAGCCGAAGAATTCTCATTCAAAATAACATCAGATGGCGTTGTAACGAATTCGGGTGGGTTACCACTTTCAACTTCGGGGCTTAAGTTATCAGCAGTCCCGGCGTAACCTTCCAAAGCAGCAATCTTATCAATAGTACCCTCCATGCCTTTAGGGAGTTGGGATTCCAATATAATATTCCTCTTGCCTTGTACTTTCATTGTGGCAGTGGTGACAGCTTCGCCGTAATTATTGTAGGCTCTGCACATATATTCTCCAGAGTCTTCTGGATATGTAGGTGATATTTCAAGAATAACAAATCCAAAGTCGCAGAAAGTTCTAAACCTCGAACCAGCTTTCAAGGACTTGCCATTCCAGTACCATTCAATCTAAAAACAAATTTAGAATATTAAATACTGTTTGTTTATAGATTAATACACACAAGGTAGAAAATTCTAATGAGAATTACACAATAGTATATATTATATAAATTGTATATACCTTTAGTTTGGGGTCATCAGTTGGTGTAAGACGAGCTTCAAAGTGAGCGTTTTCGCCTTCTCTTAGGTTCTCGATGTTAGATAATGGAACAGTAAAGACTGGCGCCTTGCCCTTCGTTTCTGTAACCTCGATATCCTTTCTTCGTATCATTGAATCTTCTAGCGTCTGTAACTTTTCTAATCCACCCTCCATGCCCTAAAATTTGTAAAAAAAATTAAAATACTTTATATTTATGAAATGGAAAAAAAATTACAATGAAAATTATAAAAATGCGTACCCGCGGCAGTTGCGAGTCCAAGATCAAATTTTCTTTCGACGTGCACTTCAATGTAGCCTTTGTTGAGTCGCGGCCCAATTTGTTGGTCGCAACGCATTCGTATTCACCAGAGTTTTCTTCATAACAATAAAGTATATCCAATATGACAATACCGAAGTCATGGAAAGTCCTGTATCGGTGTCCATGTGGTAATTTCTTTCCGTTATAGTACCACTCTACTTTCAGATCGGGGTCATCCACTGGTATCAGTCTCGCTTCAAAGTGAGCACTTTGTCCCTCCACTAATTTCGTGACATCTTCTATTTGAGTTGTGAATTTAGGAGGTACTGCAGAAGCCGGTGCTGGTGCTTGATGTTGTAAACCTTGCAAACTTTCTAACTCTCGTATTTTAGCTAATGAATCTGGCTGTAAACTGTCTGAGTAAACTCCACTTCTTCCATAACAATTTATCGTCGCTTTAGTGAAATCTTCACCGTATTTGTTATATGCCCGACAAACATATTCTCCTGTGTCGTGGTTTTGGGTGTATGCTATATCCATTACTACAAAACCGAAGTCAGAAATAGTTTTGATTCTGTTAGAGTGTCGTAAAGGTTGTCCGTTATGATACCATTCAATCTTCATATCAGGATCATCTACCGGCACAACTGTGCATTCAAAGTGAGCTGATTGACCATCTTTAAGACCTTCAATATTTTGTATATGGGTCGTAAATCGTGGTTTTTGCCCTTTACTTTTGTCAACACATTCGAGTTTGACGCTTATTTCAGCTTGACCCCACTTGTTGGTGGCACGGCATGAATAAATACCAGAATCAGTGGTCTTTGTACCAAGGATTTCTAGAACAACCATACCAAAGGCATATACGGTGCGAATACGGTGACTAGCTTCAATTGTCTTTCCGTTATAGAACCACTCAATGACCATGGTTTGATCACCGGTCGGTATGAGAGATGCTTCATAGTGGGCAATCTGTCCTTCACTAATATCAAAGATATCTTGGAATACCGTAGTGAATTCAGGTGGTCGACCTGTATCGTCATCAGGCTTCTGCGAGGGCTCCTTTCGGAGAGAGTCTTCAAGGTTTTGAATCTTCTCTAAACCTTCTTTTCCTTTGGGATGTTGAGTACGTTCAATGAGGTTATCCTTGCTACTGCAGTAAATAGTCGAAGAAGTGAAAGCTTCACCTCTCTTGTTGTATGCTTTACAAGTATAGATGCCGCTGTCTCTTTCATATACATCAGTCAAATCTAAAGTAACAAAACCGAAATCGCTAGCAAGCTTAAACCTCGAACCATGTTCTAGAACCTTGCCATTAAAGTACCACTCTATCTTCAGGGCCGGGTCATCCTTTGGCTCAACTTGTCCTTCCAAGTGAAGTGGTTGACTTTCTACAAGTTGACATTCAGCCACAATCGGCACAATCCATTCTGGTTTCGGATATTCACTGTCAGGTACAGATGATCTTCTTGATTTGGCTAATCTAGCTTCTTCTGCTTGTTCCACAGCTTCTAAACCAGCCTTGCCTTGAGGATGTTGAGTATCAAGATAGATTTGTTTATCACCAGTACATCTTAAGGTGCCTGAAGTTGTAGCAGATCCTTTATTGTTTGTGGCTTTACATGTGTATATTCCTGAATCCTCCTCGTACGTATGCATTATGTCAAGCGACACGTAACTGAAGTCATGTGTACTCTTGTATCTTGTACCCGATGGCAAAGGCTTGTTGTTAAAGAACCATTCAACTTTAAGAGTCGGATCGCGCGATGGTTCCACATTGCATTCGAAGTGAATGTTGTCTCCTTCTTTACAGAGGATATTGTTCAAATGAGTAATAAAAACAGGAGTTTCATACACAGGTTCAGGAGAATCTGGTTTAATTTGTTTCGGTTGTTCTAAAGCGCCAATACGGTCTAAAGATTCAGGGTGTAAAGTGTCACCCATTAACCAATGACGATCTTCAATCTTTATTGATGCTGTAGAAACAGCTTCTCCCATTTGATTCACGGCTTTACAGGTATACATACCAGAATCGTCGTGTCTTAAACTATTAATAGACAAAGTCACTAAGCCAAAGTCAAAAGTACTTTTAATCCTGGAACCTGTGGTTAAAGAAACTCCATTTTTGAACCATTCAATTCTCAAATGTGGGTCTGTACGTGGCTCCACTTGGGCTTCGAGATGCAAATGTTGTCCTTCAACGAGCTTATCATAGCTTTGTAAGTGTGTGGTAAATATAGGTGCTTGTTGTACTCCCAAGTCTACAAATCTCTCTGGGACTTGGTTCATAGATGCTTCCTTAAGTTGGATCTTCTCCCATGATTCAGGTCGCATGGCCTGGTCAATAATAGTAGATTTTGTCTTTACTTTAAGTGAAGTTGAGGATACTGTACTGCCGGCCTTGTTAATAGCCTTGCACATGTATAAGCCCGCATCATTAGATACAACTGAATTGATGTCCAATGTGACGAAACCGAAATCGTGAGTAGTACGGAATCTCGAACCTGAAAGACGTATTTGAGGAATTTAATCGAAAAACACATTGAATAGTTTTAAACGATCAAATTTTAGTGTCACGTCAACGAAGAGAATATTAAATATATTTACCCATCTTAAGTTCGACTCCATTAATATACCATTCGAAACGTAAACTTGGATCACCAACGGGTACCACTCTGGCTTCATAATGAGCGTGTTGGCCTTCCCACAATTCTGAAGGTCCTGTTAGAACTTGTGTGAATATTGGTTTTTCAAATTCTCTGTCAGGTTCTTCGCCTTTTTTGGGTTGGGGTTGTTCCAACTTTTGGATCTTTTTCATACCCTCTGGATGTTGCGTTTCCAATTGGATAGCGGCTTTAGCTATAAAAATAAAAAGCTTAAACTATATAATAATTACATACTGGCTGCTGAGCATGAAAAGCGTCTGTGTAAAGTCATAGGGACAGATGGCCATGTGACCATACCGATCAAACCATCAAAAATACAAATTAAAGTATGTACTTTAATTTGTATTGTTGACGGGTTGGATAAAATATTTTTAGATTTTTCTACAACTTAGAGACGTTTTGGGCAAGCTGAAATGAGATGTATATAACCGTTGAGAGTCAAGCCGTCAAGAGAGGCTCTATCACATCAGCATTATCAACGTTTACGATATACACTAAATATATATAATATTGAAAAACAATATTATTTCTGTATAGTACTCACTTTTGATTTTCATTGCAGCTGTGGTCACAGCTTCTCCAAGTAAATTAGATGCTCTACACATATAAACTCCTTCATCTTCATCGCGAACGTGGTTAATTGTCATGGACACGAATCCAAAGTCATGAGTTTTAGTTATTCGAGAGCTGTCTGCGATTAGTTTCTCGTTCCTAAACCATTCCACTTTAAGGGTAGGATCGCCAACGGGTATCAACCTACAATCCAAATGTGCAGTCTGGCCTTCCTGGATATTGTCAATATTCTGAAGAGGTTGTGTAAACACTGGCCTTTGTCTCGTCACAGGTTCTGGGATTTCCGGTCGCTTAAATGGTTCAGCAGATTCCAATTCTCGGATCTTTTCTAAACCTTCTGGACGTTGAGATTCCGAAATAATGCTTCCTTTTGCGGTTACTGTCATGGATATGGTGGAAGTACACTGTCCGAGAGCGTTTATTGCTTTAACTGAATATTCACCAGCATCTTCTGGTACGCAATGCTGTATATCCAAAGACACGTAACCAAAGTCAAAAGTGATATGGAATCGTGACGCAGATTGCAGAGCTTTACCATTATGGTAGAATTCTATACGAAGGTTGGGATCATGGACAGGTTCAACTTGACACTCGAAATGAGCAGTTTGTCCTTCAAATACATGTGTCGTTCCTCTCAATTCAGTCACGAATCTGGGTGGGTATGCTTTGGGTTCTTCTACTTCCATTCTTGATGTGTGACCTTGGGCTTCAAGCTGCCTGATTTTCTCAAGCCCATTAGGATGTTGAGTGTCTAAAATTATATTTCTGTGCCCTGCAAAACATGTACATAAAATTATAAAATATATTCGTTTAATAGAATAAAAGGAAAATATCAGACTCTATTGTTGTTTTAACAATACGCACCTGCAACCTTTAACGTGCAGGTATTAACTGCTTCTCCAAGTTTGTTCGTCGCTTTACACATGTAAGTGCCAGAATCTTCTGCATATGTGTACAAAATATCTAACGCAACATAACCGAAATCATGAGTCGTTCTAAATCTGTGGCCAGTCTTAATTTTTTGGCCATTAAGGAACCATTCAATCTTGAGATCTGAGTCATTGATTGGTTCTACTCTCGATTCGAAATGAGCGTGATCACCTTCTTTCAGGTTTTCAAGGTTTGTTAGAGGTGTCAGGAAGACAGGCCTTTGACCTGGTTGTTCTTCCTCAATCGGTTTAGGTCTTTCGTATTTTTCCAGCTCTTGAATCTTCCTGAGACGTTGCTCATCCAATGTATCAAGGTATAGGCCAGCTTTAGCTAAAATAGATAATAATACATTAAGAATAGTTACTTACATAATGTTTTATGGTTATATATATATCTTGTACGTGATTGAATAAAAAAAACACTCTAACTCAGGGCATTCTTGCACACATGTTCATTGTAAGTCACTACTACAAAAGATCGTGTAAAAATACGTGAAAAATGATTTTAATAATGAATCAATACTATCTTGACTCCTACGATAAACTTATAACTTACCATCTACTTTCACAGAGCTTGTCGTAACAGCTTCACCAACAGCATTTCTAGCTTTGCACATGTACGTTCCAGAATCTTCTGCGTAAGCGTACAACACATCTAAAGCCACGTATCCAAAGTCATACGTTGTTTTGAATCTATGACCTTGTTGAATAGGCCTTCCATTACAATACCATTCAACTCGCATTGTCGGATCATTCACTGGGGTTAAAGTTGCCTCTAAATGTATCGGTTGACCTTCGGGCGCTTCAGCGTTCTTAATAGGTTTGCCGAATTGAGGCTTTTCCGCAATAAAGCCTTCGTCATGAACCACCTTCTTGTAACGACTGTCATCTTCAAGGTACTGAATCTTCTCTAAGGCACCTTGGTGTTGCGTATCTCTGATGATTGATTCCTTAGCTGAAATTGTCGTCATTTAAATAATATTAGGATAAAAAATCATAAGAAATATAAAATCACGGTATAACATTAATTTTTTGACATTTATTTTAAATACTTACATTGCACATTTAAGTTAATAGACGACGTTGCTTGTCCTAAATTATTTATAACTTTACACGTGTATTCGCCAGAGTCTTCTCCATACACAGTTAATATATCAAGCGCCGCAAAGCCAAAGTCAAAGGCCGTACGATAACGATGGCCACTTTGAAGAACCTTCCCATTAAAGTACCATTCAACTCGCATTGTTGGATCTGGGTAAGGCTCAATTCTGCATTCATAGTGCGCACTTTGCCCTTCAACTAACTTGCTAGGCCCATTCAATTGTGTTACAAAACGAGGGGCTTGGTTAACTGCAACTTCAATATCTTCTTTACGCTGGTATCTTGATGTGTCTTCCAGCTGACGAATTTTTTGCAAAGCCGCTTGGTTTTGGGACTCTAAGAGTAGGGATGCTTTAGCTGAAATAGTGAGTATATTTTTAACTTATTAAAAACATAACTAAACATTACCTATTTGAGATGCTTACTATATTATTAGGTAACATAAATACTTTCAGTGCAGCTTTGTGAAATCCAATTTATATATTTGTATTAAAGTGTATGTGAAATCTTAACATTTTAATTACACTTAATTACATTAGGACGTAATAGTAGATATATTGTATGGCCCTGATTACCAGTGTCATATAATATTAATATAATACTTACATTGTACGAATAAAGTCGACGAGGTCACCGCCTGCCCTAACTCATTTACAGCACGGCAAGTGTAAGTGCCTGAATCTTCCGGATTTACATACTTCATGTTGAGAGCCACATAACCAAAGTCGTGCATTGTGGTAATGCGGTTTGCTGAAAAATTGATAATTTTGAATAAATTGGAAATTTGTTTTTTTACAATACTCATCTCATACAGACTTATTTTAAGCAATTTTGAATAGTATTTGATGAATTCTTTTCGAGACACTTATTCGTAGTTGGCGTTGTAATTAAACGTTACAAAAATCTGACGGAAAAAGTGAATAAAGTATCTGGCCTATTATTATATATTATATTTTTTAAATAAATAAGGGAAAAGGAAAACTTACAGGCTGTTATAGGTACGCCATTGCGCAGCCATTCTACTTTCAGTCTTGGGTCGCCAACAGGAATTAATCTTGCCTCAAAGTGAGCTGCTTGGTTTTCGGCTACTCTAATATCTCGCATAGGCATAGTAAATACTGGAGCTTGTGACACAGCATCTTCTGGGGCGCTAGGCTTGTGGTGCCTCGAAGTATCTTCTAGCTGGTGCAACCGCGGCAATGCTTCTTGGTGCTGTGATTCCAAATAAATCGATTTTTTCGAATGTACGACAGCTGTAGCGGAAGTGACAGCTTCTCCAAGAGCGTTAATTGCCCTACAAGTGTAAACTCCGGAATCTTCCGGTAAGCAAGACATGATGTCAAGCGCAACAAAACCAAAATTATTGGTTTCAGTAAATCTAGATCCACTCTTTAGAGGTTTGCTGTTGTGATACCATTCTACCTTCATGGTAGCATCAGAAACTGGAATCAGTCTACACTCGAAGTGGGCACGTTGTCCTTCTTTTATTTCAATATTTTTCAAAGATGTTGTAAATAAGGGCGCTTGTGTCGTTACTTCGTCGACAAAATCGCTTCTTTGATACCGAGATCTATCTTCTAATACTTGTATTTGTTCTAATCCGGCTTCATTTTGAGTGGCGCGAATAATATCTGCAGTTTCACGGCAAGTAAGCTTGCAGCTTACTTCGTCGGTTCCTAGTAAGTTAACGGCACGACATGTGTATATTCCAGAATCTTCTGCAATACAATCAATGATATCGAGCGCTACATAACCAAAGTCATGAATAGGTCTAAATCTGTGACCAATAGTTACTGGTTGGCCATTCTTGAACCATTCTACTTTTAAATTTGAGTCTGTGACAGGTTCTAATTTACATTCAAAGTGGACATGCTGTCTTTCTTTTACATTTTCCACCGACTTTGGTTTAGTGACAAAGCGCGGCTTCACATGAATCGACTCATCGACCACCTCAGATTTTTTGTATCGAGAGGCATCTTCTAGATATTGTATCTTTTCCAATCCGGAAGGATGTTGGGATTCAAAGATTAAATCCTTTTTCGCCATGACCCGTAATGCACATGAAGTAACCGCTTCACCCAACTGATTAGTGGCTTGGCATGTGTAGACACCAGAATCCTCCGGGTAGACACTGAGAAGGTCAAGAGCGACATAATCGAATTCATAAGCAGGTCTGAATCGGTGTCCTGTCTTTATGGGCCTGCCATTACAGAACCATTCTACTCTCATAGTTGGGTCTCCAACAGGTTGTAAACGACATTCTAAATGCACGTTTGTTCCTTCTATTGTCTCGATATTGTGCAATGCTCTTGAGAATTGTGGCGCTTGCATCACAGTTATATCTTCTTGCACTTGTCTGGTACGACGCGCTGCGTCTTCAAGCATTTGAATCTGTTCAACTGCTTGCTCATGTTGAGTATCCGTCACAATGTCTGATCTTTCAATTACACGTACCATAGCCGATGTGTGTGCAGATCCTAAATGATTAACAGCTCTTACTGTGTACTCACCAGAATCTGAAGATGTGGCATGAATTATATCAAGAGCTACGAAACCGAAGTCATAGTAGGTTCTAAACCGAGAGCCCACGGTCACAGCTCTGCCGTTATGATACCATTCAACTCTCATTGTAGGATCTCCCATGGGCTCAAGACGACATTCAAGATGAATGTTCTTCCCCTCTGAAATCGATTTAGGATCTGACAAGGGTTGCACGAAGACTGGTTTGGATTTCGAGATTTCTTCTATGTGGTACATTGGTTCAACAAACTTTGATTCTTCCATTTGACGAGTTTTCTCATATAATCCATGGTGGATGCTCGTAGTATCGATGCTGGATCGCGCTAAAAAGAAGAAAACATTATTTATCATACTCTTATGAAAATCATTTTAAATATGTATTATAGTAAAAAAACTTACTTTCAACAACCATAGAAGCGCTCAGTTGAGCTTCTCCAGAAGCATTTCTCGCAACAACTGTGTAGACACCAGCATCTTCAGCCCTAACATTTGTTATATCCAGGGCTACATAGCCAAAATCATGATATGTCTGAATGCGATTAGCTGATTTTATTTGCTTTCCATTAAAGTACCACTCTACTATCATTGTCAAATCGCTCTGAGGCTCAACTCTTGCTTCGAAATGAGCACTTTGTCCCTCGACAATCTTGTTTGTTCCTTTAAGTGGCCCCAAAAATCTAGGCTTTTGAGTTACTTTAACCTCTTCTTCTGATCGTTTTAAATACCTGCTAGAATCTTCTAAGTACTGAATCTTTTCTAAGCCTCCAGGGTGTTGAGATTCAGCAATAACATCTTTCTTTGTAACAACTGTCAAATTAGCACTAGTTGTCGCTTGGCCTAAAGCATTATAGGCTCTACACGTATAGTTACCAGCATCATGGATGGTAACAGACTTAATAGTCAGAGCTACATATCCAAAATTAAAGAATGTGGTTATTCTTGAACTTGCTTCAACGGCGCGTCCATCCTTCAACCACTCTACCCTTAATGTAGAATCCCCAACTGGCTCAAGACGAGCTTCAAAGTGGGCGAATCCACCTTCCTTAATGTTCATCTGATCTTTGATTGGAGTTTTAAACTCTGGTCGTTGCGTACTTTCAGGTACTTCTTGGTAATATCTCTGATGTTGTTGTTGTTGATAAGCTTCAAGTTGCTCAGTCTTTTCTATGTATCTTCTCTGTTCAGGTATGCCGAGATCTTCAGTCACGGTACTTCTTGCTGCTACTTTGATAGTTGCAGTGCTGATGGCTTCACCGAGTTTGTTCACAGCTCTAACTGTGTACGAACCTGCATCTTCAACCCGTAGGTGCATGATGTTAAGGGAAACGTATCCGAAGTTGAAGATTGCTGTGATTCGCGAGCTGGCTGTGATTGATTTGCCATCCTTGTACCACTCCACTCTCATTGTTGGATCACTTACAGGGGTTAGTTGAGCTTCGAAGTGAGCGTTCCTACCTTCCTGTAATTCACCAAGGTCTTGAAGTGGCCTTATGAACTGAGGACGTTGTGATATTTGTTCTTCAATTGACTCCTGATGTTGATATTTAGAGTAATCTTCCAAGTGTTGTATATACTGTAAACTTTCAGGATGTTGACTAGTGCGTTCAATAGTGGCTCTCGGAGTAACTTGTAGCATTGCTTTCGTTTCTGCGATGCCCGTAGAGCTGACAGCTCTACATGTATATTCACCACTATCTTGAATATTAAGACTGAGCATGTCAAGAGATATGTAACCAAACCTAAAGATTGATGTAAATCTGGAACCTGAAAAAATGTATTCATAATTAAAGAAGTTTCGTCGCTATCTAAATTATAGGTTATATAATTATAATATAGAAAAATATATACGTACTGGCTTCTATACTTTGACCATTCTTTAACCATTCTATCTTCATGGTGGGGTCACCCACTGGTTCGATTCTCGTCTCGAAATGTATTTTTCCACCTTCAGTTTGAGTAACACTTCTTAGAGGCACAATAAACTGCGGCGGTGGATAAATTCGATCTTCCTCGCCAGGAGGGACATATGGTCGAGCTCTTTCCACGTGCCTCAAATAAATAATTTCGGGTCCAGGTGCAGGCCTGAAAATTTAAAATGTTTATGAAAATCACAATAACAAATATAACACATTTTACATCAAAGTAATGTACTCACTCTGGCTCAATTATTTTTGTAGGCCGTGGTAAGTGCAGACGTTTTTGTTCAGGCGGAGGCTCCTTAGGAACTTCAACGTAGAGCCTTGCCCGAGTAGCGGTGGAACCTGCGACATTCTGAGCCGTGCATTGATACCACGCCGCATCCGACGCCTTAGCTCGCGGAATATCTAATGTCGAGGCCCCACCTTCGGTATTGATTCGTAATTCAGGATTGGGTATAATCGGACCACCGTCCTTCTGCCATGTGATTCGTGGTGTAGGCGTGCCAACAGCACGGGCATTCAATATTACAGGTTCACCCTCACGTACACTCAGAGTACTAAAACGTTCAATGAACTTTGGAGCGACAACTTGTTCCCTTTCTATTACATTTAATCTACACTGGAAAGAAATTTCTCCACTTTTATTTCTTGCGACACATGTTACTACACCACTATCACTACGGTCGACATTGGTAATCATAAGAGCGTGATTACCAGATTCGTTAACTAGAATTTTATGATTGTAGTCGTCTCGAATTTGTCTATCATTAATGAACCACGTGACTTCTGGGTAAGGTCTGCCGGTGACGCGGCAATCGAATCGCGTCATTTTGCCCTCCGTGACATCGCGATCTTGGCAGACTTTTACAAATTGCGGAGCGAGAGCTTTTTCACTAGTTTCTATTCTTTCAGTCTCAATTTGCTGATTGTTATCCATTGCGTACTGAGATTTTTGATCTTGTACGTATGTCTCATGAGGTGATTCGACAGCAAGGTACGCTGATGAAACTACACATCCATTAGGATTTTCAGCCAGCAAGGTATAGTGACCAGAATCAGACTTTTGTACATTTCTTATCCTAAGTATCGTTTGATTGTTCGTGTTTATTATATTATGTTTTGCAGAGTTTACTAGCCTTTGGCCATTCTTGAACCACGTTGTACGAGGTCTGGGATTACCGGAGAGTTGTACTTGGAATTGTGCATCAGTTCCTTCTTGAAGTTTAGAGTTCCTTGGCTTTTGAGTTATTTTTGGTGGAGCTACAGGTCCTAGGGACTTATCGATTTCTGTACTAACCTGGATATCGCTTTCGCTGATATATCTTTTCGTAATTGTTTCTCTAAAGGAAACTTCTCTTAACAGCCTATATTCAAAGGTATCAACTTTAAAGTCTTCAGAAGCTGAATGGTCAGTGCCATTGGCATACGCAAATTTTTGTGACTGTTGTGATTGTTCTGTCATATATTCATGAGTTCCATATGACTTGTGTTCAACACTTTCACTTACGTGTCTGTAACTTTGTTGTTGAGATGCTTGTTGCGTAGGCACAGGTACACCCTCGGGTTGAATGTACACAGAGCAGATAGCTTCACCATACTGGTTTCTTGCTGTGCACGTATATTCTCCCTCATCACCGGGTCCAATTTGTTTGATTAATAACGATACATCACCAGTCTGTTCATTGTAAATCATACTGTACTTATTACATTCTACTAACGGTGCTTTTTTTCTGGTCCACGATACCACTGGCGTTGGATTACCTCTGAGCTTCCCTTCGAATTTGGCGTTACCGCCTTGGGCAAATCTAGCATTTTTAAATATTTGTTCGAATATAGGTGGAGACGGTTCCCCCGGCCTTCCAGCTGTGATGGGTACACGATCGCCACCAACAGTTCCAACTGTAACAAAACAAATAATAGTGTTAATTTGTACAATATTTGTATATTTTAAATACGGTATATATAAGGACATTATCATATTGAGACACCTATCTGTCTAATGAGGCATGGGGTAAACGCGTCTGAACCCATTTCTATGATGCAGACATAAAGCAGCGTTAATCGCTAAGCCACATTAGTGCTATCATAGATATAAAGTAATTCGCAAGGCGCATAATAAAAGAAATTAAGGATGAAAAAAGATAATATTTTTAGGTTTAACAGCTAGCAGAACTGTATTATAATTCAGGTCTGTCAGTCATCTAAACTAACGAAAGAATTTTCAAAAATTAAATATACAAAGAATAATGTGATATTCTTGGCGTGAAATGGAATTTTCGCAGATATTATAAGATGCCTCTAAGTATGTCGTGTTCCAGTGGTGTAATTCACGGATGCGCGTGAGTCACGTTCGTGACGGACCGCGCGTACAAGCTCTCTTCGTGCGTCTATTTTTGTGCACACCAGTCGGATCTTGTTACGAGTACCATTTTGGTCCAAATTTGTAATGTAACTAATAATATTATGAACAATAATATTTTGTTGGCTTTATTGTTCAGAAACATTGATCGAAATAATATAATATTGTCGGTAATCACAGAGGTAATCTTTTGTAACATAGCAAAAATTCCATGTATACCTAGTGGATACTAATTAAATAAGGTGAGTTCTCCAGTTAAGTAAAGAAAAATTAAATTTTTTTAAAAATAAAAACGTCAATAAGTGAATTATCTTATTCAATTAGCTCAATTAAAAGTATTTCCTTTCATATATTTTACCTTACCTTATGCATTTCAATCATTGATAACATAATTTAGGTAATTAACTGGTATCAGTAATGCCTAATAAAAAACCAAGTGATGTCATATAAGAACGAAATCCAATTTGGATAATTCTGTCAATATTCGTGACGCTGTCGCAAACTTAGAATTGAATGGTAATTAAATCTCAATAGAAACTCGATATGGGTCAAGGTCAAGTAATTTTAATATTAAGGAAACAAACAGGCTCAAACCGATTACGTATTGTTTTATTTATCAAAAGTGTACCCCATATTTAACGTGCCGCTACCAAACACTTGTATATTGCGTAGGAGTAGTTCCATGTTGGGCGGACTTTGGCTGCCGCCCAAACATTGCAAATATGATCTTTATATATTACGAAGCAAATCATACGTGCTTCATAAATTCCTATTAATACAATGCTAATTAATTGAAGATTTGGCTTAGCAAACGTGGAGTCTATTTATAAATCAATATTACGTATTGAACAATAAATAATTCTGAGTTATATTGATAATGTACTCTAAGCTTGACCGTGTACTAGCAATGCGTGCGCCATATGGTCAGTGGCCCTATTACATACATACTTCAAAATATACGTTATGCTCTACCTTGACTTCACTTAAGAGAGATAATCAAGTGATTTAAAATTCAGCCTTATTTGTTAAGATACTTTCAATATTTCTAATCGACTATAGTTTTAGCTTTATATTGATAAATTGATCAATATTTAAATTACAAATCAGTTGGAACAAATCGAGCTAACGTAGAATTATAGAATTTAATGAAGAGTCCGTAATAATAGTGGACATGATAAGTCAGAAACTACGAGTAATAGTTAACGGTGATACGGAGAAAGCAATAACGAATAACGTATCATGTGTGCATTATGGCGATACAATCTAGTGTGATAAATGTAGCGGTATATAAAAAACATTAAACAAACAGTTATCGTTTAATGTGAATCGGGGAAAGTGAGCTTTAAACCGTTTGCCTTATTAATTCGGAGATAAGCCGAGTAAGTTGGGGTCGCGTGCCAGTCAGGTAATGTTGCGTGTGAGTGCCGTGTATGTTTTTACTATTGCGTCGATTGTATTGAGTAACTATCGAGATTGTCGTGACATAGCCACAGCCTCAGTTCCGCTATCAATGTAACTATCTCTGATTGAATTTACGGTCAGTCACCTGGCTTATACTGGTGTCGTAACATATTTAATAAAATGTTTTTTGTACTGAAAAGATAAACATGCGCCTGAGAGGCGCACTATTTTAATAGCAGATTTTTTTTATGAATGTCAATTATTTTTATTTCATTCACTACTGTAATTTATTGAATTATTAATAAGTAAACAAAATACATAAGTATTATCATAAATTTTTATTCAAAATATGAAAATTTGTAGGTATTTATGAACCCTTAACAAAAATTAGAAGTCTGCTGTACTTAGGTAGAAATTTTTAAAAATAGATAACTTTTATAGTGTTTTTTTCTTATTAATTAATTAATTATAATATAATCAGTCACAATTTTAAAAAAATACTGGAAAAATCAACGGCTAAAGACAATTGTTGCAAACATCTTTTTTATGTTCTCCGCACACTGTCTTTTTACATTTTGTGCAACTCATCTTGGACATTCTCTTCTTTTTCTTTGCATATAAGCTACAGTACCATCGAATTTTAGCTGGAGGTTCCTCATCAGCTTCTTCAGACATCTCTCGGTTAGTTTGTGGGAGGATATTCTCAATACTTTCTCTTGCAAAATCTCGTCAGTTATAAATAACTCAAAGCATGGAAGTGGTTCAAAAATATTTCGACACATGCGACTAGGCCCTCTATATTGATCGCAGACGTTCTGCTGTTATTTTGTCCTTTAGCAGTAGCCCAAACATGCCTATTCTTGCCCCTGATATTAAAATATATTTTTTTTAATATTAATTAAAATACTCTGGACTGAAATTTGCTAGGCAACCCATATGGATTATATTTATTGACATATTAAATTAAATATATAAAATACGTTTCATTAAATAAGCATCTCGGTGAAGGTCGTTGTATATCGGGATCTTAGACCAAAGGACTGAATTGGCGCGGAAACACAAACTTGTATGCGCGTCGGTAACAAAATGGCAACGAAATATATATTTCGCGGGGCCTCTGAGGCGCACGTTATCTTTCTAGGGTTAAAGACTCAAATGTAGCTCTGATTATGCAAATAAAAAATATCTATCATAAAACTTCTCGTTATCTCAGTCCAGTAAAAAAAAGTTATATTTTAATAGTTCTGAGATGCAAGAACCGAGACAATCTACAGTTAGGCTGTGTTAATTGAGCGATCTAGTTTCCACTTCGTATAAGTCGTAGTTACATGGTGGGTGACCCTAATATCTGGTTACTTTCCGCAGTTAACGAATTTTAAACCGTCAGTATAGTTTCCAGAAATATAAAATGCCTAATATAAAATCTTTGCAGCCAGTATTGTTATCTGGTTAATGCATATTAAAATTTGAAATTGCAGCGCATTCATATTAAAATTGCAAAGCGAAAGTGGAATTCTTCGTATTTAATTTATTAAATAATTACAACTCAGTTAAACGTTTTAATTAACCGCATTATTTCTCTTTGTTTTTTTATAGACATACTCAAGAGTGCGAATAAAAGTAATTGTTTTTATTCATATAAACAAAAGTAAGTATAATATTTTCTTTAGTAGCAAGAATCGTAAATCACTCCGTCAGTTTAGGTCATAAAAATGTCTGTATGCTAATATTTTATTTTAATAATCCTATTTTATTTCAATGCCAGAAAATAGATCTCATGGTGACGTTTCAAAATCTGAAACATGTTTTGTTTTACCTTACTTTTACTTAAGTACTCATTTCCTTTACATATAAGAATTTTTTAACAATTAACAATAAATGCGAAAGTTTAATTTTGTAGGTAATGTTTTTACTGTTTTTTGTACTTACATATTAATATTCTTTTCTTTCTCTTTTCAGTTTAACTTTTTTGTATTCTATGGTCGGATTTTAGTTTTTAAACAAACTTGTTTTATGCCTATTATACATCGCTTCAAGCACCTAATTTTAAATGTCTTTGAACCTAAGGTTATTTCCCATCCGTTCATCGTGAGGAAAAGTGAAAAGTCAACGATACAATTCATAGTTTTTCACTTCATAATAATAGCGCTATTATTCTGTCATTCTCAGTAAATTGAAATAGAAAACAGTGTATATAGAACAAAAAGAAACGTACGGGACATCGCACTTGTTTATATTAAAATATTTTTCGAGAAAGATTGTAGATATGTAGAAATATATACAGATATTTTGTGATCCTATTTTGTTTTGATGTACTTAATAACTGCCCCGTCTTAGAAAAACAATGCAAAGCTGTCCATCCCAAGTATTCATTAGCACCTACTTTATTTAATTTAAATAAGCCCATAGGTCTAAACAACCTTAATTCGTACTTAATATTAAACATTTAACAATGTGAAAAGAAAATTCAAATAATTCTTGAGCTATATGAAAGTATTTCAAACGGTAAAAAAAATATTTCGACAAACCTATAATTAAATCTCCGTTTTTAAATAATTGTATTAATTAATATAAAATTTACTAACTAATCTTTTAATTTTATAAATGAAATCATTTTAATCACAAACTCAATGATAAAGTTTTAATTATTATTATTAATAGTGTAAAATTGAAAATGAGTCACGCTCGCTATAATTCTTTTATTTACTATTGTAATTTTTCTTGTTGAAAACGTTATATTTAAACAACTGGTTGTTGACAGTAGTGTTAAAATATTTGAATTTTAATTACAATAAATTAATTTTTAAATTACCTAATCAAAATAAAAATTTTAAATATACATTTCTAACAATTCAAAACATCCAAGGAATCCTTTGGAATGTGGCAAAAATGACTAAGAATTATTTGACCTAAGCTATTTGTTTTGACAACAAGTGTATAACCGCTCGTCTGGAACCTATTAAGTCATAGTTACATGATATTGATTATAGTATAGATATGTTTTATGAATATGTTTTCCTTTTTTCAGTTTACTTCTTCTAAAGCTTTTTATTTACCCGTCTGACTATTCAAAATATTTCTAGTATATACTAGGTAAAACCATAATTAGCTACAGGAAAACTTCAATACGAAATTACCGAGTGTATAAAATTATAAATACAAAGAAGGTTTTCATTGTTAATATTTAAAACCTTGACCACGTAACATTACATCAATATTCAGCCTAGTTTCTTTGTAACGTAGTCTTCATAATAAGAAATTAATCCTTGCATGGAAACATATCTGTGGGATCCATATATGGATACGAGTTTGCGCCATAAAAGTAAACAAGTTTTAATGCATGAATTCGCACTGCAACCTTAATGGAGAGACCAGTGAACTCACACGCCGATAATGCCGGCTGGTCAACCATTTAAGATTTAATAGTTGCATAAACCACCGGAACGGGGTCGAAACGCGGCGCAGCCTTTATTCTGCGGTGTGAGTTTACGGTACCCTCTGGCAACCACAATGTTGCAATTCGCTTACAAGTTAAAATTTTATTCGGGCAATGAGACAGTGAGATCATTTCTCGAAAGTTAGTCAGAAAAATAAGTGTGAAAATATGCGAGTGTTAAGAGAGCACATTCCTGCGCGCGGCGGGCGCGAGCCATCGGCGCCCACGCAATCCCCAGAATAGCCGATCTATCTTGCTCGAGATGTAAAAGCGCCTGCGCAAATAGTGGCTCTCGTCTTTAGTTTCTTCCTAGTTACTTAAAATAAAGAAATCTAAGACAGACGGCGCTCAGACTGCTACGCCGGCGGCCTTCTTCCATTGACCCATACTTAATGATAAGTTAAAACAAATTATAAATATATACATCGCACAAGCATTTTTTCGAGTCTAAGTAAAGTATGAAAGTTAGATGCGGTAAAAGACAAGCAGACGAACCTTGCTGCGTGAGCATCTGAGTGAAGTGCTGGGTCCGCTGGACGCGTTCCTGCTGCTGCACGATCTGCTCGCGGCGCTCGGAGTGCTGCTGCACGGAGCGTTGCTCCGACCACCTCGACTGCTTCTCCATCACGCCACCGCAGCCACAACGCACGAAAAAACTCTCACTCGACGCTATAGGTCCTTAGCGGTGCTCGCCCGATATGAAATAAAAACGCCACTGCGAAAAACTTATACTAGTCCACGGGTTCATTTAGCAGAAGTCAAGTCATTATAACCCAGTCCAACAACCAAGACGTCGGTCGATTGCGAATAGTTAGCGGGTAGTGCGGAGCCGCCGGGCGATCGGGCGCTGCGCAAGCGCCGCTTCTCTGGGGCGGGGGGCGACCGAAATACTGTGGTTATTTTGAGACGAGCGCACTCCCGCGTACCTCCCTCCACGCGCCTTCACACCCCACTGCAGACCTCTTGATCCCTTTTCGAACACAACAACAAATAAAATAGTTAATTCATAAGACAACACTAATTAAACTTTTGTTTCGTCGTCGCTGTAAACACGCACCGATAATTCACGACATTGGTATTATGTTTATTTTAAGAGTTTTATAGCCACGCTTTAATTCAATTCACCAAATGAATATAATCGTTTGAGTTTTTAATTAATCATAAAAATACGTCTTATATAAATACTGTCGTTTTGGTTTAAAATTAGCCCATTTTTGAACATTAAGATAATAAATTACACAATACTATGTTTTGTATTTACACTACTAAATATTATGATTGCATGGCAATATATACTTTATCAGTTTGTCTAAATAATATAATGCTATGCATTGAATAAATTCATTAAACCTAATATTAAATACATATTATACCCACTAAACTCTACGATCCTTTCGTCTGTATGGTAAACTTGGTATACATATTTGAGAACGATGGCACGTCGTAGTATTGAAACATACTCTAATTTCAGTATTACAATATACCTAAGTATAATTAGTTAAAAAGTGCGATGCCGCCACGCGTTAAAGCTTTACGCTTGGTGGTAGTACATTATTTTCTTCTACATACCGCTTACTGTGCGATATGTTACTTACTTTGATATTATATTCAAACCACCCCCAACAAAATTATGTATTTCTGAAACAGTTCATACAAACTTAGAAGTTCTACTTTAACTGTTATGAGTTTTTTACTAGATAAACCCTCGCCTCAGTCGACTTGGTAACTTAAAAGGATCCAAAAAAAATTGTGCAATAATGTGTTTCGATTTGTACAGCTTTCTTACTGCCTCACGAAAGCTCTGCAATGGGACGAAATCAAAAAGCTTATTTATTTTAGTATTGAGTTTGTTTTCAGAGTGTTAATTATTTAACAATCCTGTGACACGTGTTTATAGCTATGTATTATGTACAATGTACATACTAAGAATGAAGCGCGTTGAGATACAAAAATAAATGACTATCGCAAGTAACTATTGTAGTTATTATTAATTTACGTTTACCATCATTTGGCATTTATTTAATAATTATATATATAACATTGCTACATTTTTTTTAAAAATATTAACGAAATTGTTCATGGGAACTTAAATTAAAAGACAAAACGGCTCAAGTATAAGAGTCTTTCCTTCAACTTTGATTATGTTCCCTTTGGAGTAGAGAGTCTAGAGCCGTGGGGCTCAAGTGCACAGGCAGTCATTAAATGTTTAAGTTGACGCCTGGTAAATAGAGCTGGCGGCCCTAGAGCTTTCCTCGCTCAACGAACAAGTATACAGCGAGGAAATACTTGAACGCTGGCAAAGTTACACTGCCACAGGGACCAAACATTTTAATCTTGTCTTAATTTTCTAAAAAGATTACATAATATTATCAGTTACAATTAAAAAATCTAATTCTCCACGAGTGCGTCAGTTCACACTGAATCATTGCCGCTGTATTCATAAGTAATCTTTAAATCGGTCAACGTGACGCATTTTGTTGGATATTTTCGTCCTGTGATGCAAACTCGCCGGGGGTGAAATGCATAGCAGATAACTGGATCATCGTGATCCACTCTGCCGTCATGTTTCTGTCGACACTATACAAGATTATTCCTAACTCGATTGGAATTTCCATTCGAATTTTATTCACGATAGTGGAGCTAGCACCAATTTCCCAATAACTAAAAATCCATTTAAGTGAATATTATAATGAAAATGACACATTTATTTGTTTATTGCGGCTGTAATGGAAGAAAACTAATTACTTAGCCAATAGTTAGCTATGACGAGACTTTTGGCCGTCGCCCAGTGCCTTACGAAGTTACGACAAAGAACAGATGGTCCATCTGAAGTCTGCCATAAAAATTGGAGGAATTTCGGATACATCGGATACAAGTAAAAACTTGGTGTTGATGTGAAATTGGAGATGTGTATTTTTGTTCCAGCTCAATTTTGGAGTGGGCGGCGCTTAGGTTCTCAGGTGGAAACGAAATTACGCGAAGCAGCTGGCTACTATGCGAGGTGTATTAATATAAACCAGGCTATATTAAAACCAACGTGGATTCGCGAGTTCGCATCGTGTTACATTCATTTTATGTGTTCTTTCGTACCTGTACTCACCTGATTATCAAGCATTAACTTTTCAATCAAGTTCATTTTTGAACGAAATTTATTCTACGCCTATTTAAATAAAACCAATGTGTTGTTCCTTATCTCCTTATGTAAAAAAATATTGAGTTTTGTAAAGCTTTCTTTAAGTATTCTCCAGAATTTTGTAGCCCTTAGCCCTTGACCTATAGAGAATAAGTGATGGCATTCATTCATCCTGACTACAAAAAGACGTATGCAATATATACTCGAAAGTACCTAAAACCACATTGGGTAGTCCTGTAAAAGTGTGTTCTGTATCTAGTAGATAATAATATAAACGATTTTCTATATTAAGGTGCTATGAACACTTCTGAATCAGGTGTTAAAGTTTCTTTAAATAAATTATGTATTGCGTTTAGTTAGTCACTGAATACTCAAAGGTGGTAGTCAGCAAGCTCAGAAGTTTTAGGAACATCTTGGTGGGCGACGCTCACTTGTTTTTCTGATTTTTGCCAAAAATATCGACCACCTACAGACAAAAGCTGGCAAGCTTCATATGTAGAATTCGTTAACTAAACCGATGCATTTTATAACCTGTCCACTTCAAGCGATTTATCGAATTAAATAAAACACCGGCATATACAAATAAACAGAATAATTTCAGCATGTTGCTTGTGATTTCTGCACTTTTATCGTACAAACATTGTTATTTAAAAACATTTTTGGTTACATTATAGGCTATAATCTTATACATAATAAAAATACATATATCTTGAGACATTTTTGTGTAAATAATATTCTATTGAGGTATATTCCAATATGTAATAATTGCGAATAAAATTGTCTTACCACGGGACTTAAGTATATAATATGTTGACTAAAAGTTCGAGTAATATTTAATTAATCTTTAGTATGATTCATAAACGAAAAATTTTAACTACAATGAGTTAACGTTTATACAACATACATTGTTGATGCTGCGATATAATGATTCTATTGTACGTATTTTTTACTTTGGAGTTATACACAAATGTAAAAAACAAAACAGTGTTGAAACAAACCATTCCTGAACTTACAGAAACCTACAAAAAATATGAATTTCAAATCGAAATACACGTTCAAATAAATTTTAACCCTTAAACATGTGTATATGATATCAATCACTAAAGGCTAACTTAGAAATATCATTAAAAAAAAACAATTGTAGAGATACGTGTCTACGTCACGCCGCATTGGTATGCAATATGAACTTGTTGGAAAATAACAAAAATATGATTGGCATATTTAGATTGGTAATCACAACATGTAATTTTATTTTTGTTAGCTTAGTTACGCACTTCTCACACTTTCCCCTCAGTACTTCCTTTACTAGAGTTACCTGGACGTAATTGCTAATCATTTAAAATATTTATGAATAATTCAGTTACGTATATTATGTAACTTTAGCGAAATGTGAGATAAATTTTCTCATTGAAACAAGTAAATAGTTTAGATTTCTTTGTTATATCTCACACGCAGATAACTAATGTATAAAGAACTTTTGGAAATTAAATGATAATTTAAATAAGAGTTGATTTTTATCTTTGATAGAAAAACATCAGATAGAACATTAAATCTTAAAAATTGTTATGAAAGTGTCGCTTGCCAAAGACCATATTGTTAAAATAAATGCTTTGGCTCGCCAGCTGTTCGTGGATGTATCACATACGAAAATGTAAGTGCAATAATTACACAAATAAACTACGATTAATCTGCTTCAATTATTACTTTGAAACGTGACAATTCGTAAAAAAAACATTCCGCCTGTTTAAGACTTGAGTCTACAAAACATTATTTAAATAATATTATGTTTATATTACTGAAAATAATTAGTATGAACTGTAAATAATAGTTTTGGTGGTAAATACTTATAATAAACTATATATTAATGTATTTACTTAAAATATCACCAACGCAAACGCTAAGTATACATTTTTGGGGATTTTGATTACCATAAAAAGCTAATATTAAACAGTACAAGTACAAGGTCCTTAAAAACTGACTTTTTTGTAGAGGTCTTAACGATGAACAATTCTGCCACACATATATTTTTAAACCTTAACTGTTTGCGCTGTGCACGCAACGGAAACTTTCAATAAAAAATATTTACCCTGTTTTGTAAAAAATTTCATTGATGCTTTGCCCATAGCTTTTCTCGATTAATAAACTATCCATCCAAAATTTTAATTTCAACTCTGAAATTAATTTATAATGTTTAATTTAACGATATAAAAGTATATCACAAAACCACAACCTATTTAAAGCGAGGAGGTTCTATACAAAAGTGAGGTCACTCACAAATCTGAATACCTACACATTTATTTCCATAGGCATAATATGCTACGGTTACAGTGTATGCAGTTTCATCAAAATCGGTTCAGCAGTCTTTTAGATTTTTTTGCAGGGGACATGTATTTAGGTAATATCGTGAATTCTTTTAAATTTTTTAAATGACATTTTCAAAAGTCATTTAAAAAATTGAAACCAATCCTTGTAAACAAGTGTTGGCTAGCCTT